GGGACAGTTGTGCAGGATATCTCAATCTTGGCTGGAGATTATTATCTTTCAATGCTTGAATTATTTCCCCCCACGCTCTTCGTGATTTGATGGTTTGTGCAGAGAAATCTGCTGTAATTCTGATGGGTGTTCCCTTGTAAGTGGTCTGTTTCTTGTCTCTTACAGCTTTTAATATTCTGTTCTTGTATTGAATTTCTGGAATTTTTATTATTATATGCCTGGGTGTTGCTCTGTTTGGGTTGTAGGTAGCTGGGGTCCTGTATGCCTCATACATCTGAGTATCTTTACCTTTTGCTAAATTAGGAAAATTCTCCTGGATTATTTCTGTGAGTAGCTTTTGTAGTTCACTTGTTTGCATCCCTACTTCTTCTTTTATGTTCTTAATCCTTAAGTTATGGATCCTCTTATCATCTTCTTGTGTTTGTATTATTGCTGTTTGTTTCTTTGTTATTTTTAAGAAGTTTTTCATTTCATTCTCCCATATTACAAGTCTGCCCTCCAGTTCAGATAGTCTGTCCTTAGTTTCTTTCAAGCTGTTATGCCAGTCTTTGATAGACTTCTTAGTATCTTGGTAGTCCCTTTGAACCTGCTTCACGTATTCTATGCTTTCTCTGTTTTCTCCATCAAACAATTCTCCCCTTTTTTTCTGTTCTTCCATTCCATCACCTGTTTTTTCTTGGGTGGTGCTTAGCATTTCTCTAACTATTCTGCATACTTCTAGCTTCAGGTCGTTGATAACTTCATTCCTGAATTGGTCTATGAGGCTCTCTATATGGTGCCTTATGTGTATTGGTGCGGTGTCTGCTATTGCCTGTTTCTCTGAATTGGGGCCCGAGGAGACTTTCTTGTTGCTGCCTCTTCCCATGCTGCCTCTTCTTCTCTGTTCCTTATATATGCAAGCTTATATAAGAGGCCCAGCTTCTCTCCCAGTCAGCCACAGCCTGATCGAATTGCGCCAGTTAGGTGTTCCCGCTCACCGCTGCGCACCAGGGAGTTACGGACCAGGCAGCCTACGCGTCTCCCCTCCCGGCCACCATCAGGCTCTGGGATCTGGGTTGGGACAGTCTACCAGGTCCGCCGGCAGCGTCACGCAGGCCAGGCACTTTTCACCAATCCCGCCCGAGAGGGGGATGTGTGGCTGGAGTCGCCACCGCGCCCTGCTCCCGCAGGACTGCTCGGGCCCAGAAAGTCCTCTGCTGGAGTCAAACTGTGGTAGAGTGTCAGTTTCTCTCACTCACCTCACCATAAGTCAGTGCACGCCTCCCTGCCGTTCGCAGATTGCCGTTCTCAGAGCTTCTGCACGTCTCTCCCCTTGCCGAGCCGCTGTAGAGGCAGCCAGCTGCTGCGCGGCGGGAAACCCAAATCGCGGCTTACAATGGCGCGGTTCCAGCCTCCACACCGAGTCTTTTCTGTTCCTGTTTTAGCACCAGGACTGCATTCCAAGTTGGCTTCTCTCAGCCCAGTTCGTTCCTGAGTCAGCAGAGCATATCTCCACCTGCTTATGTCTCCTTAGTCCGCACCATTCCTGGCTTCTGAGCCGAGTCCATTCCTGGCTTCTGAGCCGAGTCTTTCAGAGAGCCGCCGGTAGTTGCTGTTATCTGTCCGCCATGTTCTCCCGGAAGAGTCAAATGGCAACTTAATTGTGTGTACTGAGCAATTGGCTAGATCTTACATCTTTGACATCCTCCATAATATATTAAAAGATCACTGTGTGTCTTTCCGGTCTGTAAGAGTCCTTCCATGAGGCCTGTAGGCCGTAGAAGTCTCAGTAAGCAGTCTAGCCGGGACAGAAATTCTCAGCACTCGAAAATTTGTATTTTCTTTCTTTTTTTGTTGGTACAGGGGATCGAACTCACGACCATGGCTTGCAAGGCAGGCACTTATGCCACTGAACTAAATCCCCAGCCCTGACAGTTTGTTTTTTCATAAAATACAAAAATTTAGGAAAACAAAGTGACAAGTACCAAGTGAAGTGTCAGAGAAACCAACGAAAGCAAACATATGATCAAATGCTGAGGTAAAACAAGCAATGAACAGTGTCTGATGCTTTCGATAAATGTTACAGGGACTTTAGTGGAAATAGTCTCAACAGAAGGGTGAGACCAACTCCAAACTACAGGGACTGAGAAGTGAGTAACTGGATAACCACCAAGGGGAGACACTGAAACTCCTTCAACAGATTGAGATGTAAGAGCAGACAAGGCAGTAAATAAAGGGATGCTGCGTCTGGGTAGAATGTGGATGAAGGCAAAAGGAAACATAGAGTGCTGAGTTCTAAACAGTCTCCACACATGCAAGCTGAACATCTCTCATCCTCCGTATTTCAATTTAAATGTCACTTTCTCCTAGAAGCCTCCTTTGAGACTCCAGCCTACCTCAAGAGACTCTGTGCTGCGTTTCAAAAGACTGTTATGTCTCTTGAAATAATACTTCTTACATTTTGTTGACCAACTGGTTTAGAGTTTACCTTGCCTAGAATGTGTAGCACATTGGCTGTGTTCACTGCATTTGTAGCTACTAACCTGGCATAGAGCCAAAGCTCAAAAACACTTTGATGAATAAATCAGTGGGAGGGGGCTGGGGATTTAGCTCAGCGGCATAAGCGCCTGCCTTGCAAGCAGGCAGTCGTGAGTTCAATCCCTGGTACCGATAAAAAGGAAAAAGACCAAAAAAAAATAATAATAAATAAATAAATAAATCAGTGGGAGGTAATCTCAGATTACAGGAAAACTTTAAAGTAATATTTTAAATAACAAATAATATTATGTGTATTTGTGTAACATGGTAGTTACTGCACAAAGTCCTTTACATTGATTATCTCAATTATCTGACACCATAATACTATGAAATGTGTATAATACCTCAAGGGTTGAGATAACAAGCTTTAAAAGGCAATGTTATACAGTTAAGAGAGCAGTTTGCCAATTCACGTAAATATAAAGATTTGAAGTAAACAATCTGAGGAGTTAGAAAACATGCTCATTTTTTCTTTTTTTTTCCCTTCTTTTTCTTTGATCTGTGTATATCTTTTTGAGACACTGTTCACTATGTAGCTCAGGCCGGCTGTGAACTCACTTTGTAGCCCACAGTGGCCCCGAGCTTGTAGCAATCCTCCTGCCTCAGCCTTTCAAGTGCTGGCATTGCAGGCATGCACCACCAGGCACAGCTACATGCTCTATTTTATAAGTGAAAAAGTAAAAGCAAAGATAGGTTTTCAGCAGAGACATCTGGGAAACATGGGACATCTGAGGAAAAGGAAGTAAGCAGGGAAAAGAATTCCTAGACAACAGTAAAGGGTGAGCTTCAGGTGCAAATTACTGATGTAGTACTGAATTACATCCAAAATATGAAAATACTTCCAAATAAAATGTAAATTATTGAGTTAAATGATGTGCTCATCTAACCTTTAAAGCACCTAATTAACTTCCATTCAGTGCCAAGCATAATACTTGGGTACTGCTATACAACATTACCTTAGATGATCGTATTTCTCTTTTGTAATAAGAAAGCTGAGGTTCTGAAGAGATGGACTCACTTGACCAAGTCAAACAAATAGTTAATTGTGCAGCCAGAACTTATCCTAGGGCCTCTGACTCCATATTTAATGCTTTTTATATAAAACTGTGCCAAGGTTTCTAACAGTAAGGAATCAAGCACATTATGCCAGTGAACAGACAATTACATGAAAAAATATCTTAAATATTCAACAAAACACATGACAGTCTCTGCACTTGGAGAAATTAATTAAGTTTGTAGAATTAAGGACAATTTTGAGTTACACAATAAATCAGCTACAATTTAATTTCAAGACAAGAAAAGGAGATAAAAGGAAATTTTAAAAATTTTATTAATTTCAAAGTGAGATAATAAAAGTAGTTATATCTTTTTCTTATTCTACTTTCTACATAAAATTGGAAACTTACATTAATTTGAAAGTCTAAAATTTTACCAGTAAGAATGATTATTTTATCAATATTAGCAAAATGTACAATTTTACTTGCTTAAACTCAAAATGGCAGAATAATACAATAGAGATACCCCTCCAAGACAGTCTATTTGAAACAGTTTGATCTGCAGTCTAAAAATCAGAAAGAAAACCAATTTCAATATCTTTTTTGGGGGAGGAGGCTATCAGAGATGGAACTCAGGACCTTGTGCCTGCCAGGCAGGTGCTTATACCACTGAGCTATATCTCAGACCCTTAATTTCCATGCTATCTTATTGAGCTCTTCATTTTCTCTCTTTTTCTTTTCTTTCTTTTTGTGAAAGAAAAATAACCTTACCCTTGTACCTCCCTAAATCACAGAGGTTCTTTATCTGCACTATATCTCCTTTGTTGCTATAAACTTTGAATCAGCAAATGCCTATTCAGTGGTCACAGCTTGCTGATACCACAAAACTAGAGAGTGAGAATGAGTGGGGCTGGTGAACGAGGGAATCAAGTCATCTGAAGTTCTGGAACACAGATGGTGATAATTCAAAAGCAGCTTCAAAAGGAATGTTAAAAAGTGAATTTAAAACTATCTTACTATATTTACAGTGGGTGGTGGGGAGAAAGACAGAATGAATGCACTGGGAATGAGAGATAAAGCCAGCTATTAAAGACAACAAATACACAGACGTGCAGGTGGCAAGTTTCTTGAAATTTATCCAGAGTAAAAGATTCTTAGCATAAAATATTTTCTGCTCTTTATATTGTTGTGTTTTCTTTGCTCTCTCAATATTAAATAAGGAGAACCTTCAGGCTGGGGATGTAGCTCAGTGGCACAAGCACCTGCCTGAGAAGTGTAAAGTCCAGAGTTTGATTCCCTGTACCACAAAATAAATAAATAAGGAGAGCCCTTCAATACAGAAGTTTTTTAAAAATTTGATCAACAGATCCTCAAAAAGCACTCCATATCAAAAGTCAGCTTTTAAAAAGCAAAACATTTTTTACCAATAGGGGTAGAACATTTTCTGATGGAGAGAAAAAGGGTTCAACAACAATAGGCTATGGTTACCTCTGCCCATGCTTTGAGAACAGCCAGTTTCTCCATGGTTGTGGCGCTCTCTCGGTACAGTTGACTGGAAGATCCTTTTCCAGCTTGAACTTTGTCCAGAGAAGAAACAAGCAAATTGTGTACTCGGCGGAGATCATTGAGGTCACTGACAACTCCACTTCCAATCCACGTACTGCACACCTACACAATTAAAATTTTAAAATGTCTGTGTGTAAAAAAGTTACCATTAGCCAGGCAAGGTGGTGCATCCCTGTAATCCCAGCACTTAGGAGGCTGAGACAGTATCACAGCAGTTAGAGGCCAGCCTGCACTACAAAGTGAGTTCTACGGTCAGCCTGAACAGAAGAACGGTGAGACTCTGTCTCAAAAAGACCAAAAACAAAACAAACACCAGTTACAATCAAGAGAATGTAATAAACTGATTCTGTTTCTTAAGGGAAACTCACAAAACTAAGGAACAACAACAAAAAAGATTAATGCTATGCTTTAGTTTTTGTAATAAGTCAACAGCAAATATAGATTTTATTGTATTTGTATGTAAAAACAATATTTACTTATCATGTCTCTACCATCTAACAAAAAATTTTAACAGAAATGATTTTCTATCCAAAGTAACTGTCACGAATAATTCTATAATTCAATGTAATTTCTGCTTACCCTGGACAGTGTTATGCTATATATTATGAAAGAGTTGAAAAGGAAAAGTATCAAATTCTTCCCCTAAAGTAAGAAAATACAAATTGAATGAACATGTGGGAACATTACACCATGTGATACTACCCTTAAAAACAGACAACAAAGCAATCAATTCTAACAGAAAAAAATGGGAATGTTTACGTATCAGGAAGGTTTGTGTTTATAGACAAGAGACTTACATGAGGAAGAAACACCAATTAGGAAAGCTAATTGAAATCAGAGATGATAGAATTTAAACGTCATGTAAAATGAATTCACTTATTTTGCAGACAATTCCGAGTTTCCATGGCTTCAGGGCAGGGGCATGTTACTACTAGAACTGTGCTTTAGGAAAATCACTGCAGTACTGCATAGACAATAAACAATGTACTTAATTGTTACAATATTACAATATAGTACTATGTAACAAGATAAAACAGATCTGCAAATGGAATGGAATGAAAAAGGAGAGCCATCAGACAGAAATTTGGAGGAGAAATTGCAATATATGGAAACTAATTAGATATTTTTAGTGGGTAGGGGAAGAAAGTTGGAAAAAGAACAATCAAAAATTATTCTGATTTTCAATTTTTGATTATCAAAGTTTCTAATTTAGCCAGGCATGATAGTGCACGCCTGCAATGCCAGCACTGCAGAGGCTAAGCAGGACTGCCATGAGTTCCAGAGCATCTTGGACTACACAGGGAATTTGAGGCCAGCCTGAGCTACATAGTATGACCACATCTCAAAATAAATTTCTAATTTGCATGAATGGAAAGAAAATGACACATTGTTTAAGAGAGCCAATAGAAGGAAACAAGATAATTTAGTAGAGATGAGATTAGAAAGAATGATTTTGTTTCTGAACATTTTTAAATGCTGAATTCTAAGTACCCCAAGAGACTTGTGAAAAAATTGCTATTCAGAAGTCAGTTGGAAACTGAATGTAGGCCTGAATTCAGGAGAAAGTTTAGAGTAACCACATAAATTTAGAAATATCACCAGAAACTTAAGCTCAGTAGCATAAGTGCCTACCTGGCAAGCATGAGGCTGTGAGTTTGATCCCCAGTACAAAAGAAAAAATTTTTTAAGAAATTTCTACACATTGGTAATAAGTAAAGTAATATTTACTAAGTAAATTTCTTTCTTTCTTTTTTTTTTTTTTTTTGGTCTTTTTCCTTTTTATCATTACCGGGGATCGAATCATGACTGCCTGCTTGCAAGGCAGGTGCTTATGCGGCTGAGCTAAATCCCCAGCCCCTAGGTAAATTTCTTAAGGATAGTTTAAAAAAGAAGAAGAAAACCACAGGGAAAACAGTTATACTTAAGGGACAAGCAGAACTAGCACAAAGAAATTAAAAAGAAAACAACTAAAAAGCCAGGCAAGTGTAATGATAATGGAACCAAAAGTAGAATTTCAAGAAGAAAGAATTGGCTTCTCTGATTACACCAACTGCATCAACAGTAATTACAAGCCTTCACTATCTCATCAGAAATCCTTGGGCCAAGTTGTGTTTCATAATTCACTACTACTGGGTAAAGGGTAACACTATCCATGAACCTTCTTAAGGTCTACACCTAGAGAAGCATGTGGCACCATTCCTAACTAACACATAGATACTTCTGCAATAAAACAGTATGAATCACTCTAGAGACTAATACCAAAATCTCATGTAGCTTCATGTCAAAGCCAGTTCAGGTTTTGCTTCCAAAAAAATTGTAAAAAAAAGCTTTTCATTTTTAAAGCATTTGAGATTTACATCATGGCTAACAGACTTGTGATATTATATATTTAAGATTTAAAAGTTAAGAATATTTATATAAATAATTTTTATCATCTTAAAACCTGATTTTCAAAACACTCAAAACTAAATTTAATAAAATAAGGGCTTTTAAAATGGTTATAAATTGAGGAGACACAGCAATTAAGGACAGATAGCAAAATATAATAAATTTAAAGTGAGAAGATATTAAATATGAGAAATAATGTGTAAAATTTGGTAAAAAAACAGTAAAAGTTCAGAGAACTGTAATGACTGCACTACATGTTCTTTGCAAAAATCTAAATTAGTTTCTCTAATTCATAGAACCAATAACTGGGGAATGCAGATAATGAATGCATTATGGATTTGGTTTATGAAGATAAAGTAGCACTAACTCAGCAAAATCATATTCAGAGAAAAGATCTTGGTCCCACATTAAAAGACTGGTGAATGAATGTACATTTATAAATTTTACACTGAAATGAAATAAGGATCCATATATATACATATTAGAATGTATATATATATATATATATATATATATATTCTAAACCTGTTTTAAATGATGTGTGTTTGTGTGTGTGTGTGTGTGTGTGTGTGTGTGTGTGTGTGCGCGTATGCGTTGTTTTTGTCTGGGAGACAGACAAAGACAAATAGTCTGCTGTACCATTTAGGCTGGCTTGACCCCACTATGTAGCCCAGTCTGAGCTTGGACTTGGCAATCATTCTGCTTCAGCCTCTCAAGTGCTGGAATTACACGTGTGTGCCACCACATCTGGCTTTTAAATTACTTTTTTACTAATCCACTGGTTAATGTCCCCGATTGTGTTATATTTGGGGGTTTGCTCTGTAATTTACGAGTTTCTCTGATTTTAAGGACTCAAGGTGCTGTTATTCCTGCAAATAGGCTGTGATACCATGTAAGCCAACTCCTTACTTTCTCTTAAGGATAGGAACTTGCCAATCTCTTTCCTATCTATTTCAAAACTACTAAATCTCCTGCAATAGAAGAGGTCATAATTTAAGTGTGCCACTGGAAAAGAAGAAAGATAAGCAGTTAAAACACAAAAGAAAGAAATTTAAGGCAAATTCAATGACAGAAAATTGTCATATTACTCATTTCAAGGTGGAACTAAAATAGTCTTTGCTTTTTTAATTTTCAGGTTAGTAAGAAGTTTTGTCTCCTTAAAATACTATGCTCTGAAACATCACCATGATATATTTATGTATCACTGTGATTTTGGGGGGTGAGGGTTCATTCTAGACAAGACTTCACTATTAGACCGAGGGTGGCTGTGAACTCTTGATCCTCCTGCCTCAACTTCCTGAGTGCAGCATATCTAGCCCTTAATGGCTTTTTGATGTTTTGCATCAATATCCCAAACCAGATTACCTACTCTAACCCTGTATTTGTACCTCATTCAGAGACCTATCCCTGAGTTCTCTTTTCTCTCTGGTCTGCTGTTGGTGGAAAGTTATTCCTCTGAAGGCCATCATTAGGACAACAGGCTTCAGAAAAGTACCACAAGAGAAAGCAGCAGCAAACTCATTCAGCCAGAGGGAATAGTCATGATTTTGAATGTATTACTGCAGAGAGGAAAACCTTAGCTGTACAGAGGCTGCATGAAGTTTACAGGTGAATTCAAAGCAGAAACGATGCAGCTACAGCCCTATACTCCAAAGAACTGCGAAGCAGACAGCAGTTTCTCTTCTGTTGGTAGGTAAGCAGGTAAACAATCTGGTTTGCTGAAAGATTAGATCTTAATGCATGAATCCTTCAAGATGCGACATACGAAAAAGAGGGTGTAGAACAAGTATTTTGGAAGTATCTCTGAAGATAAAATGAGAGTATGTACTGGGATTAATTTTGCAATATAATTTCTTCATGTGAAATTCTTTTTAGGATAATTTAGTAACTAAAAATTTGAAGAATTTTCATAACCTATGATCAAAATAATGTTTATTAACTAAATTATCATTATTATTCTTTAGATACTAATTATAGATTTGGTTATCTTTTTTATCCCTGTTATAATTTTCATTTTTGGATAAGAACTCTGTATGTCAAAGTTATGTCCTTAGTTATGACAAGGGACATAATTAACAGTTACTATTTCATCTAGAATCAAAACTGAAACTGCCACTACTGTATTCCCAGGACAAAAATAAAAATGAACTGACTTTTCTCTCCTTTATTGCAGTAAAATACTAAGTATGCATGAATTTATAGAAAACAACTATAGAAAAATCTCATTTTTCTTCTTACCTGGCAAGCTTTTGCTATTATATCTGATGGTGTATCTTGTGAGAAAGCTGGTCTTAGAGCAGCTCCCACCTGAAAAAATGAATTAAACACTTGATTTTTAGAGATAAGTAGCAAACATAAAGCCTCTTGTGTTTTGGGGGATGAAAGCATGCAAAACACATCTCTTTTGCTTTGCTCTTTATTATCTTTCCTTTATCTCTTTTTAGTTTTAATAAGCTCAACCATACCATTTTTCTTTGCATTCCAGGTCATAATATCAAAACCCACATATTTATCACAGTGCCAATAATGAAATTAAGCTGAATAATGAGGTTTTGGTTTAGAAAAAACAATTCACACATTAACGTCTTTCATCTTACAAGGAAAACCACACACATGCCATAGGTTCACTATCATTGGTTTAGCACAATGACATGGAAAAGGTATTTTTACTTTACTTGCTATTGTATTTTTTTTTTTTTATCGGTACCCGGGATCAAACTCAGGACCACCTGCTTACAAGGCAGGTGCTTATGCTGCTGAGCTAAATCCCCAGTCCCTTAATGTAGTATTTTTTAACCTTCAAACAACCCTTCATTGCTAGGATTACTGTGCCTCCTCTGATAAATAAGGATATAAAGCTCAGGCAAAACAAGTTTATCTCTGTTTAGAATGAAATAAAATTTCTTCCAAAGAACCCAATTCTTTTAGTAATAATTTTAGCAGCTGTTACTTAGAGTTAACTTATTGTTCAGTATACAAGAAGACACTGCTTTTTATTTCTAAAACTGCTTATCAAGTCTTGGCACATAAAAACAGTGGCAGCAAATCCAGAACACTCCTCTGAATGTTCCTTTTATCTTTTAAATGGTATGGCTAAATATCTAAACACAAGACTGGAAAACGAGGCTGGAATTTCTATTTTAGGCTTACCACTGATATGTTATCACAATTTAAAAAGAGTGACACCAGCCTGACACCATTACTTCTTCTCATGTAGGCTAACTGAAACTATGAAACAGACTATGGAAAATATGCATCCCACATGAAAAAATAAACTACAGTTCCAAATGCATTCCTCCAAGGAGTCTTCACTCCTTAAATGGTCCCTCAAAAGACTGATTTTTAAGTTTCTAAAAAAAAAAATAGAAAATCTCACGTTAGCTTGATACTGCTCCAGAATCACATGACCTGGAAATTCTGGCTCAGGCACAGAGGCAAATTTCTTGATAATGTCTTCGAGAGCCTGGAGCCCAGCCATCCGCAGCTGGTTGCTATGATCAGTTGCAGCCATGAATGCCATACGAATCAGGTCAGAGAGATGAAGTACTAAGAGGTCATCTAAAAATAAAAATAGAAGCAAAAGGGAAAGCTTTTCAAAAAATTAGTGTTATTACATAAGAAATATAAAGTACATTTCTGTTATAAGCACTTATGATCCATGTCTCCAAAAAAAACAAACATTTTTTCAGGAAAACTCCCATTCATGTTGTGTCCAACCTATAGCCTGAGTTTTTTCTTTTCTCAGTATTATAATAAAATTTTTTTAAAGTTGTGCTGTTTATATGTATTAACTACATTATATAATTTATAGTTTATATGTGGCATCCTCAAAAAAAAAGAAGAAAAGGCAGGCTATAGGCTGCAAAAATCTATAAAGAGTCAGCTCTTACACAGTAAAATTAACATAGGTGACTAGAAGATTTACAATGCCATCAGAAGAAAAATGCTTGATTGGCATAACTTTTCCCAAATGAGTTTGTAATTCTTTTAGAACAGGGTTTAGAAGACTTTTACTATAAAGGACCAAGTAGTAAATGTTCTGGGTTTTATGGATAATATCACCTTTATCACAACTTCTCAACTCTGACCTTACAGTAAAAAAGCAGCCATAGACAATATGTACAGAAATAAATATGCTGTTCTCCAATAAAACTTTATTGGATGGGGGCTGGGGATTTAGCTCAGCAGCATAAGTGCCTGCCTTGCAAGCAGGCAGTCGTGAGTTCGATCCCTGGTACCGGTAAAAACAAAAAAGACAAAAAAAAAAAAAAAAAAACTTTATTGGATGGATTCGGACTTTAAGATTTCTGCCTATCCCTAGAAAAATAAAAGTCAGAACAAGACTTTTTAACTTTATTCCAGAACAAAGTCCATTACTATTTAAAGAAATATGGCAGAATTCAGCAGAAATATAAAATTTCCAGTGTCTTCGAACTGGGAATTTAGCTCAGTGGCAAGCACAAGGTCATGAGTTCAATCCCCAATACCGCAAAAAACCCCAAAAAAACAAAAACCAAAAAATTTCCGTGTCTGATATCTAATAAATATTACCAAGAAGGCAAAACTGTAGGGAAACATAACACACACACACACACACACACACACACAGAGAGAGAGAGACAGAGACTGAGTCAATAAGCAGAAACAGGACTGAAAAAATGAAAGCAATAACAGAATTATCAGACAGTCTTTAAAACAGTCACTATGAATAGTTTCCTATGTTCAAAAAAGAAAAGAAGAACATGAACATAATGGAGAAATGAAACTACAAATGAAAAATATATAGATAAGATTAAAAGAGATTAGATACTAAAGATCAGTGAACTTGTAGTAATAACAATCATCTAAAGAATTTATCAGCTTTATGTATATGGCCCAACTTCCCAAAAGGAATTTAATCAGTATGTACTGCTAACATGTACCAATAAAAATTAAATTACAAGGAATTTCTCAAGTTTAAGTACTCTCAAGTTCTGCTGGAAGCTACATAGATTTGCATTGTTATTGTTGTAAGATTACAAGCATGTATCCTGTTTTGTTTTTTTTTTTCAGATGCCTACCTAAAACACCAATTTTAGAAGCCACTATTTTAAAAAAGTGTATCTTTGCTTGGAAGAGGACAGCAAGAGAAGAGCAAACATCTGGCTAGAAGCCTACAATGTTTCCCCAGACAAGAGAGGCAAAAACACCAACAAATTAAAAAAAAATAAATCACAGATCACTGCCAGAATTTCCAAGACAGAAAGAAATGGATTAAAAAGGATCTAGTCATATCATACCAACCTAAAAGTAAGTAAAAAGACTTATTATTCCTCATGTACTCTCTGTGACCTCATTCACAAAGTCTACAATGATCAAACCCTAATTCTCCTTCAAATGCTTTCCCTACCTGTTTTCACTCCTTCCTCAAATTGATGTAGCTTTTATCTAAAATCCAAGAAGATGAACTCCCAAACATGAGAATGGGAAGAAGGATTAGGACGAAGATCAGAAACATGGAAACAATTAGTGGGGAGAGGTTTATTACATTTATGAAGTCGTAATTCCCTATAGCTAAAGTGCAGCAGAGAGGAGGACAAGACCGTAGATAAGGAAGCTACAAAAAGAACCTGGAGAGCACATGCACTGGGTCAACTTTTATATGGACTCTGCCGTGACTGTTCAGAATTAGAATGGGTCCTGTTTTGGTTCCCCAGAAGAAAGCACAACCAACACGGGATTTTATTGGACACTATAAGATCAGGTTACCATCCAGCTACAGCTATGAAGTACTCAAGCGCTCAGTAAGCAAAGACAGAGACATGACAATCCAGCCACACACCGGATCACACTGTGAGCAAACTCCAGATAGGAAGAGCAAGCTCTTCTTTCAAGGATATGTTAACAAGTAAGCCTATGAAGAAAACATAACCAGGGAAAAGGTAGATCCTAAATTCAGAGAAAGTACTAAACTCTGAAAGCAATTTTCTATAAAAACTGGGATAAGATTTAGAAAATTATTTGGTATCAACAGAATGCAAAAAAAATCATGGTTACCACTGAATAAAAATAGAACATCTTAAAGTATGACATGAATATGATATAAGGGGCATGGGAAAAATGCATAAAAGTTACAAGGACACTAATAGGATACCAGCCAACTCAAGATCCACTATGGAAGCAGAAAAGAATAAAACATTATCAATGTGTAAATGGAAAACATAGAAAGATCTCAAATATATCACATAAAAGGACAAAAAGACAAAACAGTGAGAAAACAGTTAAGAAATAAAGCCATTCTAATGATTATGCCCATTCCTTAAAGGTAGCAAACTTATGATTCAGACAATACACATTCTCTTATTCCCTTTCCTTGTGGATAAATCAACATGGCTTAATGATGTCCGCGTGCTAGTCCCTAATATGTGAATTTGTGTCTTTTCATGGAAAAAGGGACTTTCCAGATAAGATTAAGGTCATAGACCCTGACATGGGGATTACATTACAATTGGGCCACTCTTAACCATGTGAGTCCTTAAAAGCAGAGCACCTGGTGAACAGCAAAGAAACAGCCTCTCTGAGATTTGGTGTTCAGATGCTGGAAAACAGCAACATGAGGAAGAGAAGAAAGAGGGAGGTGAGTCACTGGGATCCAGCAAGGATCTGAAGCAGGAATTGAAACCCAAGGGAAAGTGAAGAGAGAGATCTCAACAAAGACGAGGTATCAAGCAGCACTTTCTCCTTGAGCCCAGAGGGAGAGGTAGTTCTAGTGCAGATAAAATGACTATTGGTGACCTCAGAGGCCTCCATATAGAAATGCAAATGTGGAATGCAGCAGTGAACACAGTAAACTGCCGTGTAACAGGTGAGTTATTTAGGTTCAGATATCCCCCAGGAGAGGGCAGTTAGAGAGGGGCCAACTGAGTTTGGAACTCAGTAGCAAGCTGGCTTCATCTGCGGCTCCTGGTATCATGGTGAGGTGGAACCAAATTCAAGTCAGCAAGAGGTTGAGGAGCCGAATACAAGCAGGCTGAAGCCAAGTCCTAGTCAGGAGGACAGACAGAGTGTTACAGGCTGAACAAATCAGGTTCTAGCCTCACAGTCAGAAATCAGCCAGAATTTCAGTGGAACTAAAGATGCAGGCTTGCAGGGATTATCTACCACTCCGCCATACATCTAAAGCTGGCTTTCTGGGACTAATCAGCCTGGCTCCAGACACTGCCATCTTACTTTGTTTACCAGTGACAGTAGACATCGCTTGGAGTGCACAGTTTTTTCTTATTTCCTTTTTTTAATTTCTTTTTTTCTTCGCTTTTGTTTTTGTTTTCCTTAATTGTTTGTTCTTGTTTTTATGAATTGTCAGTGTTGTCTCTAATTTTGTGGTTGTTCTTCTCTGTTCTTGTTTTTTTTTTGTTTTTTAGTACTGGAGATTGAACTCATGAGCTCGCCCTTGCCAAGCAAGCATTTAAACCACTGAGCTAAATTCCCAGCCCCTCTGTTCTTGTTTTTATTTCTTCTTCTCTTTCCCTCCCATCTTCTTCATCAATTTCCCAGTTTGAGTAATCTTCTAACCTTGTGTCTAATCTCTTCCTCTTCTTCTGTTTCTCTATTCTCTTTCCCCTATCCCATTTAAATCTTCTCTTTTGAGGGTATGGTTAATGTATATAATTTTCTAGTTTTAAATTTTGTTATATAACTAAATATAGTTCACATAGCAAATTAATAGTTACCACAGTCTGTCATCTTTTTAGACTGTGTTTCAGGCTATTTTATTACTAATTGAACTACTTTAACCACCATGACATAATAGTTCTAATCAGTTGTTCTTCCTGACATGCCAAGTCTGAGTCTAAGTGTCATAAAAAATGCTACAGGCCAATGCCAAAGAAGTAGGGACTAGGCCAAATAGGTAGCAAATTCTCATTCTCAATAAGTTGAAAAGGTAGAATCTTGAAACAGACTCAAAACTGAAAAGCCAGATATATCTGGAAGCTATCTCTGAAAAGCAGTCACTTTGTAAAGGTTCTAAACACTAGCAATAAAGCTACTTACTAGGAGCAATTTACAATGATGACCTAGGAGTTAAAAAAAAAAAAAAAGAAAGAAAAGAAAATGAAAAGACACTTAAGCAAAATACAGAAAATTCCAGCTTACCAGAGGAAAACAAACCCAGGAGACAGGAGGTGGAACAATTTGAAAGAACCCACCTCAATTCTCTGTAGTGATAACAGTGGAAGTAACAAAGCAGATGAATGAAGCTCTAGAAAAAAATAAAATCAGAAATAATTTTTCAGATGACCATGCAGAGGGTGACCATAATGAAAGACAATACAAGCAGCAGAATGAGCCATTGTGAGAACAGACTATCAGATCTAGAAAACAGGATAGCAATCATGAAAACAAATATTTTTTAAAAATAGCAAGTGACTACAAAAATAAAATCAATCCAGCAGCTGCTATATGATGCAAAGAAGAAATAAGATTAGTCGGTGTCAATGAAAAGGCAGAAGATACTACAAACAACATAAAAAATTTGTTCACAGAAGCAATGGCAGAAAACTTTGAAAGCAGGGAAAAAGAATGTGACGTACATATTTAAAGTGAGGTATACAGAATTCCAATTAGTCATGATGAAAATAAAACTATACCAAACATGTAATAGTTGAAATTCCAGAAATTCACATGAACAGAATATTAAAAGCTGTTAGAGAAAAAAACAAATCACTTTAAAGCCTATCAGAATCACAGCAGACTTCTTATAGAAACCCTCAAGTCAAGGAAAGGTTAAAGTATTTTGAGTCCTAAAAGAAAACAATCTCGAACCAAGATTCATGTACCCACAAAATAATCTTTCAAAATTGATGGCAAAATAAGATACTTCCATGACAAAAAGCACCTGAAGAAATTCATGACCATGAAACTAGCACTCCAAAATGATTTGAGGGCAATTCTAGAAAGTTAACAAGGACTAAAACTCCATGAGAACCCCCAACAGAATAAATCCACCAGGCAAGGCAAGCAATTAAATGGGAGGAGGGGAAGAACCAACAAGGAAAATAACATGACAAGGTAAGTCAATAAATATCAGTTATAACCATCAATGTAAATGGTCTAAACTCACTGATTAAACGAAACAGACTGGCAAAATGGATCAAGAAGCAAGATCCAACAATATGCTGCATATAAGAAACACATTTAATTAAAAAAGAAATTCACAGACTGAAAGTCAAAGGATAGAAAATAATATTCCATGTGACAGAATCCAGAAAAAAGCAGAGGTAGCTGTTCTATTTGTAGACAAAGTAGATTTCAAGCAAGTCTGATGAAAAGAGACGAAGAAAGTCACTATATCCTTGTAAATGGAAAAAAATCCCAGAGGAAAACATAACAACCATAAATATATATGCACCAAATACCAGGGCATCTAACAATGTAAAACAAATTAATATTAACATACCTGAAAAATCAAAATAAGCCCAACTATGACTGCAATGGGTCCCTCACTATTGTACTATCAGAAATACACAGATAAACTAAACAAAAAATCAACAAAAAACTAAACTTTTGAACTAATGGCCTTAGTAGATGCCTACTAAGTAGTACATGCCTTAGTAAATGTGGGATGTTCCACTACAACATCAAAACACACGTTTATCAGCTGCACATGAGACATTTTACAAAACATATCATATACTAGTTCATAGAACATGCCTAAGTAAATGCGGTTACTGAAATAATCCCATGCATACTATGAGACTTTAGTGTATAAAATTTGAAATCAACGGAAAAGAAACCACAACAGCTTCAAAAACACATGAAAATCAAGTAACACCCTCCTGAACAGCCCATGGGTCACAGATGAAATTAAAGAAGAAATTAGACAAATACATGATAATGCCAATAAAACATACCAGAACTTACGGGATACAATGAAAACAGTCCTACAAGGGAAATTTATAGCAGTGAATTCCAGTATCATAAAAACAGAGCAAGTCAAATAAACCTAGTGATGAAATTCAAGCTTCTAGAAAAAAGACGAGCAAGTCAAGCCTAAAACTTGTATGACAGAGGAAATTCTAAAGATCAGAACAGAAATTATTGCAATACAGACTATAATACAATCAATGAATCAAAAAGCTGGTTAGTTGTAAGATTATATAAAATTGACAAAACCTTAGCTGATCTTTTATAAAAAAGAAATCCATGCACTTAGAAATAATAAGGGTGAAGTCATTTAAGAAAGAAAATTAACTGCCCATAAAAACTCCAGACATAAACAGCGCAATTGACAACTTGATTCTAGCCCAGTCACACTTTGGACGTCTCACCTAAAGTGCTATAGGAAAATAAACTTGTGTCATTTTGAATGGAAATATGTGGTCACTTGTTACAGCAATAGAAAGACTGATAAAGCCAGTGTCCTCTACCCAAAAAACCTTTCTCTGCCTTCTTTTCCCCCAATTTCATGCCAGCTATGGTTGCATGTATCTGTCATCCCAGCCCTCAGAAGGCTAAATCAAGAGGTTTGCCACAAGTTTAAGGTTAGTCTGGGTTACAGTGAGTTCCAGGTCAGCCTGAACTACATAGCATGACTTTGTCTCAAAGGAAGAAAAAAATCAAGCTTCAAAATAACCTCTTCTCTAGTGTCTTCCATGGCTCCTTAGGAAAGGAATGCAATCATTTTTTGGTACTGGTGATTGAACTCACAACCTCAGGCTTGCCAGGCAGGTATGTACACCACTGAACTAAATCCCGGCCAGGAATGCCATTTTTTAAATGCTTCCAAAATACTGTACCACTATTGAGACATACTGTAATTATTCAACTCATAAGTCTGCCTATTTCCTAGACTAGAAGTTGTTCCAGGGTATATATAGATTATATTCTTTCTTTTATATCCACAATATATAGCAAAGGACTCAGTAAGTATTTGCTAAATGATGACTATGGAAAAAGACACTGTATTCATGACATACTGTGCTTTGCTAGTACCCTTTATTCAGAGTCACATTTTGAATGCTGTATACTAGTTTACTTGCTATTTTTAAAATTGATTTATAAGTTCTGCTACTTTTTATGTACAATAAAATAACAGGAATGGCATTTTGAATTCGTAAGACTTCAGTTTTGCCAATACATATATAATTTGTCTTCAGGGTGATGGAGATGACTAGACAAGGAATCTCTCGCTTAGATTACTCTCTCAGGTTCCGTGGGTCTCCTTAACTGTAAAACGAAGGTCTTTATTGTATTGAATGACTTCTTTTGTAAGTTTCGTAATATGTAATGCAGAGGGTATGTGGTATAAAAAGTTTAAAAGATGAAAAGTAATAACTGGTTTCAGTAATAAATGACTTTTGAGCCAGGGATTTTGCTCAGTGGCATAAGTGGCAAGCGTGAGGCTGTGAGTTCGATCCCCAGTACAAATAAATAAATAAAATAAAAATAAATGACTTTCATTTTTTCAAAATATCTAATAGGATTTCTGAAATGTGAGAGTTTGCTATTTGTCATGGCATTCATGAATTTTCAATCTCAATGGCTGAAAACTGCAGAAATTCATTTAATTTATATACCTTACATTTTTATCATTACTTTTACAAAAAAACTATCAAAAGTAAGACAATGTACTAAGAAATGTAAGTTATTGCCGTTAGTCTTATGGCAAATAATATATATGTGTGTGTGTATGTATAATATATACATATATATATATATATATATATATATATATAGTACACACACACACACAGATCTTTTTCTCTATTTACAAATATCTTTGGGTTACCTTCAACTTTTCTTCCAAATACAAATGGATAGTATGTAAAGGGAACAGAAATTAAGGTAAAAGACAAGGTGATTTATAATAAACTAGAACATACTAAAGCATAGTACACAGCATTAAAATATCTAAAATCTATAAAAATATTTTGGAGTAAAGAAGTACTGATTTAAATGTACTTTTAGGGTTTCGTAGTTTAGCAGAACGTGCCATGGCCAGATCAAAGTGAGCCTGGTCTGCATTCTCACACAAATTGATGATTCGGCACAGGCAGTCAGCAGCAAACACTCGAGTGGCCCAGCGAGGCGCCACAAAAGGCTTGGACTTATCTTCCTCGCCTAGTGTGGTAAACATGGTGTCATCATCCATTTCATCTTTCTTTTCAGATTCTTCATCTTTTCCACTACTTAAAGGAGTCGCAGTACTCATATCTACAATAAAAATTGGAAAAATTATAGATCTCACAGTAAAATTATGCTTTAGAAATAGCACTAATTCTCACTCTATAGAAAGAGAGAAATGGCAAGATTTTCTTTAAAACAATCAAAAATCATAAATTATTTTCATGTAAATTACATTTACCTATTCCAATAGTTTTACATATTATATTGTACTACAGAGTAGCCTGGGATTTTTAGACATGAAAATATAGTTTAAACTTTCAAAAAATTTTGAAATACATTTTCCAAAATATATAGGAAGCTTACTGGTTTATTATATAATTTAATCTTAATATTTTATAGGGATTTACTATATAAAGATGAAAAATTATCAGTACTTTTAAATGTAAAATTAAATTTATATAAATGCATATTTCCATCTATACATCAAAAGTAAAACAGTTGCCAGGTGTGGGGGTGCACACCTGTAATCCCAGCACTTGGGAAGCTGAGGCAGAGGGATTATTAGGAGTTAGAGGCCAGCCTGGGTTACATAAGTGAGTTCAAGGCCAGCCTGCACTACATAGCAAGACCCTGTCACAAACAAACAAACAAATGAAGTAAAACAGTTTTCATTATTTTAAGAACATAAATACATACCGCTAGATGCTGCCAGGACATCCTTACAAAGCATTAGCCAATGAGAAAGTTTTTCTACTGCCAGTGATGAGAGCATATGGCCCAATGTGTCATGAATATCAGAACATAATTTTCTATCTGTCTCACGATCTAGCATTCCAAAAAGAAGTCCCTCAAGACCAGTTTCTGTTATGTTAACACCTTGATGCCGGCAATGAATATCACTTCGAGAGCTGACCCCAGGTGCAAAAGGACTGACATCTGAAAAGTAATTTTTACAAACACATTTCAATTGAATTTTGTTGTATGTTACAGATAAGTAAGTAAGTAAAAGATAGGTCTTTCAAATGAATGCATAATAGCAACAAAATCAGCTACCTATACATATAATTAATTATGATCAGCTGGATGTGCTGGCAGGCAGGAGGATCAGTGGGAGTTTGAGGCTAGCTTGGGCTACAAAGTGAGTTCAAGGCCAATGTGGACTACTTAGTGAGACCCTGTCTCAGAAAAAAAAAAAAAGAAAGAAAGAAATGAAACGAAATAAAACAAAACTATCATCTGTAGGTTATGTATCTTTAGGATTAGAATTTAATCTGAGTATAACGATAAAATCCCAGTTTTAAAAATGATTATCCTGAGATATTCAAAATGTGAAAGAGGGACCGTGGGTTTAGCTCAGTGGCATGTGCCTCCATGGCAAGTGAGAGGCCACAAGTTTGATCGCCAGTACCAAAAAAAAAAAAAAAAAAATCCTGTTCAAAATGTGAAAGTATTTAAACCAAAAGGAATATTGACCAATGAAAGAACTTACTGCCACCACTGCTCTCTTTGTCCCCTGCATTTTTTGCCAGGCTCATGGCATATTCACATACTTCAGCTGCTTCTCGTTGTGCAAGCTGTCGGAGACATGCTACTGCGGCTTGTCGAAGTAACAAGTGGGAGCTACATAAATGAACCTGTAAAGCATAACAATTCCAAGCAACTTTTAAGCATTAAGTCTTTAATCTTGAATATCTAATGATATGAAAGCTTTACTTGGGCTCCTCATCTACCTTGGTTGTTTAAAATATAACCAATAATGGAATTTTAGCAAAATAATACCAGTAAGATAAAAAAAAACTTTTATAGGCAAAGAAACTATGCCAAGATCCATGCACTAAGATTCATATCACATTTCACATTTAGCTAAAAATACAAAAGAATCTTTTGTACCTCTTATTTTACATATGGCCCTACTGAAGTCTGTCATCTAAATTTTTTAAGTGCATGGAAACAAATACATGAATGAAGAGTTAAGCAGTAGAGCATGTGGTAAGAAGTTAAAGTAAAAAGGAGAGTGTATATTAAAATGATAAAACAAAATGAAGCAAACATAAACATCTGAAAATTATAAAATGGGAACTTTTCTTATAAAATCTTTATTTTTTTCATCTGACATGTCCCTGAAAGAATCAATACGGTACATTCTAAAAGTCAAAGTAAAACTTAAAAAACCGTGTAGTAAAAATAGTTAACTCAAGGGCTGGGGATTTAGCTCAGCAGCATAAGCACCTGCCTTGCAAGCAGGCAGTCATGAGTTCGACCCCTGGTACCGATACAAAGGAAAAGGACAAAAAAAAAAAAAAAAGTTTAACTCAGGCTGAGTCGGGTATGGTGGCACCTGCCTGTAATCTCAGCACTTGGAAGGCTGAAGCAGGAGGATGACCATGAATTCAGTGCCAGCCTGGGCTTCATAAGTGAGTTCAGGATCAACCTGAACTACACAGTGAGATTCTGTCTCAAAACACAAATTCAGGCTCAATGCCAGGCTGCATTTGAATCTTGCCACTGTTTACTTGTCCCTATGTGCCCTCGGTATGTGACATCCTCTCTGTACACTGATGTGCTCAAATGTAAAATGAGAACAGCAATTCCTCACAGGAATATAGTAAAAATATGGTGATTGCTCAATAAATATTAGGTATTATCACAATTATTATAAAGTTCACTCATCAAGAAAACATTACAGCCACGTTTTGCCTTTCAAGCCATGAAGTAATACAGTTTACAAAGAACTCCAGCCATAATGACGGGAGTAGAGGAAAACATCACCCTTTCACAGTGCTAACGTATTTTTACACTGTTAATATAATACTTGTAACTCAAGAAATAACTGCATAGAAATCACAGATCACAAAGCTTATGCCGAATTAGGAAAAATAAAATATAACTGAAATGAGAAAACCTGATGGATTTTTATCAATCTTACAATTATTTTTATTCCTCAAATTAACATTTAAAAATTCTTTTCAAATACCATAAAATGAAAAAACCTTAAGCTAACTATCCAGCTTCATCTTATACCCTGCTATATATTTCTCCCTTCTCTCTCATCCTCAATCACATTGATTAGTTGGTTCCTTAAATGTATCACACTCCTCATTTGGAGTCCTTTTACACGTTTCCCCCTCAGACTAAATATAAATGTTGTCTACTCCAATTCCACACTGTTCTGCAAACTAACTCCTGTTAATACTGCAAGTCAGGTGCCAGGGATTCAGTTCAGCAGCATAAGCACCTGCCTGGCAAGTGCAAGGTCATGAGTTTGATCCCTGGTACCAAAAGAAAAAAAAAATACTGTAAGTTATACCCTAAATAGCATTCTGTCAGGAAAATCATTTTTGAATGCCTGGATCATCGTGAGCCCTACGTTACGTGCTGTCTTATACTTTTCTGTAGCTTTTTCTGGCTCCTATATCATTTGTAAATAGCTCTTCTTGTCCATTTTCCTTGAAAACTAAACACTTCGTTATGACAGAGACTTGCTCTTACCTCATTCACAAACATTCCTCCAGTACTGTGCATGGTACCTGACATCTAACAGCTTACCTGTAAATGTCTGTTGAATAAACTGGTGATTTCAAATGACAGCAAAAGATTGTTAGAAGTTATGGGTCAAAGTTAAAGAAATAAAATACTGGGTTATTTCACTTTTGAATACTCCCTACTCACTCAGAGTAGCTATCTGCCATGTCTCTCTTCCCTCTTTCCCCCACCTGAAATAAATCATCTTTTATTTTAAACTCTGCTTCTTGGGGCTGGGGATTTAGCTCAGTGGCATAAGAACCTGCCTTGCAAGCAGGCAGTCGTGAGTTTGATCCCTGGTACCGATTAAAAAAAAAAAAAAAACTCTGCTTCTTTAGTTCTTTACTGATGCTGGGTTTAATATTGACGGAAGCTGCATGTCCCAGCATGGCATAGCATACGTTACTTTAACTGGTACATTGATTGATTAAGTAGGGAAAACTTTGTCTAATTTTTTTTATTGGGCTGAGTGTTTAGGATCCCAGAGCCCTTCTCTGACAGCAGAGCAGCAGTGCCCACTCACCAAATGCAACTTCTGTGAGGACTCAAAGAACAAACATCAAAAAGGCAGTCTTGGATAGTTAGGGTGGATGACTGCTGAAGCTGAAACTCTAGAATTCACAATGCAAAACAGTTGTATTTTTTTGTTTTGGTCCAATTTGATCTTTTAAGAAAGAAATGCATTGGGTCCTAAATAAGTCACACTTTATTCTCACAAATGGCTAGGGGGAAGAGCAACTCAGCTCCAGCTGCAATGCAGGAAAACGAATGTCAGAGCACCCCCTAGTGGACACTGATACTAACCCCAAAATGTGTATTTGTAAAATGGATTCTTTTTGATAAAATCTACTTCCTGTCTAGAAAATATAAATGCCTATTAATGAGTCACGGACTCCAACTGCCAGTTAAAAGAGAATTAGTGTTAGCAGCCATTCTTTTTAAAATTATCTATCAGCAGCCATTCTTAAGACTTGGAGGGCAGGTTTCCCTGGGATAGTCTGGCCTGACCCCTAGCTACGCTCTGGAGAGAATGTCAAGCCCGTACTGCTTCAGTTTCCTTTCTGGTTATCCTCCACTGCTGAGGAGAACACTTTCATTTTGCTGATCTTTTATTCCAACCTTGTCCTGTCACCCTGTACTTTCCTCTTTTTTGGAGGCATGTTTCTGCTAAAGATTAAGAGAGGAAGGAAGCCTAAAAGGTTTTAGTTAGCCTTCCTCTAATTTCTAACAACTGAAACTCTCAAGTTAAGCCCATAAGAAAATACACACTTCTCTATAAAAGTGCTGAAGCAGCTAGTCAGACTCCAGGAGCTTACATGGAACAAGGAACTCAATAAAAAGAGCCGCACACAAGAAATCCATGAGTATTTCGCTTTTAAATTCTCCCTTCTCAACCAGATCAGCTGTCTTCCAAGTCTCTCTTCCCACTTTCTCGTTAAATCTTTTTATTTAAGAAAAGGAAATTCTGAGAAGGAAAGACTGCATGTGACATATTCTCAGCCAAGAAATAAATGGTTCAGCATTTTTAAAAGACAAAAAAAAAGTGAGTAAAACAGTCATAAAATGACTGTTGAAGGTGAAACTTTAGAATTCACAATGCGTAACTCTTTTATGTTTTGTTTTGGTCCAATCAGATATTTTAAGAAAGAAATGTGGTCGGTCCCAAAGTGAATTAATGAAGGAAACACCTTTATACTTACACAAAGGCTAGGAACAAGACTAGAGAGATTGACATGTCGAGGTGCAAACATGTGAAGTTGTTGAAGGCAAGATATAGCAGCTGCCTGAACAAGAGAATCTGAATGGTCCTGGGTGATAGCACAACCCACCAAACAAGACGAACGGATTGTAGAAATTGTTGCTCCATTCCCTAGTAGAAAAAAATATGGGTAAAATACAATGATTTTATTGGTATCACAAAAACATTGCTAAAAATGATTATCTTCCATATAACTCCTCCTTGTAATTGTTATTTGTTTCGAAAACAAAAACTCTGTAGAAATGATTTAAAAATACAACTATCTTTGGGTAGCAATAATGCATCACTCTTACGTTTAACTCTATTTATACTTACAACCTTTTGCAGCCATCATTGTTTTATTTCAAGTGCCAGAGGCTGCTCATTCTCTGGTTCTCTGCTCAACCAACACTACCCTTTATTATATAATATAATAATTTTAAAACCTATTTTCCTAGAAGTAATGACTATTTTTACAAAGATAATTAGGGAAAGCATATGATAATGTTGTATGTTATCTATATGATAATTTAATTGCCAAATATGAGACTGAAATTTTTTTTACTGAAGAACAATTTTACACAACACCGAAGAATCATGAGTGCATGCGTGCCTGTGTGTGTGTGTGTGTGTGCCTCTGTGTATGTGCCTCTGTGTATGTGTGTGTGTGTGTGTGTGTGTGTGTGTGTGTGTGTGTGTCTTTGGAAAATTTTGTATCCTCTTTCAACCTGTTTCATCTGTAAAATGAAGATACTATCTATAGCATCTCTGAATTGTTGTAAGAATTAAATGAGATAAACAAATAAAAAATGATTCACTGAAAGTATTTATTAAATGACAGAGAGGAAAAGTGCTAATACATGGATACATTCACAGTAATTCACTGACTTAAGTGTTTAATGAATTGTTTTGGGATGGTAAGAACATAAGCACTAAATGTTATTCACAAGTTGAGCAACCCTATACAGCTTATTTCTTATGAGCTCACTTCCTCAAAGAAAAATAAGATAGTCTTATCTATTTTATGGTGATGGTTTTTCACACTGTGTACTTGTTCATCAGAGTTAAAAGTCCACATTCAAAAGTCCACTCCAGGGCAAAACAACTTCATTTTTACCTTTATTTTCATGAGACTCAAGAAAAAAATCATTAGAAAATGTTTTTCTCTGCTTAAAACTTCAAAAAATACTGTCATTTTCTTTAAGATAAATTTACTCACCTTGCAGTTCAGGGCCAACAGTAGTTATTATAGCTCCCAAGCATCTACCCAAACACTGATGAACTTCTGTATGTGAAGGTGGAACTGTCAACAGCAAGGTAAGAACTAAAGATAATGTTGGTTCTACATATCCACGATACATTGGCCCACTAGAATCCACTATCAAAGCAAGAGAATGAAGAGACCAGGTCTAGAATAAAACAGAACTTTATTTTAGTTGTGAGAAATAATTGAGAGCATATTGAAATGTTACATGCATATACTCATTGTTTTTAGGCATATCACAGTGAATTGGAAAATCAAGATCGCCAGCTATTTGCACAAATGCTCTGGATCCTATCCCTTATACATATTTATGTATATATAAAATATTCAAGAAACAAAAAAATCCCAAAATTCAAGGAGTAAACTTGCAGAATCAATCAGTACTCTATTAGGTCAGAGCAGTGGTGGAAAACCTATGGCATCTGTGCCACAGCTGGCTGTTTACACAACTCTAAATGATTTGCCATCACTGTAGCAAAAGAAGAGAGGAAGAACCAAAATTAGAGAAAACAAAAACAAAAAATCAATCTAATAAAAAATAGTGTGCAAAAGGAAAAACAAGTAATAAATAATAAACTACGTTTCAAAGAGTGTACATGAAGGGTTGAATTTTCAGAATAAGGCAGACTTCACATTGAAAAATTCTTGTTATATACTTCAACATCTGAGACTTGTAAAACAAAATAATGGGGAGAGAACATATTGTGATATATCTTTCCTAACTTACCAGAGGTATCATTATTTAATAGAGTAAATAATCTCCCTAAAAATACTACTTTAAAATTTGTAATTAAAAAACATTAATCTGGGTATGATGGTGTACACCTGTAATCTCAGCACTCTGGGAGACTACGGTAGAAGGAGCATAAGCTTGAGCCCTTCCTGGGCAACTTAGTGACTTCTGGAAACCCTCCCTTAAAAATGAAGGTTGGGCTTATAGTTCAGTGTGAAAGCCTCAGGTTCAATCACCAGTATCAGACAAAAGAAAAAAAACTACTACTATACCTGAACTTCAGGGGATGTTCCATCTTGTGCAAGAGCTAATAAGATGCTGACACTGGTCTTCAGATGTTGTCCTGAGCCTATACCACCAACATAACGATGCAAACAACCAAGGGCCAATGAATGACCAGTCCTAGATACAACATCTCGAGCTGATTTCAACCTGAAAAAAAGGCTGCTTCAGGGCCTGATTTCTCTATTTTCCTCTAGTAATAACAAGCTCATAAGTCACACAAAAAAGGAAAAATATTCTAGAATTCAGAAAATATAATAATCACAACACTTCTTTTTCCATTCCCTAACAAGAGTTTCAACTTAAAACTTATAGTTGGCTAATAGCTATAATCCATTATGCTACATAATAAAAAATAAAGTAAAAGTTTATTAAAGTCACATATTTCACATAAAATAGTTGAATAAAATCTATTGTAATTTTAGAAAACTCTAAAACCCTCATGGTTTAAAAACTAAAACCTATTCTTTGGGGGCTGGGGATTTAGCTCAGTGGCATAAGCGCCTGCCTTGCAAGCAGGCAGTCGTGAGTTTGATCCCCGGTACTGATAAAAAGGAAAAAGACAAAAAAAAAAAAAAAAAAAAAAAAAAACCTATTCTTTGAAAAGCCATGAGTTACTTGAAATTTATTTTGTTTTATTTTTTGGTACCAGAATCGAACTCAGGATCTTGCACTTGCCAGGCAGGCACTTGTATGCTGAGCTATATACCCGGCCCTGAAATTAATTTTTGTAACTGTCTTTGTTTGCTTGTTTTTTAGTTGAGACAAGTCTCACTATGTAGCCCAGCTGGTCCATGAACTCTGAATCTTCTTGTCCCAGCTTCCCAAGTGTTGCACCACCATGCCTAACTATAGTTAGTTTTTAACAAAATAATGGCTCTTATAATTAATGTTGAAAATATAACAAAAAGTTGTTTGTGGGCTTGGAGCTGTGGCTCAGTGGTACCCATGTGCTTAACATGTTTAAGGAACTAGAACTAGGTTAAATTCCCAGTACATCACTCACACACACACACGCACGCACACACACACACACATTTGTATTCACAAAATCAAATAAAAGATTTTATAGTTCACTTAAGAAATTCCCTATAATTTCTTTTTTCTTCTTCTTGCATTCTGGAAGCAACCCAAGAAGACCTTGCAGATCTTAAGCAGTCTCTACCACTGAACTGTAGAGGCCCTATAAAATGGGTCAAACTTTTTTCTCTGTGAAATAATTTTTAACAAATTAAAAAATAAAAAACCACGTGTTAATTTTTAGATAAGCTGTATTGAGATGTATTTACATACAAAATTCTCAAATTAAGCCATTCAATTAAGTGTGTATTGAAGTATATAATTTAATGAGTTTTTATAATTATATATAACCACATAATCATAATATAGGACATAGATGTTTACTGGGATTATAACATTAAGTTGCAAACACAACTTGAAACATTTTAGTTGCACATTATAAAAGAGAAAAAATTAACAGGTGGAATTAATTTTAACAAAACAAAGTATTAAAATATAATTTATATTTTAATCAATATAATAAATTATAATCAATTAAATAAATAAATAATAATAAATTGTAATCAATATAATAAATTGATATTTTGTATATTCTTTTTTCAATTTAATGTCTTTAAAATTTGATGTGTAACATACTTTATTTATTTATTTATTTATTTATTTATTTATTTATTTATTTTTAGTACCGGGGATTGAACTCACAAATGTGTGCTTGTAAGACAGGCGCTTATACTTCTGAACAAAATCCCAGGCCCCATTATTTATTCTTAAATGAGTGCACACAACTAAGAAATCTGACTAACAATCTTGATTCCAAGAACTGCATACGAAATCCTCCCCACACTTAAAGTAGCTACCATATTATACCTTTCCAAGATTCCAGAGTTAAATCAATTATTAGACTAAAAATTTGAGATGGTTATGAAAAAACACAAAATATTGTCAATGCCATGTATGGTCCAGATAACAGTTATGGATTATTGAAAGATATCTTTGCCTAGTTGAGAAACTTTCTTGTTAGTGAAGAGCCCCACTTACTTGTCAAAGCTGTACTGGGCCATTCTAGCAATAAAAGTTGCTTCTCCCACCACTTGAGCCATTCTTCCAAGAGCTTCCCCTGCTGCACATCGAAGGATTGGGTTTGGGTTGTCAAGAGCTCCCATAACTAGGGTCAGAGCCGATTTCCGAACTTCTTCCGGTCCTAAAGTACTTTTGTTTTCAGCTAATCCCTACATCAATTGGAAAAAAAAAAAAAAAAACTACAATGACTATTCATGTTAAATAAAAAGAAAAAAGTTGCTGCAATCATTGTGCTTTATTTTCCTTTTCTTTTTTGTACTGGGGATCAAACTCATGACCTTGTGCTTACCGGGCAGGCGCTTGAGCCACTGAGCTAAATCCTCAGCCCTAGGCACCTTATTTTCTTCAGCCAATTTTTGCACATATAATACAATGTCTACAATCAGTGTCTGTTATATAAACAATAATCATTTTCCTAAATATGATTTCAAAACATAAATAATTCAAACTTTAAGGAAAGAAAAACCTCAATTATCTTCTTTTTTTCTTTTTCTTCTTCTTTTTTTTTAGACAGGTCTCACTATGTAGTTCAGCTTGGCCTTAAACTCACCATGTAGCCTAGGCTGATCTCAAATTCATTATTTTCCTGCTGCAATTACTGAGTGCTGGGATTACATGTGTGTGCCACCTCACCAAGCTCCCAAAATTACGACTTAAGAGAATAATCAATATATATGTAAAAACACATCTAGTAAAAATAATCAGTAATTGAATGTTGATACAGTTTGTGTATCATATTAAATACTAATATATCTGTTCCAGTTATATTTACTATTACAGAATTTAATTTACTTGACACCAAATATCTAAGTCATAGTGCTATGGGATAAGAACTACAGTAGAGGTACTAGCATGTCAATGAAAAAGGCATAACCTGTACAGTAAAAGCTACTGCTCACTAGTCTTCCGACCACTAAGATCATGACCACCTTACTTTTTTTTTTTTAACAGGGTCTCACTACGTAGTTCAGGCTGGCCTTGAACTCATAGCAATCCTTCCACCTTGGCCCCTCAAGTGCTGGGATTATAGGTGTGTGCCATCATTCCTAGTCACCTAACTTTTAAAAAGAAAAAATTTCAGGTATCAGTATTCATTGATGTTTTCTAAACAGGGCATATACTAATGGTCATTTAAATAGTATAAACCTTTATCTCTGTAACCAGTGCCTATATTCTTTTCCCTGATAGCTGCAAAACAAGACTGAAGATATGCTCACTTAAACATTTGGATTGGCTACCATTTTATTTTAAAGCAATATCCTACAATATGCTTTGTGCTACATAATATAAAAAGCTTTCACATCTATTATGAAAGGCTGCATTAAATCTAAGGAAGGCAAACTGTTATTCTACTTCATAGTACAGAAACTCAGTGCAAAAAAGGTTAAGGGAGCTGGGCATCATGGCACACCGCTATCTCAGTACCTACAAGGCTGAGGTAGGAGGATCACTGCAGTCTGAGCTACAGCCTGGGATACACAGTGAGTTCAAGGCCAACCTATACTATACAGTGAGACACTGTCTCAGAAAAGAAACAAAGAGTTAAACAAATCGCACTACACACAAACTTAATGAGTAGTTAAATCTGAAAACACTCTCTACATCCAACAGTCTTTAAACTATATATACAATATCTCTAAATCACTAATCAAACTTAAGCTTTGTTTAGCCAGCCTTCAGTAGAAAATCGTATTTGAATAATCAGACATCTCAGGAAATTTCAAAAGAACTTACTGGCACTGTGAGATTTGAGGTTCAAATTGAAATAGGAACTAATATACTAATTTAATTACAAAAAACTCAAAATAAGGTTTCTACTAACTTCATTAAGCTAACATAAATGCACAGTTATCAAGTGCTATAAACATTGTAATAATCTTGAGATGCCCGATCTGTTAAATGTGGCAACTTTTTTTTCTTTCAAGACAGGATCTCACTATGTAGTACAGACCCGCCTACTACTTGCTTCTGTAGCCCAGGCTGGCCTCCAACTCACAGTGATCCTCCTGCTTCGGCCTCCCAAGTGCAGGTATTACAAGTGTGCACTACCATGCTTGGCTGTACTAACATTTAATCTCAGAATATTTATTATGTTTTAGAAGTAAATACCTTTAGAGCACTTAGAACAGCAGTAAATATATTAAGCTGCACAGCCTGCTGGCGGACACCTTTGGCTTGTTTAACACACTCAGCAAAGTGATCCAACATTTGCAATCTATAGGAACAGGATAAAAGATAATATTAGTGAATTTTTATTCAAATATGGCTCAAATTCAATAACAGTACAAAGTAATGTTCAGAAAATAATATTGCGTGCTATATCTTTTCTATTTCATAGCTAATCCAAACTAGAGCTCCTTATTCTAAATTAAGACATACTCATGTAGTTATTCAATAGAACAAAGAAGATTGAATATTGTTTTGATTGGAAAAATTAGGTAATAACTGTTATCATTAACATCAACATCCAACAAGGTACCTGACAGTAAGCATGCTACAGTTTGCCTCTTGAATCCACCCATCCCATGTGTCAAGGGCTTGATCCCCAGGGTGCAGCTGTTTGGAAGCAATTTAGATCTTGGGGATTTGCCCTTGTAGGGAACAGCAGGATCCCAGAACCCTCTCTCAATCTTTTTGCTTCCCAACCACAAGATAAGCAATTTTGTTGTTCTACATGCTCTAGCTATGCTGTGCTGCCTCAACATAGGACCAAAATCAATCATGAACCAGCATCTCCAGAATGATAAGTAAATGGAAACTTTTTCAAAGTTAGTTATCTCAGTTATATGTTACAGTTACAAAAAGCTGACTAACACAAAATGCTCAAAGTTTCTTGAACATAGTAACAATCATTATGTAGCTGTGTGGTAGACTTTTAAGTTAAAAATTTAAGAAGTATGGTCTAGGGGTTAGGGTTAGGGTTGGGGTGCCTAGGGGCCAGGGTTAGCTCAGCTGCATTGGGAGGCTGTGAGTTTGATGATGGTACCAAAAAAAAAAGTATGGTCTGTTTTTCTTTCTTAAAAATATTCATGCATAGAAGAGAATAGGGGCTGGGGATTTAGCTCAGTGGCGTAAGCGCCTGCCTTGCAAGCAGGCAGTCGTGAGTTCGATCCCTGGTACCAATAAAAACTTAAAAACAAAACAAAACAAAACAAAACACAGAAGAGAATAGTACCTTACATCCTAACCTCCAAACCTATTGGGAAAGTTCAAAAAGATTCTATTCTTGATCATTTTTTTAATACAAAAAACTAGAAGTGAATTGGTTTTTATACTGTTTCAAATTTTCAAGAAGGAAGAAGGTTTACAAAAAGAAACATGGTACTTTAACCTTCTGATAAGAGTGAGACTATTCTAAAAGAAACAGTTTGTAAAGCAAATGAATTCAGGAAAGGTAGATACAGTACTTCACTAAGGTAACTATTACCTGAAGTGGAAATTAAAATCTTTCAAAGGTCACTATAAGAATTTAAACTCAACTTACAGTATGCCACAAGTTTCACATCAAAGGATTTTTTTCAGAAACTCATAGGAAGAAATAATAAGCCTTCTGCAAAAATTCCATTTAGATTTCTTTATAGTTAAGGCTGAGTGTGTCCAACGGACCTGCCTAGAATCCAAGCACTTGAGTTTGGCCTGGCCTTATACTCACAACAATCTTCCCTCAGCTGCCTGAGTGCTAGAATTATAGGCATGCACCACCATGCTTGGCTTTTATGAGATTTTTTCACCTTAAATGTTCTTTTAACACTTATGTGGCAACTAAATATTCTTTAAGCAATTTCAATAAATTTCACTTTCAGGCTTTTAGTATGCATAGCAAACTAAAACTAATCACATAATCTACATATTTAAAGCTGTAGTATCTCTTGTATACAAATAGAACATATTTAAGTTATAGCTTGTAAAGCTTCTAAATTATCTATAAAGGTCTTACATTAATTTATTTTTAGTTACATTTTTGAAAAGTCATAAAACATACAAACTGACTACTAAAGTTAATACTAAAGTTAGGGATGATGACTGCAGATATAAAATATAGCAAACTAAAATGCAGTTACTAAAATGAACTGGTTAGGGGCTGGGGATTTAGCTCAGTGGCATAAGCGCCTACCTTGCAAGCAGGCAGTCGCGAGTTCGATCCCAGGTACCAATAAAAAAGAAACACACACACACACACAAAATGAACTGGTTTATCTCAGTTTCCCCAAATTCCATACCTGATTGATCTCACAGACAAATGCTTTCAGAGTTGACTTCTCATCCACTTATTTCTTCATTAACAAAAAGCAACAGAATCAACCAACTACTCTAAGTAAACACACAGTCAAACCTACTTATGAACTGTCAAACTACAATGAAAATTTTGTTATACAAATACAGTACACAGTATGACACCAGATGCTAGTACACATGGAGCCAAATCTTAAAAACAGTCACAAATTATGTGAAATCTGCATACAGTTTATCATGTACACGCTACTTATGTTAGTAAAATATGAGATTTTTGTTTAAATACTAACTCATTTTATTACAGCATTAAGTAGAGTGGGAAAATCTACTGTTGGAATACAATTTATATTTAACTAAAATCACCTGATTAACAATACTAACCGGTGTTTGTAAGAAACATGAGGAAACACTACACCAAAAAGAGCCACAGAAGCATCAATGACTGAGACTCCAAGAGGGAGAGGACCAGGTACAGCTTCTCCAGCGGGTATTCGTAGGTAAATGGAGGAAGGGTCATGCTCCAGAGCCCCACTTCCAGATGCACTGTTTGGCTGGAGCTACAAAGGAATCACATAAAAATCATTCAAAATCTTTAGGATAGTCACTAAGTTTTAGATATGAAAAACAGAACAGAGAAGATAAAGGTAATAAAAAAAGAATGACTAGACATAAAAAATTTTAAAAATAAATAAAAAATGATTAGGCCATTAAAAAAATCAGAGTAACACAGGAATTTAGTAACAACCTTGTTCACTGGAAACATTTTTATAACCCCACATTAATGTGAGCAAAATAATATTAGCCATAATTAAACTTACAAAAATTATTTTAATGTTTTTAAAAAATACATAAAATTATGTATTCAGTAGGCAAAAGTTTCTAATCCCTAACCTACTAACTCTCATTCTTTGCCAACCTCATAAAACAAAACAAGCAAAAAAAGCCAGTTGAAGCTGACTTTTGCCACAGTATCAGGTAATTGAATAAAAAGAACACTGAATAAAGACATTTTGCCAAATTCTAACCTTATTACTTTTTTTCTGTATCCAAAATGCTATCATTCAGTGTTTAAAAAAGCTAAATGAAAATTAAAGCTTAGTCTACAATATTTTATTCTTACATGACAATATATACCATTGTTTTAGATAAAGCTAGTGTTCTCTTTTCTTGTATGATTTACTACCTGGTCTTCAATTGATTTATGATCAGTTTCTTGAAGCCAGGAACCAAGAAGAACGCTATCATCATAATGACAGAGGGACCGGAGAAGGGAGGTAGTTGTGTTGGCTGAGTTGTCGGTCAAAGTGAACTCTGCTACCAGTTCTCTAAGAAGTGCATTGAAAGATCCTAAAAAAAAAAACCAGATGAGATTAAAACTAATAACTTTTATGAAAATTATAATCATTTCCCATAAGGAATAACAATATGTTCAACAGGAATAAAATCCCTATTTCCTTTTTTAAAAATCTGTAAGTTATTTTGTGGAGGAGGGACCTTACCAGGTATCAAAATCAGGATCTCAGGCTTGCCAGGCAGGTGCTGCACACTGAGATGAACCCCTAGCCCTTAAAAATCTATATAAAGTTAAATAGAAATAGATTCTTTATTTTAAATGTATTAAATGTGATGTGATTATTATGTAATGCTCATTGCCCAATAATGTGTAAATTACTGAACTAGAGCATACTTGAATTATTGAGCATAGCTGTATTGGAAGGAAATTAATAGCTCATTTTAATTTTTTTAAAATTTTATTTAAAGAAAGACTAAACAAAACAGAAAACAAGTAGAAACAATACATACTTTCAAAGAAAGAATAAACAGTAAGAAATCACTAGTTGATATTTACATATTGTCCTCTTACAAATAATTATTCAAGATATAAAAAGTGGAGCATATAAAGTGGGGATTCAAACAGCAAGACTGCAACTAGTTCTGTTCAACTATCCAATAAAAACTTAGTAATATGGTTATCAATCCTATACACTTAAACATACATGTAGTTATCCATATCTTCATTTATGTTGAGACTGAACAAACCCAAGCAGGCTAAAATCACTCTGAACAAAGAATAACCAGTATTTCTGGTTTTTACATTGTGACATTCCTGGATCAGCACTGGGTACTATAGTGTCTCTTTTTCTTCAAAGTATTTGTTCATTTCATCATGTGTTATAAGATCAGTTCTCATAAACTGTTTATAGGTTCTATGCATGGATGAGTCTTAACATGTATTTTTATCCTTTCTATATTAGAGGGAGGAACAAAACAAAAAAAATTCCTATAAACACATGAAACGAAAAAAACATAAAACTGCTGTACAAGGAGTTCTACCATGGTTACTGTGTTGTCTCTTATTATCTTCAATAGAATTGGCTATATCATCAGAAATAGTATAATTGAATATATCAGTATATAACAATATTAATAAAAACACAACTTTGTATATAGTATAAAACTTCAAAAACAGGTAGTAATCAGACCAGAATGGGTATCGTAGTGAGTTTTGTCATCTTCAGTGTAGTTGCCTATACATACTCTCAGACTTGATACTATCAATCGTAACAGTTTTGAATAAAATCTGTTGATATCAAACAGCAATCAAACAAACCAGATTCAACTAAGATCAATCATGATAAAACAGTGTAAGTCATACAAGGCTCCAGATTAAGTTAATAGGAAATTAAAGATGATTATTGTGCTATACCCTGATGTTTTGGGGATAGCTGTCTGTGCCCTCAAATCTAATGCAAGTAGACAAACTGGGACAGAATAAAATCTATCTAAGCAGAGTGGTGCGAGTAATATGGGTTTTAATTCTTGATACACTATTAACAATATCTTTCGCCGTCTTTTAAGACTATTCCTCCCCTTTCACTTCCTTAGGGTGCACTATGCATTTTTGGGTCTCACCAAGATCCTCGGTTTTAAATTGGCAGGGGCAATGTGCTATTTAGCTAAGTGGTTCCGATCCTTCTCCCTCCTGGACTTGATCTCTAGTTGTATTCCTTTACCTATTAAAGCCTGTCTTTCCAATCTATCCACAAATACTGGTCTAGTTGCCCCTATTATCCTCTGGTTTTGTCACACAGAGCATTGTCTTCTCATATTTGATTTTCAGTCCATATACCCTTTTTCAGGTTAATTATATTTCCTATAAAGAGCATCTCGGTGGACCCTACCTCCTAATCTACTCTACCTGTGATTCTTTTTTTATTAATTTAATGTATCAAGTCCATTTATATTAGAGATTATAATCAACCTTCTCTGCCTCATTTCTCTTATTCTCTTTTTGGGCCATTAGTTGTCTGCTTGTCTTCTTCATACTGCTTTCTGCTTCATTCATTGAGTCCTCTCTGCCATTGGTCCTTTTCTCTCTCTAGAATGCCCTGCAGTATCCTCTGTAGAGTTGGATTGGTGGTCACAAATTTCCTCAGTTCCTCTTTGTCTTGGAAGCATCTTGTTTCTCTATTAATTTCTAGAGACAGTTTTTCAGGGTATATCAATCTGGGCTGGAGGTTATTTTCTTTCAGGGCTTGAAATATTTCACTCCAAGCTCTTCTTGACTTGATGGTTTGTGTCAAGAAGTCTGCTGTTATTCTGATGGGCCTTCTTTTACAGGTGATCTGTTTCTTGTCTCTAACAGCTTTTAATATTCTGTTCTTATATTGAATTTCTGGGATCTTGATTTTTATATGCCTGGGTGTAGCTGTTTTGGTTGTAGTGGCTGGAGTTCTGTATGCCTCATACATCTGAATACCATTTCCTTTTCCTATGTTTGGGAAATTTTCCTTAATTATTTCTGTGAATAGCCTTTGTAGTTCCTTTGTTTGTACCCCTGCTTATTCATTCACATTCTTTATTCTGGAGTTATAGGTCATCTTGTTGTCTTCTAGCCTTTGTATTATTACTGTTTGTTTCCTTGCTATTTTTAAAAAGTTTTTCTTTCATAATCCCACACCGAAAACCTGTCTTCCTGTTTGGATATCTATCCTTAGTTTCTTTCAAGCAGTTTTGGCAGCTTTCAATGGAGTTTTTAATTTCCTGGTAATCTCGTTGAATCTGCTTCATGTATTCTATATTTTCTTTATATTCTTCATCAAATGGTTCTCTCCTTTGTGTTCTCCATTCTTCCATGCGTTCTTGAGAGGTGCTTAGCATTTCTTTTATTGATCTAGTTATATCTCGCTTTACTTGGTTAAATATTTCACTTTTGAACTTGTCTATGAGGTCCCAAAGATATCTCTTTATGTCCACTGATGCCGTGTCTGATATTGCATGTTTGTTGCCCTCGATCTCTTTTGTATTTACCTTTCCTGAACCAATGTTCTCCGGGTTGGGGGCTGGGGCCTTTTTCTTATTGCTTCCTCTTCTCATTTTTTGTTTCTTCCAATACAGTCCAATAAAGGAGGCCCTAGTCTGTCCCCCTTCCCCCTTTTTTGTTGTTGTTAATTCTGGTTCTTCTGAAGTGTGCTGGCTAGGTGACCCTGCCTACTCCAGTGTGCTACTGAGGTGCAAATAGGGACAGGCGTGTGCTGGCTTCTCCCCTATGGGTCAGCCAACCTCCCGAGTCCTTCACTGCGCCTTAGTGTGCACAGCCCATAGGGAATTGGTCTGGGACAACCTACTGGTTCCCAGCCAGGGGTGTGACCCAGGCCAAGGACATCTCACCAATCTCATCTGGGATAACAACTGACTAAAGTCTCTGTAGTACCTTGTTTCTGCCAGTCCTGCCCAGTTCCAAAATAGCGTTCCCTTTCCCATGGAAGGGTTTTATTCCCAACACTCACCACAGGTCAGTGCAGGTCCCCTACCAGCTCCACTCTCTGTTGATCTTGCCGATCCCTGACCTCAGTGCACCTGCACCCCAGAGCTCCAAAAGTCGATGCAGTGGGAACCCGGGCAGTTCGCTGAATCACAGCCGTGTGAGTTCAGACACACCAGCCAGTGCAGTTCTCTGGTTCGCTGCTCCCTTCTGCCCTTACATCTCCCCACCAAGGCCTTCAGGCTTGCCACCCACCAGCTGCACTGTGTCCGTGCATCTCCGGGTTCCAACAGTGCTTCTGGCACAGTGGGACCAGCTCTGGTGAGAGCGCCGCCAGCTACTGCCTTCTTCTGTTCAAGTTTTTCTTTTTTAAAATTCTTTCTGTGGGCTTCAATTCTCACTTTAGTTTCTTCCTGGATCAAGGGGACCTACATCGTTCCTGCTTTTCTTCTCCAGAATGCTATATTCTAGCATTTGGGTTGTTTCTCTCAGAGTCTTTTTACTTTGCTGCTTACTTTGCTGCTTACTTTGCTTTACTTGCTGTTCCACCATCTTCCCAGACTCTAGTTCATTTTAATATTAACATTTTATATAATATTTGATTTTTACAAAGTACATAACTACTTTCCCTTCAGACCCTTGTGTTAATGGCTACATTACAATATACATGAAGCTATTTAGAATGATAATAAAAAAATACAGATATTGAAGATAAGCTATCTGGTTTGAATTCAACTGCCACTTACTGAGCTGTAAAACCTGGACAAATTACTTTACCTCTCTCTATCACAGATTCTTCATCTATAAAATAGAAGCTTAGGATAGAACCTGGAACACAGTAAGAACTCAGTAAGTATGAGCAACTAGACAAAGAAAAAAAAATAGTAGCCTTTTTTGTATAATGAGCTAGCTGGAAAGATCTAGTCAGAACTCTTTGATATTGTAAGGAACTGGAAATGTATTGTTATGGTTTGTGTTTAGATGTTCCTCCAAAGCCTAATGTAGTTTTAAATGTTGCTTTTTTGGAGATAACTAAATCTAGCACTGATTTAGTAATAAAATGCTGGGATTAAGGGTGTGAGTGTAACATTTGCCCTAGGGTTAGTAGCTTGCATACAATACAAGGGACAGAAAAATTTGTCCTCTCCCCCTTCTCTCTTGTTGATTTTGCTGTCTTCTGCCACCATGAACAACTGCTCCTCTGCCACATGTCACTCTGCCTTGTAGCCAGCAAATTATGGATTGAAACCTTTATAAACTATGAGCTAAATAAACCCATCTATGAGCTAAATTGTCCCAGCAGTGAAAAAGTAACTAAGAAAGGCATATAGAAAAATTTTTATTAGTTACTTACCTTCATAAGTTTTTGGAGGTAACAATGCCAAGATATCATAAAGTCTTAAGCGGACCATTGCAGCACTAGCTTTCAGATGAGCTCCGTGGGCTTTAATTACAGATGGAATGCTAAAATATCAAAGTACAGCTGGGTATAACTTATACGTATTAGAATTACTTACAAACCTTTAACAACGTGTAAACACTGTCATTTGGATAACATTGTTATTTATTTCATGATCTTTACTATTAGCAGTAAAAACACTACAAAATAAAATTATACATCATTAATACAACTGTTTTAAATGCAGTACTGCAAGTGGAACCAAAGGCCTTTTCATTGAGTTACATCCCAGCTTTGTATTTTAAAATAGTCTCATTAAAATGTGGTAGAACTCAAATTTTCAGTCCTGCATCAGCCTTAGAGAGTGCTGGGATTACAGACAGGTATCATTGCTCACTATTTTAATTTTTAAAGTCATTTTTACAAAAATTAAGTTTTAGATATTTCCTGTATGACTCTAATAGGAAGTAAAATATGACTGAGCATTATCTAAGTGTTTATTAACATATGAAGCAAAGTGCTATCATAAGTGTTTACTTACTGTGACATCATGGTCATAGCACATTCAATAGGAGTCATTAATTTTCTAATCACATCTTCAGTTAGGAGCTCCGGACAATGGGCAACAAAACTTCTCATAGCTAGATAAAAAGTTTAAAAGGAAAGATTTAAAGCTCCTTTTGTTTGTTATAAACTTATAAAAAGAAAAAGGCATCTAAATCTTTATTATAAAATATAAGGTTCTGAAACCATGTTAAGCCAAAACAAAATCCAAAAACAACTAGAGAAAACTTATTAGAAAAAATGAAGAAAAGATGGGCAGCAGAGATGGAGGGAGGGAAGACATATATTAGGGAGACTCAGAAGACAAAACTCCCCCAGGAATTCAGATGACCATAAAGGTGGCAGGTCTGGACAGAACCAGGGGTGAACCAAATAGTCCAAAGGGGAGGAGTATCTTTACTAGCCTTTAGAGGTTAGACTAAAATACTTCTCAGATATGTGGGAGGAAAATTGACATCCTACACTGCACCCTTCAAGTTAAACAAATATCTCTCTCAGTTGGGAAAAGTATATTTCACCTTGAAATAAACCACAAAGAACCAGGAGAGCCAGTATAATTCTATTTCCCAAATGGAAACTGGAGCCTTCCCTTTTGAGTTTCTGAGGCCTACACAAAAACTACATCCAAAACTTTTGTAATGCTCATGTCTGAAAAATGCATCAAGTTACAGACTTGACAACCATGAGGAAAAAACAGCCACTTTTCCATTATGCAAAGACTAGTATTTTTGTTTAGATACTCATTTTTTTTTTAACTTGGTGATTTGGTGTTTTTTGGACAGATTCTAGGACTCCAGGATTAGTAATAAAGAAACCTGGGTTCTAGCTGCTATGTTACTACTAATTCTGATTACTTAAGAGTCTTAGTTTCATTTTTATTACAAAATACCAATAACTGAGCAATAACAATGATGACAGTTTGCTAGAGCTTATTATATAGAAAATATTTTCTAAATCTAGAAGTCTATGAATTTAACATTACATACTAAAATAGAAAATTAAACTAATGATTTTACTTCACAAACATTTTAGAATATAGTATTCTGAAAGTACAATCTTTCAGTTCTTACCACATAAAGCTCCAGCACGACCTTCCAAAGTTACCTGCCAGGTAAAAGAATCCCCTCGAGCCTTCTCAGCCTCTAATTCCTTTAAAGAACGAGGGAAAACATTTCGCCATAATAACAACATCTTGGGCAGATGATAACGAACAACAGATGGTCCTAATCAAGAAAATGAAAAGAAAAAAAAAAGAGAAAATAAAAGGTACAAAATCATAAATATATAGTATACATTACAAAAAAAAAGTCAAAGGACAGGAGTTCCATACAAGTTAGCCATGTCATTTGACTCTATTTTGCAATCTCAAAGTTAATATTAGTTCCAAAATGTTTTTATTCAGTAAGTAAAATAAGTGTATGTTAAAATTCACTTTGTTAAAATTCACTTTATTTATCTTTATTTATTTTTTTGGTACCAAGGATTGAACTCATGACTGCATGCTTGCCAGGCCTAAAATCTACTTTAAAATGAGTATGGTTGCACATGCCTAAAATCTCAGCTACTTGGATGCTGGGGCAGAAGGATTCCAAATATTAAGCCATCCCTGACAATTTAGCAAGGCCTTCTCTAAAAGTAAAACATTTTTAAAGAGAGGTGAGAATGTAGCTCAGTGTTAGAGGATTCACCTAGCATGTGTGAGGGCCTGGGTTCAATTCCCAGCACTACAAAACAAAAAAATCATTTTCATAGTATTAGTATTTTTAGTATTCAAACATACAACAAACACATACAAAACCAAAAAATCATCCTATATTAAGAACAGTGAATAACATATTATCAATAATAAAATCTATTCAGATTATATTCTATAATTTTTTCCATAAATACTATACATGTACTTAAACATATATACCCACTTCCCACACACATACAAATACATATTGCTCTATACTGGGAGCAATGTACTATATATGGTTAGTTTCATGGAAAAGCAGTATATTCGGAACTAAGGACCTACATTTACACTGCTAAGGCAATAATTTAGCATACCACTTACATACTTAACATAAATTTTTAGAAAAGCATTACCACTTTTCTAAACACCCCCAACCCCTATATTGGGGATCAAACCTAAAGGAGCTCTATCACTGAACTACAATCCAGTTCTTTGTTTTATTTGTTTGCTTTTAATTTTGCTTTTGTTGTCTTTTTGAGACAGAGTTTCACTATGTAATACAGGCTGGCCTCGAACTCACTAGGTAGCCCAGGCTAGCCTCGATCCTCCTGCTACAGACCCCTGAGTGCTGGGATTACAGGGTGATACCACACCCAGCCCTGATTTTTATTTTTGATACAGGATCACACTAAGATACCCAGGCTGGCCTCAAGCTCATAATCTTCCTGCTTCAACCTCCCAAGGGATTATAGGTATGAACCAATACACTTGGACACCTATTTCCTTCAGAAAAGAAAACTAGGCCAAACATAATTCCCAATAGACAGAGTCCCTTAGAATACTAACCTTGAATATACACACACAGTTTTTATAGTAGCAGCTAAACATGTGAATGAAAGTGAACAAATACAATAATGTGTATTTCCATCCTACACAAAATATTAAACTTTTCTTGTATCTAAGATTTACCACAGCACTTAAAGTGAAGCACATAAGGACAGTCCCCCCAAAAGCAGCACCAGCAACACTAATTATGACTTTATCACTCTATTAACATGAGGTCTTCACTCAGAGAAATCAATATGCCCCAGTCTCAACTCTTTTGATTAGAACTCATCAATTAGACAATGGTTATTGAATGTACATAATCAGAAATTACTTAAAAGATAAATAATTTTATCAAATGATTTTACATTTTACAACCTCACTCAAAGTCTAGAAAGTGAGGTTAATAGTTTTAAATTTGGCTTACAGTTCCCTGATAATTACAGAATAAAACAAAAATCCTACTCCAATATACTTATACCTAAAGTCATAAGTGCGCCAAGTAAAAGCCATCCAGCTTGGGTGCGTTGTAAAGATAGCCTGCTATTTTGGGCAGCAGTTCGTAACAAATCTTCAGCAATACTAACTACCATCTGCAAGAAAAGTGTAGGAAAGATTTTAATTTAAACAAGTTAAACCAAAAATAGATAACTAGTGTATTTTAAAAGAAGCTGTCCTTTCATGGTTAATGTTAAAATGTTCCTAGCAGCAACATCAAGATCCACAGTATCTACTATACTGGTGACTCTGAGATCCCAAATCAGGGAGTGGTCAAGAGAAAACTTTGGGGCTGGGGATTTAGCTCAGCAGCATAAGTACCTGCCTTGCAAGCAGGCGTCGTGAGTTCGATTCCCGGTCCCGATGAAAAAGACAAAAAAAAAAAAAAAGAGAAAACTTTAAGGCACAATGGTACACAACTATAATCCTAGCACCCTGAAGGTGGAGGAAGAAGGACTGCAAATTCAAATTCAACCTGTGCAACTCAGCAAGTTAGTAAGACCCAATCTTGAAATAAAAAATAAAACAGCTGGGGATGCAGCTCAATAGAAAGACCCTGCACTCAATCCCCAATAATACAAAAAAGAGAAAAATAAAGCCAGGCATTTGGGTTCATGTTAAAATTCCACCATTTAAGGGCTTTCTGATCAGGGCAACATAAACTCTGTCCTTTAGTTCTCTCACTGATAAAATAGGAAAAATATGAGTGTCTCTCACACTCCTGCCAGGTATAAGTTAACACAGTACAATATTTAGATCAGTGCTAGCACACATAGCCACTTAATGAATGCTATCATAATTGGTAAAATCATCCTATATTCAAAAATTTGTTGAGCCCTTATGATACAAATGTCCGTAAACTAATCTGATGGAACTTAGAAGTATAGACTAGTAATAGCAAACTTTTTAGAGCTTTCAATAATACAAAAAGCCCACTGTGGTACGCATGCTATAGATTCACCACCACTGGTCTCGACAGAGAAAACAAGGGAAAAATGGGAACTGGAAAGCAGCACATGACTAAATGACAGAATAGTAACACAGATACCATAAAGGTCAGGAAACAACAGCTAATATAAACTAAATTGTTTTGAAGAAATTTAAGAAAGGACATAAAGATTGAATTGGTCAAATCTTTAAAGAAAGAGGCCAGATATGCTGAAGCACACCTGAAATCCCAGCACTGGAGACGGAGAGGCAGGAGGATGACTAAGGGAAAAGCTAGCCTGGGATACATGAGTACACAGACCAAGCACACCATGTCTGAAGGTCAGAACTGAACTACATGGCAAGATCCTCTCTCAAAAAACCCAAAGGAAAAAAACAAACAAATCAACAAAAACAGGTAGGGATTTAAATCAGGTCCAGTGAGTAAAAAATTCTAATGTTAAGAAAGGTGGAGAGGTTTAACAAGTCCTGGGGAAAAGAAAGATGACCAATCCGAATAGAGCAGTGGGAAATCAGAATAAATGACTAAAATAAAGGCTAACTATGAGCAACTGGCCTATCAGAAAGATTATATTTTATTCCCTGAGTACAAGATAGTGCCTAAGGATTTTTGAACAAACATGAAATACGAAAGTAGTGCATGGAAGACAAAAGAAAAAGACTTCATAAAGGATAATCAATGAGGAAGCAATCATATGACAAAGTGAGAGACACCTAGATTCCTTAAGTAGCACATAAAAATGAATTACAGTCAGGTTCAGCAGCACACACCTGTAACCCCAGAACTTGGGAGGTTGAGACAGGAGGACTGGCACAGGGTTAAAGCCAGCCTGGACTGCACAGTAAGTTCCAGGCCTGCTTGAACTACACAGCAACACCCTGTCTCAAAAAAAAAAAAAAGAATTATAGATGGTACACAGCTATAATTCCAGTACTCAGGGAAGCTGAAGCAAGAAGATGATAAGTTCAAGTCCAGCCTGGGCAACTTTAATGACTTAGTGAGATTCTGTCTCAAAATAAAAATATAAAAGGGCTGAGGATGTAGCTCACTAGAAAGGCCCAGAGTTCAATCTCTAGCATTAATTTTAAAAAAAAAAAAGAAGAAAGAGAAGAAAAAAAAGAAAGAATGGACCTCCTCTGAACATTCCAGAAAAAGAATAAGAATATAAACACTTAAGACTCTGAAGAAAATTGTGGTTGTAGAAAGTACAACACAGTAATGGAGAACCCCTCAGAGCTTTCAATGATACAAACATCTTGCTGCATGCCATAGGTTCATCACTGGTATAACAGAAAGAAAGCAAAAAGGGGAAAAAGTGATTTATGAAGAAGTTTATTTATTTAGTTAGCTTTTTAAGACAAGATCTTTGTTATGTAGTTCAGTTTGGCCCTGAACTTGCTTTGTAGCCCATGACAACCTCAAATTCAGAGTCCTCCTGCCTCAGCCTCCCCCCAACAACTGGCATTGTTGGTGTGGGCCAGCATGGCCAGCTTGAAAACAACTGAATTTTTAATTAAGCATTAACAAATTCTAAACGTAGCAATAATATATTCTCCTACCGCCTTTCAATATAGCAATCTGATATTCTATTTCTGGAAACTAAAAAAAAAAAAAAAAAACCCTCTAAGTAACAATACTATATCCACACAAAACCTATCATTGGATTTCAGAATTAAACATTCTGTAGAGCATATTAAGACTATATTCCAAGTTATCATAAAAAAAACCTGTTGCAAATTAATCACCCAGTTCAACAATTAAAAACAGCAGTGCTTGACGGTTTACAAATCTAGGATCTCTGTAATACCTTTCCTTTGGCGTGAGGAATGCCCAAAGGACACTGATGAACTCCACCTAACAAAGCAGCCATTGCAAAACTATATCCACTGACAGCTTCTGGTGATGTCTTCAGGTTGTTCAGCCGTTCCGCACACCTATCTAAAAATGGTGTCAACTGGAAAGGTAACGCCACAGCCACACAGCGCAAACACCACGCAGCGGCAAGCCGAGCAGCCATGCTTGGATGAAGAAGCACTGAAGTCACAATCTCCAAAAGTCCTAAAAAAAAACAAAGCTTCAAATATTACTCTTTGATTTCAGAAACTAAAAGATTATGTACAACACAGTTAATGACAATAATTAGTCCTTTCACTCTTGTTGATTGTTCTGTCTTCCACCATCACAAATGTTGCCCGTCTGCCAGGCCACCCTGCTTTGGAAACCCCTGATTATGGACTGAAACCTCTAAAAAACAGTGAACCAAACAAACCTTTTGTTCCTTAACTTTGGGTACTGGGTATTTTGTCCCAACAATGAGAGAAAAGCAACCAACACAGAATTTCGTACCAGAGAAGTGAGGTCATTGCTATGACTATACCTGACCATGTGGTTCAAGAGTCTTTGGGAATGGCGTATGGGAAGAGATCGAAAAGATTCAGAGATGCCAGCTGAAAAAGCAGAGCTGGACTATCTTAAGCTGTTCTGTATGCGAGATTCAGTCAGAGCTCAGAAGATCAGTAGACTGATAGAAATTCTGCTAGTAAAGGCCAGGCTTGGGAAGTTTCTTCTAGGAAGGACAGCATTGGCTGTTGGGACTTCAGATGATGTGTGTTACGGGTTGGCAAAAAGTTTGTTTGCATTTGCTCATGTCCAGAAACTGCCTGAGACTAAAAGCAGTGGACTAATTAATCTGGCAGAAGAAATTTCAAGGCAGTCAAATGTTGAGGCTGTGGCATGGTTACTGTTAGGAGCTTTTAGCCAGATTTATGTTGTGAATCAAAAGCAAAGAGCCCAAAAGAATTTAAAATATGTGAGTTTGGCTAGAAAGGAAGTTTCAACAAAACTGTGGACAGCATGTTTCGTTGTTATGCCCTCTTTTATCTCAATCTCCACTCCATTATTTACTTTTTTATCTTTATCCTTTTAATTAAAGGAAAAAAAATGGCAGGATATATTATAGTAACCCACTTTGTCTTTTCATTACCTTGATTTAAAGCCCTGTATTACTCTCACCATCTGGTTTTTAACTGATGTTCCCCTATTCTGTTTTGCTGGATAGTACCAGGTTCGAAAGTTTAGGCATCAGCTGTGAAGATAATGAGATTCATTATGACGCCCATTCTTGTTGACTTTTATCTACTTTTGAAGACCTACAATGTCTCCAATGTTTTGGTTTTGTCGGTTTTATTCTTTACTGTTTTGTTCAATTGTATTATAACCAACGATATAGGCAATTCTATTAGAGATAGCGGGAGGCATTATGGTAACCATTGTTGATCACCTTGTATTATGTTTTTACATTATCTATTATGTCCACCCTTTTGACTTGACCGATTCTGTTCTGTTATGTCACATTTGGTTTTACTCTCTTCCAAAAAAGTAATAAGAACCATGGGAGCAATGAAACCCAAAATGTGTAATAGTCATTGTACAAAAGAGAGGAAAAGAAAGTGCTCCAAACTATATAACTGCATGTATATTTAAGTGTATAAGATAGAAAATGATACCACAGAGTTTTATTGGATCAATGAACAGAACTGTTTGCAGTATCATTGATGGAATGTCCACTTTACAAGCTTTAATTTTGAGACTTGAACAATTATTTCTAAGATGACAATATGTAATCCATTAACTAGTGATTTCCTACTGTTCATTTTTTTTCTGTAAATCTGTATAACTTGTACCCTTTCCCTGCTTTTTTTTTCTTTTCTCCTTAAATAAAATTTAAAAAAAAAATCAAATAAAAAAAACTGTGGACAGCAAAGATATAGCAGAGGGGATCTTGATTGCTAAAAAAGAACAGGAGAATAATAAAGATGGCATGAGCGCATCATAAGAAGCAACAGGACTCTACCCTTCGCAGTTTCAAACCTGCAAAAGTAAAAGACTCTGCTCTGAGGAAAAAGCTGCAGAGCACCATGCTCCAGAATGGTGGTGGCATAGAGAATTTGTTTCTCAGAACTGGATTCAGAGTGCTCAGTGATCCAGGCACTTGACCCCCTATAGCCAACAGCGGGGGAAGCCTGGCTACTGCTCCACTTGCAGCAGATGTGGGCATCATCCACATGGCACTGGTTTTAGGTGCATGCAGAATCCAAGAGCTGTGGGGACAAGAAGGCTCCCACACAAATTTCAGAAGGCCTGGGAGGCAAGGCAGTATGCTCCTGAGAGGGCAATATGTGAAGCTGTGAGTGTGAAGTCAAAGGTGCTATACAGACCCCAGAAGTTTGGAGAAGCCAGAAATGTGGATCATTTAAGGAAAGCTACAAGGAAGGAGCAAAGTAGGACCAAGAGAGAAGCTATGGCAGCTAAAACCACAGGAAGTGCACAGGGATGGAGCCACTTAAGCCTTTGAAGTTCACATCTGCCACAAATTGTCTCAGATGCTGCACATGGAACTACAGACTTAATGACCGTCCTGCTGGATTTTGGACTTGCTTTGGTCCCATTCCTTGGTATTCCCATTTGTAACATTTGGGATAGAAACATCTATCTTGTGCCACTGAATGTTGGAAGTGTTTAACTTTCTTTTCATTTGTACAGGAGAGTGCAACTGAGAGTTTGCCTTAAATCTCAGAGGAGACTTGGCACTTGGACTTGTTAGCAAGGCTCAATCTGTTAGAACTATGGAAACTCTTGGAGATGAACTAAATGACTTTTCTATAAAAATATGTATATCAGTCTTTGGGGGGTCAGGGGTATAACATTAGTTTGTGTCTAGATGTCCCTCCAAAGCCTCATGCAGTCTTGGGGGCAGGTGTTTTTGGAGGTAGTTGAACACAGAGTTTGTGACTGATTTATAGTCCAATGCTGGGATTAAGGGTGCTGGCTTTAAGGATGGGTGACTGCTAGATCAGTCCACTGATTAAGATTGGCATCACCCTAATTTCAGCAGTCTGGCTAAGATAAAGGGGCAGAAAGAGGCTTGTTTCATGTTGCTCTTGTTCCTTTTGCTGTCTCCTGGCTTTCTGGCAGGCCACCCTGCCTTGAAGGCTGATTTTGGACTGAAGCCTCTACAAACTGTGAGCTAAATAAACCTTTCTTTCCTTAAAAACAATAGTAATAATAATAATGACAATAATCACCATGATTTCACCCAGCTTCACAACTTTGCCAAAAAAAAAAAAAAATACATGCTGTTTGTAAACAATAGAGAGCATGCATAAGCTATACATTCTACAAAGAATATAGAACAATATCCAATGGAATAGGAATATTAATGAAAAATTAAAAGTTTTCAACAGCTTTTCATCAATTATTAGAAACAAGTACTGTAACTATGATTGGTCTCGAGAACTTTTACCTGTTTAATTCAATATTCCCTACCACAAATGAAGACAAATAAAACTATGACTTCTACATCACTTATGACCATAAATAACCAGAAGTTAAATATCAATCATACTTACAACTCTGAAACACAATAAGAAAACATTCCAACAAGTCTAACTGGATGCCATACCTATAGACACTTCCTGAATAAGTGGAGAGGCAGTGGCATTCAGGCTCTGTACCAGGCTCCCAAGCTCCTGGAGGGCACAGACCATGACATGCTGGCTTGCTGCAATGTCTGCTGCACCTGATTTGTTCTCGCTACTTGTATCATTCATTACTGCTTCTAGAAACACAAAATTATATATTTGGTAATGTGAGTGAAGTGAATTGTGGTATTACATTTTTGGTCTACACAACTGGTTATTTAAACCATACAACTTGATACATGGCAGTTAAAAATTCTACGCAGTTATCATTTAGTGCAAAATTTTTTGTAACTAAATACTGAATTGACTAAACAACACTGTTTCATGATTTTATGACAGTTTATACTGCATAGTGTTTCTAAGAATACAACTTAATTTTAGGAAGCAGCAGCAATTCATAGTGTTTTAAAAGCTGACTTAGGAGGAGATCCTGGTTCAAAGCCAATTTTACTCCATTTTGTTTTCAGTTTCAATCCCTGGTTGGAAATATCTCACTTCACCATATCTAGAGGTGAGAACTCCAAGACTGTGTGTCTATTCAGCCCTTATGCCATCACAAAAGGGCAGGATGCTTTCTTCCTCAGACTGGTCCTTTCTCAAGATGGCTAGTAATACACAAGTAGTACACAAGGGGTGGGTACTGTGATCCAGGAGTGGACTGGTTTCCCTTTACCCACACTGTATTTTACTCCAGTTGGGTTATCTTTTCATTTATACACCAGTATCAGAATTTTGCCCCCACCTCAGGGTAACTGAGGCACAAATTGGAGACACTCACCACCTGTCGCCCCTGGCCAGCAATCATGAATCCCTTCATAAACATTTTTCCAGTTGTGAACGTATGATGGATTTATATTTAAGCATACACACACACACACACACACACACACACACACACACATATATATGCTTTGTTTTTACCATGCTGGGGATGAAGCTCAGGACCTCTTGTGTGCTAAACAAGCCCTCTATCATTGGGCTGTATCCTCACCTACTTAAAATCTAAAGAACAATATTTCACTAATTCAAATATCCTTTTATTCCCAATTCACAATGTTCAATTAATCTCATACATTTAAAAAATAAAATGCTAAGATATTATAAAGGACAAAAATAACAACTATATAACTTTGTTAATTTTATAAAATGTTTATATTGTCTCTAAAAATAAATTACTAGTTATATCTACTCACTAACTCCTTATTTCTAAATATTTCTTTAAGGCAATATAATTTGCCTTATTAAAATTAATGTGTATTTTGAACAGTATTAAATTGCCTTATAGAATTTATATCTTGCTTTGGTCCACTGACTGGATTATAGACTAGATAAATATAAGACCTTTATCTCACTCCATTATTTAAACACTGAATTATTAATCTGCAAACCTCAATAACTATTTGTTAAACTTAAAAATACATGTTTTAGTAAAGATTTTAGCAGGGTGCAACTGGATAGAAGAAATCATTTCTAATGCCCTACAGTGCAGCAGCATGACTATAGTTGCCAACTAACTGAGTACTTTAAAACAGAAAGGAAGATGAATGTTCTCAACACAAAAAAATGACCAATGTTTCGTTCTAATATTATAATTACATATTTTATACATGTATTAAAATATACACTGTGCCCCATAGATATGCATATTCATTATGTGTTAATTAAAAATAAAAATAAGTTTTAAAAAGAAAATAGGAATCACTGATATTTCATAATATATCTTATAATGGGATAATACAATTGTTCCTAAGACCTTATATTAAGCTCATTGGTGGAGGGAAGACAAAAAGTATGTTTGACCCCCAGCACCAAAAAAAAAGTGTTTATAAAAGAATATATGCCCCAAGTAGAAAAATTTCAGTAAATTATTTCTTGGAGCCTAAAATCAATATGCTACGGCATTTCAAGGAAGTTACAAAATATAGGCAGTATCCAGGCACAGTATTGCATGCCTGTAATCCTGGATCACCATGAGTTTAAGGCCATCCCAGGCTACATAGTCAGTTTAAAGCCAGCCTTAATTACACAGAAAGATCCTGTCTCACAATAACATAGCATAGCATTGCATTGCATAGCATAGCATAGCATAGCATAGCACAGCACAGCACAGCACAGCACAGCATAACATAACATAACTGCAGTACAGAGAAATTAGGAAACCTAATCTTACAAACATGCTACTTAAATCTCTAAGACTATTTTATTTTACTTTTTATTTTTATTTATTTTTAAATTTCTTGGGGTTTTTGTTTGTTTTTATTGAGACAGGGTCTCACTATGTAGATCAGGCTGTTTTAAACTCACTAGCCCAGGATGGCCTCAAACTCACCAGAGATCCTCCTACCCCAGTTTCCTGAGTGCTGGGATTACAAGTGTGTACCATGATGCCTAGCTCTAAAACCCTACTTTTTTGTAAATGATGTATTGTTTTAATATTAAAAAATACTCAACAAAAGTGACTATGAGTACATTAAAAAAGATACATATTTATTAGATCTATTAGTATTGAGTAATAATAAAGAACTAGGAAGAAATTCAAATACTTCCCCAAACTATGAATGCCATTGTTTAAAAAAATATTTCAATAATTATGCTAATTGGTTTCAATTATACTACTAGTTTATCTTTATTCATTGACAAAAAAGATGTGTGTTACTGCTTCTTTTTTAAAAGAATCGTTTTGGTTTATGTCTTATACTCTGAGTACCTACTTTGAAAACAAAAATTAGCTATTGTCATTCTCTTTATTATTTATGAAAGTTTTATTTTTTCATAAGATAAAAAAATTAAAAGAATTAAAAGACTAAGATAATCAATACCACACATTATGTAATATTTCTTACCTACTGCTTTCATTTGTTTTCCAATAGCTTGACAGATCTCTTTAGCAGCTGCTATCTGAGCTTTTTCACCTAGCAAACTCCCAACAGTAGCTCTTAGGATAAAGGAGACACATCGCCTTGAGTACACAGCCTCCACATGTGTTTGGGTTGCTCGAGGGTGGGAAACCAGATCAAGTACGTGGGACAAGAACGTAGCAAAGCTACGCTCCAGCCACTGACCACCCAGAGTTGTTACAAAAACAACATAAGCCTATGAACACAGTAAAATACAGTATCAGCCGCACATATATATAAATTAACAGAAATCACAGATAAACCAACAGAAACGTCCATTGGTAGCACACAAAGTAAATTATATTCAATATTAAAATAGAAAAAATTTATACTTTTTAGGACTTCTAGCATAAGAACTACTGGTAAAGAATCTTTGACTATATCAGTTGTTATATGATGAGAGTTTCGTGAATAACAAAAAGGGCAGGTGTGGGAACACACACCTAAAATCCCAGCATGCTAGGCGATTGAGGCAAGACTGAAAATTCAAACCCAGTCTGTCTAACTTAATAAATTAGTGAGATTGTCTCAAATTAAAAATAAAAAGGAGCTAGGTGTATATATCTCAGTGAGAAAGTGCTGTATTCAATCCCCAGTATTTGGGGGGAAAACAGAACACAAAGACAGACTGGAAAGGGGGAGAAAAAAACATCCCCAGCAACCAAGAAGTTAACAGTATAAAACAAGAAAACCTTATCCTAAATGAACAATGACTTAGAACTGTAGTATAATTGTGTATGACTCTCTCATAGGATAAAAGTGATTTACTTTCATTTTACACTCGTTTCATAGGCAAAATAAAGTTATGGTGACTTTGACTAAAATAATGAAGATCCACTTCTCTGTATTAGGTATTAATCATTATTAGATCATTAACCATAACATCTTATTTGCTGTTAATTATTCTGAAAGTATAGATCAAAGTCAGATGTAATCTTATAATTACTTGGAAAGTTAATCATTGATATTAAATATAGGGTAATTAAACAGCAGCCATAGGGTCTTTGGAGAATATTAAAATCTAAATGCCTCAAGCTACCTGCAGTAGCTACCTCAAGCCATCAACATCTGAATGCAGTTTCAATTAAAACTGAATAATTACAGGCTGAGGATTTAGCTCGCTGGCATAAGTGCTTACCTGGTAAGTGTGAGCTTGAGTTCAAAAAAAGTTTAAAATCATGTTTAGGGTCAGGGATTTAGCTCAGCAGCATAAGCTCCTGCCTGGTAAGCACAAAGTCATGATCCTCCGTACAAAAAAAATTTGAATAATTTGGGTCAGGGATTTAGCTCAGCAGTGTATGTGCCTGCTTGGAGAGTGCGAGGACATGAGTTTGATCCCTGGTACTTAAAAAAAAAAAAAGAATAATTTTATATCTCACTTGTTGCCAAGTTGAAATTGTTTAGATATTTACAGTAGATTAAACAGCAGACATTGACTTATTTTCACATCATTATGAATCTGCCTTTCTGTACATGCACACAATTTGGAATCTGAATGAAATTCATTCACTTGGTAAAAGAAATGTTTCGAAAGACACCAGACAATATTAAAAATCTCTCTGTGTGCTGTTAATTAATAACAATCTTCCATGAAATTTGACAAATGACATGAACAAAATTCCTTTAGAAATACATATTACAAACCTGAGTAACTCCAACTCTCACTTCACGATTTACAGACCCTCCAACTTTTAACATTTCTCCACCACTCTTTAAGAAACCTGACCCTCCACGTAGAAATCCTGTGGCCATCAGTTCTAAAACTTCATCAAATGTTGCTCGTTTCACATTTTGACGCATTACTTTAAGGGAGACAAGTAAATTTATAAGCAATATGTTTCTGAAACAGATTTTTTGTTATTAACTAACTCATATTTCTAAGACTTCAACTTTAAAATTCAAGTAATTAATTTTAAGACTACTATAAGGGGGATAAAGACATTTAGTTTTCTTATAACCTCAAAATTGACAATGTAATTGTAAACTTGAATTCTACTTTTTTAAATTCAACTTTAAGCAAAAAGTGACACAAAAAATGGAAGGAGTTCAAAAATAAGGTAATTTAATAAATCTGCGTCAAATACTGTTGTCTAATAATAGTGATAATATGTGTCATATAGCATGAACAAAACCCATACTATTGCTATATATTTTTTTTTTTCTTTTTAAAACAGGGTCTCACTACATAGTTTGGGCTGGCCTTGAACTCACTATGTATTTCAGGCTGGCTTCGAACTCGCAGTGATCCTCCAGCCTCAGCCTCCCAACCCCATCTGGGATAACAAGTGTGTGCCACCACACCTAACCAGATACTGCCAACTGATCACAATTCTTATTCTCAGTGAGGAAAACCAAAGAAACTTCTAACAGCTACTACCAGTGGATTAATATACAACTGACAATACAGCTGACTTGCTGTCCCTGATCTTCAGTGCCATAATTTATAACGTTCTTTCACTAAGAGCAGCAAACAGTCCTTATAAAAATTCTGTAGAGGAGGCATAAAGTTCATAGGTAGGGCTGGGGAAATGGCTCAGCGGCACAGCACCTGCCTGGCAAGCACAAGGTCCTGAGTTTTATTCCCGGTACCAAAAAAACAAACAAAAAAAAGTTCATATGTAAATATATAGGCTTTGGAATTTGACTGCTTGGGTTTAAATTTCAGTCTTGATATGTAATAGAACACAGGTTACATAATTCAAGCCTCAATTTTCCCATCTATAAAGTGATAATAACAATGGTACTTTTAATTCACAGGGTGAATGAAATAAAACAATTCTGTAACATGACAAGTCAACTGCATAGCAACCCAAAGAAATGTTATCAACTAATGATAACATCTGATTCTTTTTACTGTATAAAGAGGTAGGGTAAGGGGAGGGAAAACAGGCAAACCCAGGTACTGAGCATCTGCTCTGGGTGTGTCCTGTCCTTGTGGTACACTTATTACAACCATCTCCAAGACCTCTCTGTGAAACGGTGAGGCAAGGCAAATCACATGAAAGAAAAACCAATACTGCTTCTGATTCTGCTTATAATATTTGGAAAAAACTGAAAACTGCACTGTGGTATAAATGGGGATCAGCTATTAAGACTGAAGTTCTTAAGAAATTAGCGCATAAATTATGAGAAACCAATACATTTTTTTTTTCTTGTCTTTTTTGAGACAGGGTTTCACTCAGGCTGGCCTTGAGCTCACTTTGTAGCTCAGGCTGCTCTCAAACTTGCAACAATGCTTCTGTCTTGGTCTCCCAAGTGCTGGGATTACAGGCATGTGCCACCACATCCGACTAGAATCTAATAGCTTTATATGAAAACATCTCACAAAACTCAAAACGTACAGTGAATACTTAAAAATTTACTACAGTAAAAGACACACTGCCATCAATCTCCCTCAAATATTCCCCCTCGCTTGACACACTTGTTCCATCGTTCTCGTCACTTCTGAGGCAGTTCTGGACTCTTTCAGACTGCCTTTTCCAGGCTGCCTGACTGAGTTAATTAAAACTCAAAATGTTTATGGCAATCTCTGTCAAATCAAAACATTACAGCGTGTTCTCATCCACCTTATTCACAGAATTAGGCACTGTGCAACTTCTGGCCCTCCTCCAAAATGACCAGGAAAAATAAACATTTTTTTAATTGTATTAGGACATCAAAGCAGCCACAATAGCACAAATAAAGATAAAAAAGACTTCAAGAACTCTTTCAGAATGTGTCAAGAATGATGAGATAAATGTGTGCAAGAAAAGGGGTGGTATTTTGAGGGGGATTTTTTTTAAATTTTATTTAAGGAGAGAAAAAAAAAGCAGAAAAGGGTACAAGTTATACAGATTTACAGAAAAAAATAAACAGTAGGAAATCACTAGTTAATGGATTACATATTGTCTTCTTGAGGGGGATTTTTTAAAAAAATGTAAAATTCACCTTATTTTTTGTATCTCATATATCCAACAAAATTGCTAGAAATAAACTTACACATTACCATCATAAATTTTTTGATACATAAAGGAAAGTACCATTTGAATTCTCATTTTACAAAAAAGATATCTAGCAATTTAAGTCCTTTAAGAGCCCACTATGGTAGTGCATGCTTATAATCTCAGCACTTGGGAGGCTGAGGCAGGAGGACTGTCATGAGTTCTAGGCCAGCCTGGACTACATAGTGGGTTCAAGGCCAGTCTGAATTACATAGTGAGACCCTGTCTCAAAGATCCAAAATAAAAATAAACCTTTAAGATGATCTTTCTGGAGATAATAACTAATTTAAAAGGAAGCAGTAAAAAGGAAGCATAAATCTTTGAATTATTTGTTAATTTATATAATCAGCTGGCAAACAATACCTGTTGCCTGTTTTGGCATTAGTGCTGTGGCCATGACTGTGCCTAAGAGTTTAGCCACTGACACTCGTACCCCATAATTAGAGTTTTCCAAAGCCTTAAAGCAGAGAGTAGCAATATTTTCCAGTTCAGTAGTCCACATGAACACAGCTTCATTTTGGAGTTCCAGTAGGCACTGGAATTAAAAACAAAAGTCAAAATTATTACACCATAAACCTTTTTCTACCAGAGATGCAGTAACAAAGGCAAGATATGGGATGGAAATGGTGATGTTTTCCAATAATCTCTGCAACTTACCACACTGAGGCAAAAGGATCAAGGCTAGCCTAGGCAACCTGTGAGAGACTACATCTTAAAATAAAATAAAATAAAACGCCTGGGAATATAGCTTAGCGGTATAGCACTTGCCTAGTATGCGTGAGGCTCTGGGTTCAATATTCAGTTTCACACACATATCTGATCTTAGCCAACAGACCGAGAAGCAGTTATTACACACACACACACACACACACACACACACACACACAACAAAGATGAAGATGAAAGAAAAATAATATATGAAATGAAATCAATAAACTAGAAAACTGAAAATTATAGAAATTGGGGGCTGGGGATTTAGCTCAGCGGCATAAGTGCCTGCCTTGCAAGTATGCAGTCGTGAGTTCAATACCTGGTACCGATAAAAAACGAAAAAGACAAAAAAAAAAAAAAAAAAAAGAAAATTATAGAAATGAAAAACAATGTTGCTTCTTAGATAAGACTAACCAATTTGATAAATCTCTAGGCAGACCAAAATCAGGAATAAAAGGAATCAAATCACTACAGACTCAACATATATTAAAAGGATAAAATAATATATGAACAATCTTATATCAATAAATTTGACAACTTGCAACATACTATCATAATTTAAAGCATAAAAGAAGGGGCTGGGGATTTAGCTCAGTGGCATAAGCACCTGCCTTGCAAGCAGGCAGTCGTGAGTTCGATCCCTGGTACCGATAAAAACGAAAAAGACAAAAAAAAAAAACATAAAGCATAAAAGAAAAAACTATCATTAACTAAGAGCAAGCAGAAGGAACAGCATTATAAATTGGCCTCATACTAACCTTGGCCACTGCACACCGAACAGCCATGGATCTGTCAGTTAAGAGGGATCTCGCATTCTTGTAAATATCACGATGAGAGGAAGCCGCTGCACCACCCAATCCATTTAGAACTTTCTGTAGACTCATTAAGATTTCACTTCGCCCTTGAGACTATATGTGTATATAAAACTTTAGAACTATTACTATAATACAATTCCATATTTAATAAGTACCCACCAAGAAATGATGCTCTAGGTCTAATGATCTTACTTCCAAATTATAACAATGATTAAAATACAATATCTCAGCAAGTACCTGGAAGGTAAGAATAATTAACAACTTCAATTAAATGTTTTATGAGAAGTTATGTTAGCATATTCCAATGTTTCCATGACATAATGAAAAATACAACATAAGAACATGAATAGATTGAAAAGTTTTGATATCATCACTCAAGAGACCAAAGTTTAGGAATGTGAAAGATTAAACAGTAGTTAAAAGTAATAAAACCATGAAGGAAGAGGAAGAAAACACGCAACATATTTTAAAAACTTATCACAGAAATAAACTCTTGTCTTTTTGTCACTGACTCCAAGTATTGTTTCTGTACTCTCACAATGCTAATTCACAGTTATAATAATATGTTTGCTATGGCATATCATATTTGATCACATATAGACTTCTTCCACTAGATTGTAAGCTTTTAGGTTAGGGACCATCTCTTATTACTTTTAGATGCCTAATGTCTGACACATAAAATGTTCTCTTTTGTTTAATAAATTAACAAATAGTTCCCAAAAAAGGCTATCATCTGAAGGATATTTAGTTTAGTTTTCTTGGACAAAAAAATTAAGATAGACAACAGTCATGAGTTTACTCCATTTTTAATTAATCAAAGTTGACAACAAATTTATGACAGTAACCAAATTTACATGACAAAACAACTATTTTTACTTGATATTAACTGTCATGGGTTTAACCTTGTCCTGTTTAAAAATAATTCAAGTCCTAAACTTTGCTGTATATAAACATGACTTCATTTGGAGACAAGTCTCTGGAGATAAAATTAAATAAAGATGAAATAATACTGGCTGAAATCCCTGACAACCTTAGAAGTAAGGAAAGCAAGGAAGCACTTTTCTTTAGTCTTCAGAAAAAGCACGGCCTTACCAGGACTTGAATGGAGACTGCTAGTCCTCAATATTGTGAGAAAATACATTTCAATTATTTCAAGTCTGTGATAATTTATTATGAAAGACATAGGAAGCTAATAGGAATGCATTAAAAATAAAATGCCAATACAAAAAATAAAATTAATTTTAAAAATAGGTAAACCTATTCTTTATCAAGGAAAAGCTTTTTTTCCTCTTCTACAATTTAAGGTAATATACATTAAAAGAGTAAGTAATGATCTGAAATCACATTCTGCTTTACTAGTATGAATACCAGTTATTTAAAAAAAGATATTTTTAACTGATATCTAACTCTTGCCAGGGCAAAACATTCAAATAACGTATAAAACTTACCTCTGCATTTTTCAGAGATTTCAAAAGATTATTTACTGTTTCTGGAAACGCACTGCCTAACATTCTTCCCATTTTTTCGTAAAATGCTCCAACACAAGCCACTGCAGCCCTACAGGAACATTTTCACTGGTCATACTTCAGGTTAACAATACAATTATACTTTTCTTGATTTAGAAATCAGTATTTGTCTAGAACACTTTTGCCTATAATCCTTAATGAACTTTCAACTTTCAAAAGAATACTGTAGTAAATCAAAGTGTATTCTTGTTAGGAATACAAAGTCAGTATGTATATAATAAATCATACTCCCTTGGAAAGTAACACAAGTTTTCCTTTTCTGAAGATTTTCCCAATTTATGTTGACCTACAATAACCCTTTTTTATTATATATAATACTCAATGTCAATCACTCATTATGACAGAATTGTATCATTGAGTGTGTTGTGACTTGGTTATTTGATATGACTTTAATCATACTATCAGAAATGTAAACTCCATTGACTGATGTTCCCCTATTCTGTTTTGCTGGATAGTATCAGGTTCGAAAGTTTAGGCATCAGCTGTGAAGATAATGAGATTCATTGTAACGCCCATTCTCGTTGACTTTTATCTACTTTTGAACACCTACAATGTCTCCAATGGTTTGGTTTTGTCGGTTTTGTTCTTTACTGTTTTGTTCAATTGTATTATAACTAACGATATAGGCAATTCTATTAGAGATAGCAGGAGGCATTATGGTAACCATTGTTGATCACCTTGTATTATGTTTTTACATTATCTATTATGTCCACCCTTTTGACTTGACCGATTCTGGTCTGTTATGTCACACTTGGTTTTACTCTCTTCCAAAAAAGCAATAAGAACCGTGGGAGCAATGAAACCCAAAATGTGTAATAGTCATCGTACAAAAGAGAGGAAAAGAAAGTGCTCTAAACTATATACCTGCATGTATATTTAAGTGTATAAGATAGAAAATGATATCACAGAGTTTTATTGGATCATTGAACAGAACTGTTTGCAGTATCATTGTTGGAATGTCCACTCTACAAGCTTTAATTTTGTGACTTGAACAATTATTTCTAAGATGGCAATATGTAATCCATTAACTAGTGATTTCCTACTGTTCAATTTTTTCTTCTGTAAATCTGTATAACTTGTACCCTTTCACTGTTTTTTTTCTTTTCTCCTTAAATAAAATTAAAAAAAAAAGAAATGTAAGCTCCAGAAATAGCAAAAATATTTTTTATATTTGTACTGTTCATAGTACCTGACACTTAATTTTTAAATAATAGTAGGATATTACATATAAATCTGTGAAATTTAATCCAAATTGCTTTAATGGAACACTTGGCCATGTGTAAGAAGAAATGTAATAGCACATCTCTTCATGACCAATAGTAAGTGAATAGCTACGAATTTAGCTTAGAGACTCCTTAAATCTGCAATTATAGTATAAAAGGAACCACCACCTAAATGAGTAGGCATGTTAGTATCCCAATAAAACTATATTTACAAGACAGGCCAGATATAGCCAGTGAGCTATGCTTTGCCTATTCTTGCCTTAATTCTGTCACCTAGAAACTCGTCACTTTTTGTCTCAGACAAATCACCATTCAAATTTATTGAAAGACCCCTGTGCAAACTGCTAACACCATACTAATTCTCTGTAGTGTCAAAGTCTCAGTGGTGATATATGGAATTAGAATCTTGCCCAAATCTACTTAGAACTTTGATTGTTAGATATATGTACCAGGTGTCAGCCACCTGGAGGTCTTTATGGTCAGTATCCCTTACTAAGTTATCTTGTAAGAACCAATAAAATTATGAAGATAACAAGATATACTATGGTAGCTATTATTGTTATTTTGGTATCCTGTTCTGAAGTTCTGTACCAATATCACTGCATGGTCTTGATTGGCTTTGTTCTGTCTTGTTTTGTTGTATTTTACTATCTTTAAAATAAAAAAACAAAAAACTTCAAGGGCTCCTGTCAGAATAAGTACTTACAGTTTTGTTGGTAAGTAGGCTGCAGTATCATCTTTATTTCTTATAATATCATTACATTTATCAAGTGTTTGAAAAACTGTAAAAGTATCTCCAATGCTATACAAGGCTGCAAGATTTTTAGCTAATAATTTTCGTGTAGGTGGTCCAGGTGAACTACTTATTAATCCAGTTAACTGTTCAACCAGTTTTTTCTGTTTTTCCTTTACATCAGTCTGTCATAAAAAATTTAAAAAAAGAGAGCATCATCATTTTTCTTATGATGCCTTTTGTTAATTTTTAATCAAAATTTTAAAATACTTAACATTTAAGATACTCTAATAATTACAGTATAGTTTACATTAAACATTAACCATAAATAAGAACTTTTATATTAAAAAGCTCAGTACGAAATTATCTATTCCTTTCTATCTTAAATCTTTATTCCCCTCCAATGCCAAGAAGTTAGTTTCTAGAAAATTAATTCTCCAATCCAAAATTTTCTAGTCCAGCTCACTACTAAATAAGCCAACAGAGAATTCAAAATACTAGGTGTATGGATAAATGATGCTTTAAAATCCAGACATGTTTTCCCTATAAAAGAAGTCAGGGAGTTTATCTAAAATTACAGGTAAATGAAGGAAAACCAAAAGAAACTGAAGAGCCCTAGGTAACAACACAACACTGAGGTCTACCTATAATCAATATCTAGCACTGATTTGCTCAAGAAATACTGTGTACTTACTGCATGCCATGCATCATTCTAGGTACTAAGCCAACAGTGAATAAATCAAAGTTCTGCAAAGACTAACAGAGTGTATCTCTGGACTAGAGGGTCCAGGCACAGCTGTTAAAGATATCTGCACTGAAACAGGGAAATTAAGTGAAAAATTTACATATTAAATGGTGAAGTCCTGAGCACTTCCTACCCCCATTCCCAGATCCTAGGCAACTAACCATATATTCTTCAAACACTAAAGTAGAAAACTCTCTCCTGCAGAAATAATCAGCCCTAGGGCAGTAGTGGTGAACCTATAGCACATTGCTACAGCCGGCTGTTTGTTATTACTGAATGTTCTGAAACGTTTGCCATCACTGGCCTCAAGAAACTGAAGATATTTAAGTCCGCAAAGAAATTACTATACAGTGAAGTCCAACTAATATTCAACCTGCCTAGAGGACATTTTATGACTCACTCTTAAATTTTACCAAAGAAAGGTGAGTCATTTGAGGAAATGTCTAATTTTACAGACAGAAAATAAAACAAGCAAGAAAATGAACTTGAGTCAAAAAGACTACATAAGAAGAACAAGAGATTAAAAAAAAAAGTCTACTATTAACTCTTCAGAAAGATAGGTGAAGACAGTCTTACCACATAGCACCAAGACCTTGTGATTGCTGAAAATGACTTTAGAATGACATTGGCCATACACTAACACTGAGCTGCCTTGGAAAAAACTGAAGGTAGGCAATGAGCTGGATTTAAACAAAGTTTGGGTTTACCACACAACAGAAAAAAGAGAAACTAGAAATTCTCATTAGTGTAAAATTGTCAAAGCTCCAGAAATGATTCACAACCTTTACAAACATTTTTTTTTAATCTCTTTATGTCAACCCAATTGGAAAAACAGCAATACCTTACCTTGTTGGCAGCAACCAAAACTTTATCAAGAAATCGCAACCATTCAAAGATAAACACTGGTCTCTTTGCTTCGGTGATTTGAGCCAAAGCTTCTTCATTTAGCAATAAACTGTGGGCTAACTCCATTACTGAAGTCTTTAATTCACACCTTAAATTAACAGATTAACAAATATGTGTAAGGATGATTTAATGTTAAAAGCCAAGTTTCATAAACGCAATCACTAAGAAAGGAAGAGTATATCTTTTCATTTGGGGGGGGAGGGGGTACTACATACCGTCTTTGCAGCATAACCTGAGAACCAACTTTAAAAGGACCAAGGTACAAATAAAAACAAATGCATGCTTGGTGAGAAAGAATAATGAGGTGAAAAAAAAGATAAATTATTCCAGAAAGGCATTATGCCTGAAGAAATATGCCCAGCAAAAAAGAGGTCATTAAATCAATGTATAGTTACAAACATCAAGACGGAACCCCTCAGCGAACCTTGCACCCCGTCCCTCTCCCCCTTCACCGCTGTACAGCAGCTTCCTCAGCCCTGCTCCCTGCTGCAACCTGGCCCAGCATAGAGAATCCAAAATGCAAGCCTCCCAGGTTTCCTTGGACGAATTGAGCGCCACGAGGTCCCCACGGAAGGGGCGTGCGTGGCAACACCTGCAGCGGACGATGCAGCTGACAGAGGCCTCGCGCGCGTGGGGACCTAGTTCACCCGGATGCTCTAAGGACCTCACAGCTAGACCAGGCCCAGGACTGGGGGGATACAAGACGCTGTCGCAGGCCTCCTCAAGCTGTCAGCTCCACGTCTCGGGGTTCGCCGACCGTCAACCCCACAAGACGAAGGATCGGAACCGAACCCAGGCCAGAAAAGAAAATGCTCACTAGGAACTCGAATTTCTTCTCCAACTATTTGAAATCGTCCGGGGGGAAATTAGCGTGTGAATGTGTCAACTTGCACTCCGTAGCGGTGAAGGGGGTTGGCCTCACCTCCTAGTCAGGCAAGGGCCGATCAGCTGAGCTCAGGAGCCAGAAGCGGCTGCCTAGGGACCCGGATGCCCCGCCTCCTGCAAATCTAGCTTCAGGAAACGAGAGGAAAGCGCGTGCGCGAAACTCTGGTTCTGCGCAAGCGCACTTGTCACGTCACCCTAGCTCCACCTACCGAATGTTTCCAATAGAGCCGAGGTGAAAACACCAGAAGAGGAGACGCTTTCAGCGCATGCGCAGCGCGCGCTCTTCTAGACCTGCCTCGGGCCGAGTCGCTCTGTCAGGTAAGGGTCGGGAGATGAGGGTGAAAAGTAGTGAAGGGCGCATTGGCTGTGACCATCCGTCGCAACATCTGCCGCATTCGCATCCGCAGGTAGTCGTGTTGGTGGGATGGAGGAACACTTGAGGGAAGGAACCCTCAGCATCTGAGGGACGTGTGTGGGAATGAGGCATCTCTTGTCACTTTTCTACTGCCGATCTCTTAAACTACTTAGTCGATCTCCACCCTTGGCTGTGTCGTGAAACTGTATATGAAACAGCACCCTTGCTACCACACCCCTCCTCCTCTCTGCAAAAAAGAAAAAAACTCCATAAAAGTTTTCTGATTCAAAAATTAACTCTAATGTTCTAGTAGATTGGTGTGTCTACTGTGCCATTTGGAATCTTAACACAAAGGAAAAGATAATATACCATGGAAAATTTTTTTCACATGCCACCTGCGATCACTCAATTCCTGTAGGAATACCTTTCAAATACTTATACCCAGAATCCATTTAAGTTGCTGTCCTCCAGGTGATGATCCAAGCCCCATCGTGTCAGCCAGGATTATCCCCTTGTAAATTTTATGCTTATGTCTTATAGAAATAGACAATGCTACTATATATTGGAATAAGAATAGGAAAGGAGTTTTAAAAAGAATCTGATAGCGGGGCGTTGGTGGCGCACTCCTATAATCCCAGCACTTGGGAGGCTGAGGCAGGCGGATCTATGCACTACAAAGTGAGACCCAAGCCAGCCTGAACTGCATAGCGAGACCCTGTCTCAAAAAGACCAAAAAAAGAAAAAAAATCTGTAACCCTCACTCATCTCTGCCTTGCAGTCTAGACCGAAATGGGTCCCTTAAAAAGAATCTAGTGAGAGTGGAACTCAGTGGCAGAGCTCTTACATAGCACACCTGAGACCCTGGGGTTCAATCTGCAGGTTTCAAAAAATAATAAAATTGTGTTTTCAGTTCGGAGACCACAGAGACTTGTATTCCTTACGGTTGTGAGCAAGTCATTTAACCATGAGTCTTAATTTCTTAATTTCCCCAACTGGAAAGTGGAGCTATTCTTTTCGTCTTGAGGTGCTTATAAACTGCATAGTGCTGACCATTATGTGTAAAAAATACTGTCGTTATACAAGATCTGAATCACCAAAATTATTGTATAAAATCATACACATTTTAAACTGATAATTTTAAATAGGTAGGACTAAACTAATGTTTGGGGCTGCATGAATGGAAAATGAAATTATATAAAGATAAGGAAGAAAATGATGATAGAATACACAACAGTGACTAACCGAAGGAGGAGGCAGGTAGGTTAGAGACATAGAGGACTCCCAGGAATTTGAGAGGTTCTGTCTTCTGATTTTAGTGATACTGTATTTTGCTAACAAATTGTACACAAAATTTGGCAGCCTAAGATACCTATTGTCATTTATTGACTTAACAGTTTCTGTGAGTCAGAAATTTGTTAACACCTTAGTGTAGCTTAGATTTTCTTAAGAAGCTTTATAATGGAGTTGCTAGCCAAGTCTGAACCATCTTGACCAGGAGTAGAAAATTATTTCCAAGGTTGTTTTCTCAAAATTATTTCCAAGGTTTGTTTTCTCACAGATTTGTGCTGGGTATAGACTAGAGACCTTAGTTCCTGTCAAATAGGCTTCTCTGTAGAACTTATTGAGTATCTTCATTATACGACAGCTGACTTCTTCAAAAATTCATTAACCAATTTCATAGTTAGAGTGCTCTAACCAAGACCTATGATGTCTGTTCTGACCAAAAAGTCATACTCCATCTGTCTTAGTTTATTTGCTCATTGCTGAGAAACAATACCCACAGTCTTCAAGAGATTGTTGTAATAGTTCAGGTGAGAAAAAAGTCTGTAGTCATCACAACTCTGGGAAAAATTATCTGTGAGAAATATTATGAAGGAGGAATTGACAGAGATCTATAAGTTTATAAGGGTCAGAAAGGGAGAAGCAGAAGTAACAATGTGAAAATGCAGAGGATCCAAGAGGTTTGCAAAGAAAGATGAATTGTTTCACTTTGAGAACTTCACAAATAAAGATGCCCAAAGGGCACTTGAATACATAATAGTGCTCTGGGGAAAGATGATGCCTGGGGATAATTAAAGTTTTATTTTCATTTTGGTATACCAAAGAAAATTGTGAGTTTGTTTGATTTGATTTGTAGATAGTGTTGCCATATGAAGTTGAACATGGCAGAAGAAGAGGATTATATGTCTGATTCCTTCATTAATGTCCAGTAAGTAAAAGTGCACACCTAATGCAATAATATGCATAGACTATGAAGTAATGACATTGATTTTGGACTTTTTTACTTATTAGTACATGTTTGCAGTATATAGTGCTTACGTTCACCTTAGGAAGTAGGTACATTTCTTAATTCTTTTTACTCCCCCTCCCCTCCCCCATTTCTAGATTACATTCGTTGCAGGTGGTTAATACATATGCACAACACATCCAAATTCTTTCCACATTCCCTTCCCCACACTTCCACCCCTTCCCATTTGCAAAAGGTCTGTCCTATTTCATCACATCTGCCTTTCATTTGGCTCTATACTTCATTTACACTTTCTATTTCTTATATGAAAGAAAACATGCTTTTTAAGCTTATATTGTCTGACGTATTTCAAATATCGTTATGTTTTCAAGTTGCATTCATTTTCCCACAGATGACTCAAATCTGTCCCTCTTCCTAGTCAAGTGGTACTCCATTATGTATAAATATCACATTTTCTTTATCCATTCATTTGTTTATGGGTGATAGGCTACCTCCAAGATTTAGCTATTATGAATTTTGCTGCTATGAAACATTGATTTGCGTGTAATAAAACTCTTGGAAAGGTTTCTGGAAAGGGAATAGCTGAGTCAAATGAAATTTCTGTTTTTAGTTATTCTTTTCCCTTTGTTCATTTGTGTTTTGGTAGGTTTTTTTTGTTTTGTTTTTGTCTTTTTCGTTTTTATCGGTACCAAGGATCAAACTCACGACTGCCTGCTTGCAAGGCAGGCGCTTATGCCGCTGAGCTAAATCCCCAGCCCCATGTGTTGTGGTTTTTTTGAGAAAGGGTTTCGCTGTGTAGTTCAGACTGGCCTTGGACTCACTATGTAGCGCAGGGTTGGCCTCAAACTCACAGTGATCTTTCTGCCTCAACCTCCAGAGTGTTGGGAGTTTGTGCCATCAAACTTGGCTTTTAGTTTTCTGAAGAATCTCCATACTGATTTTCATAATGGTCGTACTAGTTTACATTTCTACCAGCAATGACATTGATTTTAAGTGCGAAGTTGGAAAGTTAGTCTTACTCCTTTCTGGAAACACTTGCAGTTTGTTCATACAAAGCAGCGTTAGCCTCTTTCTCCCTTTTTCTGTTAACATTATTCTTTTCTTTTTCTTTTGGTTTTTTGAGACAGGGTCTTGCTATGCAGTTCAGGCTGACCTTGAACTCACTATATAGCCCAAACTGCCCTTAAACTCATGGTGATCTTCCTGCCTCACCTCCAGACTGTTGGGATTACAGGTGTGCACCACCACACCCGGCTTTCTGCTAACATTATTCTTATGGCCTTGATCTTTTCTCTTTTTCCACAAAAATTTATTCCTTCATCCTATATCTAGCTTTTAATAGGCTTTGCTCTTTATTATTGCTGGCCTTCTAGAAAGAAAAGCCTGAACTTACGTTTTATAGTTGCTTCAGCTCTGTGCTTTCTTTAGTTTCACACAAAATGTAACCACCCTTCATCAATTCTATTAAAACAGTCACTCTTGGAGATCACCGATTATGCTATAATACCAGCAATAATAAAGATGATCATAGAGAGGGTGCTGAAATACTGAAATATTGATTAGCATGCCGGGGATTTAGCTCAGCAGCATAAGCGCCTGCCTGGCAAGTGCACAGTTGTGAGTTCAGTCCCCATACCAAAAAAAAAAAAAAAACAGTTAAATGGAAAAGCTATGAGAAAACTATGCACTTACCTAAGATAACCATTTCTTTTATCATTCAGGGAAGATATCAGACCAGGATTGCCAATGTTAAGGCAGATCCGAGAAGCCCGTCGAAAAGAAGAAAAGCAACAGGAGGCCAATTTGAAAAACAGACAGAAGAGTTTAAAAGAAGAAGAGCGAGAAAGACGTGACACTGGATTGAAAAATGCACTAGGCTGTGAAAACAAAGGGTTTGCTTTGCTTCAAAAAATGGGCTATAAAAGTGGTCAAGCTCTAGGCAAGAGCGGTGAGTTGCATTCAGAAATAGGCATTCCTAACTACCCAGATGTGATGTACTGATGAGGCCCATGATGACAATTTAATATCTGTCCACCTATAAAAAAACTAAAAGCTTCCTTGTCTCTTATGTGCTGACAAGCCTTATAGAGGACGTTCATCTTTGCACATCCATTTTAGATATCACTTGTGCCATTATCAGTGCTTATTACAAGGCCTGTTAGCATGCATCAGTAATTCTCATCAAGACTAAAGTAGAATGTAGCTCAGTAGTAGAGTGCTTTCCTTGAGCTCTCTACTAGGCCGTGAGTGCAAGGCCCTGAGTTCAACCCCCAGTACATATATAGTTGTATACATGCATACAGCTGCCTGTCAACCCAGCTCAGCCTTGAAGCACCAACAACTGGGATGGACATGGCTTAAGCAAAGAATGGGGACAAGGGTTAAGAGGCACAATGGCCAAAAGATAATGAGGCAGCATTGAGGGTGATGGCAGAGCTCTGTCCTGTTTACTCTGTACCTATGGCAGCTGTCTCAGTGACCACTTAAACAAACTGTTCACACTTCTTTAGGAAGTGAAATGCTTGTTAAGATGCAGAGGCAGTACATTTATAGTAAACTTCTGTGAGCTGTACATCTTTTCTCGTTCATTGTAATTGCTTTCATTTTCACATACCAAGGCTTTGCTTTCTCTTAAGTCTATTACCCTCTTGGATCTATAATATCAGTATTGTCACTTCTGAAGGTGGCCTAAGAGACTATGAGTCAGCCTTACTGAAGACTAGGTATTTGGAGGCTAAGCAGGTAATTGATTATGTAGAAAGTCTTAGTTTTCAGATTTCAGTATTGAATATCACTGAAACTGGGGGAAGGAGGGATATGTCTAAACCATTGTAAAGTCACATACTGTACAGACCTAAAATTTTTAACATAGAATTTCAAGTTTATATTTTTTCTCTTTTTTAGGAGATGGTATTATTGAGCCAATTCCTCTTAACGTCAAAACAGGTATAAAAATTAGTTTTGATTATATTTCCCAACAGTAATGACTTATGCTTAAACCCACCACAAATATTTAATACCTTTTAAAGATGATAATATTGTAGTTCTTACCATAGGAAGCCCTTAGGAAAATGTTTGTTAAATTTCTAAGCCCTTTAGAAGGTTTTCTAGAGGAAATAAACATTTTAGTGAAATAAAATAAATCTTAAGGGCTAGCAATGGTGGCACATGCCATTAATCCCAATGGAACCTGAGGCAGAAGGATTGACTTGAATTCCAGGCCAACCTGGGCTACAAAGTGAGTTCAAGGTCAGTCTGAACTAACAGCAAGAACCTGTCTCAAAAAAAAAAAAAAAAAAAAAAAAAAATGGAAGTCGTGGTATAAAATAAAACCTAAATAATAAAAATGCAGAAGAAAATCATTATAATCACTGAAAGTACAATATTAATTTTATTTTCATCCATTGAAATGTCCTTACCATGTTCTGAGACAGGCTTATCCCTGAAATGTTTTGCTTAATAGTTTGGATGAACTCAAGGGAAAAAGATGTATCTTTAATTCACCTTCCATACATAAAAGTATGACAATCAATACTATTTTTCTGATTTTAAGAAATGTGTACAATGTTACTGTTTTAGAAGCTGAAACTTATAGCCAGCTGTGGTGGTATACGCCTATAATCCCAGCACTGGGGAGACCGAGGTAGGAGGATCATTGGGAGTTTGAGACCTGCCTGGGCTACAAAGTAAGCTCAAGGCCAGCCTGAACTGCACAGTGAGATCCTGTCTCAAAAGAGAAGAAAAAAAGAAACTTTTGATCTTTGTAAAAATAATATTGTGTATTTGAAATTTGAAAACAACAGTTTGGAACCTGAAAACAGGACAAAGAATTTTAATACTTTCTCCTGTCATTATAGTGAACAAGTTTAAGTGATTGTATTCGTATGAGAATTGCATTTAATTTTCAAGTATTTAAATTGTTCGAAAAAAGTAAACTCCTCATCAGAATTTTTCGTTTGAATAGGGAAAAGTGGCATTGGTCATGAGGCGTTAGTAAAACGGAAAGCAGAAGAAAAATTAGAAAGCTACAGAAGAAAGATACACATGAAAAACCAAGCTGAAGAAACGGCTGCTGTACAGTTTCGGTAAAACTGTGTATTTGAACTGGTTTTGGTTTCAAATCCTCTTTACCATGCTATGTTCTCTGATATTAGGGAATATAAAATGGTTAAAGAAGTTAATAGACAGCGATAAGAAGTTATAGGCAGTGATTAAAGAGAACATGGATGTTATTGTACCTTTTTTCTTTCAATCAGGATGCGACTGAAAAATAAGCAAGATGAAATGAAACTGGAAGGAGATCTTAGAAGAAGCCAGCGAGCCTGTCAGCAGTTGGACACCCAGAAGGTAAGCAGGTACTTGCTTTCAGTATCAGAAAGCGTTTTGCCACCCAACATGATTTGCCACATATTTTATTCAAAGAAAAAGAACGCTAAAGCTTAGCCAGGCGTGGGGACACACAGCGGTAGTCCCAGCACTGAGGACTGAGGCAGGAAGAATGCAAATTCAAGCTCAGCCTGGGCAGTTTTGCAACTTAATGAGGTCTTATCTCAGAAAATGGAAAGGACTTGGGATGTAGCTCATTATGAAGGCTCTGGGTTCAATCCCTGTACTAGAAGTGGGGGGGGGGGGCAAGCCTGGTTTATCTGTCTTTTATCTGTTTAAACTTTCATTAGTATTCACTACTGTGAATTGTGATAATAATACACTAATGACTTCTTCACTGCAGGAACTTGAGCTATGTGAATTATCCAATAAAGGTTAAGTAGCTTGTCCTCTCCTAATTTAACTTGTGATTATTTGACTTGAAATTCTGTTCTTCATAGTATTTGATACCTAGATTAGCCTGTTTTCATCTATATTCACTACATGTCTCTAGTATATAAGGATAGAATCCTGTCTGTTTCAGATCTGAATGGCTTAAAAGGTCTCTCTTTGCCTGTATCTTGGCGGTTTTATGTAACAAGAATAAAATGACTGGGGCTAGGGGTTTAGCTCGGCGACATAAGTGCCTGCCTTGAAAGCAGGCAGTCGTGGGTTTGATCCCCAGTACCAATAAAAAGGGGAAAAAAAAAAAAAAAAAAGAATAAAATGACTTCATTTAACATCCCAGAAATGTCAGTATAATTTCCTAAGTTTCCTTCTAATATAGACTGCTGGAAGTGGTATCTCATTTTGCTGTATCTCCATAGGAAAAATATTTTCAATATTTCCTGATGTTTATGATTTCCTAGTTTATGTGTATCATTTGTATCTATAGTATATCCTCCCTACTGGATTGTGAGCAGCAACACAGAGAGAGCATTCTAATTGGACTGTGCCTTCCCGTAATTCATAGTACAGTGCTTTACTCCTAAAGCAGCACTCACTATTTACATGTATTGAAAGACAAATTTTAAAAAAGCGTGAGCAGGGCATGGTGATAAATTCTTATAATCTCAGAACTCTTCAAACCTGAGCCAGAATGATCATAAATTCAAGCCCAGCTAGGGCAATGTAGAAACACACTACCTCAACAATTTTTGAAAAGGCTGTGGATGTAGCACAGAGTAAGGGATCAATCTCCAGTAACAGAAAGAAAAAAAAAAATTAGAATTCATGTTGGCCTGAATACACTCGTCGTATTTGTGATAGTCTTACGTTTAGCTATATTTCATGAGAATAATTCTATATTTTCAGAATATTCAGGTTCCCAGAGAGGCATGGTACTGGTTGAAGCCTGAAGAAGAAATTGAAGAAGAAAAAGAAGAGGATGAAGATGAATATAAGAGTGAAGATTTAAGTGTATGTTTTGGCGCTATTTCCTTCATAGCAGGTGTCTCATCCTTGACGTGATTAATACTTGGAACTGGATAGTTCTTTATTGTGGGCAGCTATCCTGTGCATTCTTAGTTTAGCCACGTCCCTGGCCTCTGCCTTCTAGTTTCAGTTGCACCTCCCCTTATGTCAACCAACAGTGTCTTTAGGTATTGTTGTCTGTCCTCTGAGGACAAAAGTAACCCCTGGTTGAGGGGAGCTCACAGAATTTTTTATTAACCCCATATCAAAATTTCACATTTTTTCCGTTTACTTTTGGTTTACCTTCTCATTTTAGCTTCAGCTCAGATGATCAGTTAACTGCAAATGTAAATTAATGTATACCTTGTTTCCTGCTAAACTTCTAGAAGTGATTCTAATGTGTATTTCTTTCCCTTAATCATAAACTCCAGAAAACATAGTCAAAAGGAAGTGGAGATTATTCAAGAAAGGAAGACACACTCCTGTGGTTACTTGTGTATAAGAATTTTGTAAAGAACAATTTGAAAAGCCTTTGTAACCACTTAACTGGGAGACCACCAATGAGAAACTTTATAGCAGAATGAGATAGTGTTTACCTTTACCCCATCTTGGGCAAAGAGGGATAGATGCCTTGAAAGTAGAAGGGGGTTTCTAAAGGATGCTGATTACTGTAGAGCCAGCCAAAAACAATTTTTTCAATATTAAACCAGTGGTCTTTAATGTGTCTGGCAGACTTTTGAAAATTTCAGGGTGGCTAGTAAACTGGGACATGTTGAAATGTATTATTTCTGCCCTTGACACCTCCAATCACTGAGAGTGTAGCAGAAAAGGTACGGCCTGGGGCTAATTAAACATCTGTGCAATGGAATGAGATTCTGTTCAAAGTTTACCTTATTTACATGTGTGTGGTTTATATCTAGGTATTGGAAAAACTACAGATACTGACTAGTTATCTAAGGGAAGAACATCTGTATTGTATTTGGTGTGGAACAGCCTACAAAGGTAAGAAAATACTTTATGCTTTCTAAAAATATTAAATATGAATGCCTTTTGATTTTAAGTAGAGGTCACATTTCCCATAGACAATAGAAATTTCTTAGTCCATTCAAATGGCAATGTGGAACCAGTATCCTTCAGAAATAGTGACTACAGAAATAATCGAGGCACACCTGGTAGTGCTGGCCTGTAATCCCAGCTACTCAGAGGCTCACCCAGAGCTCAGTAAATCTGAGGCTAGCCCACATAACTTACTGGGACCCAGTGTCAAAGCAAAAGGAGCTGTGACTATAACTATGTTCCCTGGGTTCAGTCCCAGTGCCATAAAAACAAAACAACAAAAACACAAGTAGTAATTGAATCCTTATTAGAATTCCTTTTCACTTTTCAGTAACTGAAATGTAGCAAAGAATTTTTGAGTGTTGTTTCAGAAGAAATAATTTTAAAATGATTTGAGAAAGACAAAGTTATGCTTCTTTTTTTTTGTACTAGGAATTGAAGTGAGGACCTTGTGTTTGCCAGGCAAGCATTTATGCCACTGAGCAATATTCCTGGTCCCCATACTTTATTTTTAAAGATTTTATCTACATTTTTTAGAAGTGATTTTTTGTGTGTGCATTTAAATAGAATATTGTCCCTGAAGCATACAAATCAGATATATTGAATTTCATTTCATTTTTTTCTCACTGTAAGATTGGTTTAAAAACTGCCAAATGTCTAATGAAGCCAAGTGCTTCCCCTTCTAATATATTTGCCCAAGCTACCTTTGCTAACTTGTATTTAAGAACTTTGTACTTGAAAGTGAAGAGGTTTTAGTGATTGTTTTCTCTTTCTACTTTGTTTAGCAGAGTAACTAGGAAACACATCTGATTATAAATATATGTCATATTGAAATTATTTTCTAAAAGTTTACTATAAAAAGTTGTACTAATCTTTTATTTTCCTCACATCAATTATAGATAAAGAAGATCTATCTTCAAATTGCCCGGGACCAACTTCTGCAGATCACGACTAAGATTATTCATAATAAAGTAAGAATTGTTTATTCCAATAAGGAAAGAGGACCTTCATATAATGCTTTATTCTTTTTGTACTTTACAAGTATTTGTACTTTAGAATATTATTGTTTGCTGGCCTAAAAAAAAAAATAGCACATTTCTACTTTACAACACAAGTGTGAAGATTTGGACAACTATAATATATGATTGTATTGTGATGCTTTGTGGTTGATTAAGGACACCAAGACGTAACACTCTTATTCTTTGCTTCGCTTTGAAATAAATTGAAAGATAAGACACAAGAGGGAGAACAGCCTTATGAGTGATGAAGCAGAAATAAGAGACATTGACTTTTTCTCTAATTAAACTCTCTAGCATTTCTCCCTGACTAGAGAATACAACAGGCCTTGCCAAAGCCCACTGTGTTCTGAGGCCATTTAGCCCTTAAGAGTAGGGAACCAGCAAGGGGCTGGGCCACATCTGCTTGATTCTTTGTCCAGTATCACCTGTCAAATAAGATACTGCTCTTGCCAGGTGTGGTGCTGTACACCTGTAATCCCATCACTCTGGAAGTGGAGGCAGGGAGATTTCAAGTATACACAAGCAAATAGCAAAAGCTGACCTACTATAAGTTAAGATAATCAATACTATAACTTGTATTAGTCTCTGAGCCAGTGTGATCTGATTCACTCTCAAATTTAACTTGAGAGGCTTTAAGAAACAGTAATACAATGTCCTGCCCTGAGAGATTCTGAAGTAATCGGTAACTCTGTTTTGGGCATCAGGATTCTTGATGCTAAGACTCAAGAGAACTTTAAACCCACTAACGAGGTTAACTTCTAGGCCTCAGATCTTTGTCCAGAAAACTAATTACTTTTATGAATACGAATATATATACATGTATATGGTTGAATGCTATTATTTAATATTTACATTTCTGTGAAACTAATAAAATTGTGTTAAATAGCCAAAACAAAGGGGTCCATCTTTCCCTGCCAAAGTTACAGCCAAATCTGTTCCAGTCATTTCACCCAACATACCATAACATGTAGTTCATCCCAAAACCATGTGGATGGTTTCAGGTTGAACATCATTAGACCGGAGATGGCTTGGCTTTCTCCTATTGGCTATAGGGACAACTTAGCCCCTGTCCAGTAACCTGGAATTTTGGCAATATGTTCCTGAACAGTTATGTTGAGAATGTGAGGATAACCTTGATGGTCCCATAACTCTACCAGCATTATGGTCTACATTTACCTGCCTAGTGCTAGAACCAGCCTTACAGGGGGAAGATATTCCTCCATTCTTGTTCATCTAAGGTTAAAAAGATGTTTTCAACCTAAGTAAAAACATGCCAGATATGGTGGCACATACCTGTAACCCTAGCATTTCAGAGGCTGAGGCAGGTGAATTGCCATGTGTTTAGGGTCAGCCTGGGGCATTTAATGAATTAAAAGTCCGTGAGAGCTGAGATCACGTCTTTTTGTTTTGTTTTGTTTTGAGGCAAGGTCTTGTTGTGTAGTTTAGTTTGGCCTTGGACTCACTGTATGTGCAGGTTGGCCTTGCGTTCATGGTGTCTGCCTGCCTTAGCCTTTCCTGAGTGCTGGGATTACAGGCATGTGGCACCACACACAGCCTTTTATTTTTTTTAAATTAAGTTTATTGCTACATTTCAGGAATATAGTGATCATTTCACCATAGGGAATTTTTACTTGTACATAATATAACTTGATTCTTTCTTTTTCCAATTCCCTTACCCTCTCTTTAACCCTTAAATAAAAAGGAAAAAAAGTAAAATTTACTTTATTCATATAGGCCCTTTATGACTTTATAACTAGACAGTCATCACAACTGAGAGAAGTAAAACATTGAAGTTGTTACTTAGCTTTAGAATATTTACATGGGGCGGGGGGAGACTGGGGATTTAGCTCAGTGGGATAAGCACCTGCCCGGCAAGCACAAGGTCACAAGATTGTGAGTACAATCCCTAGTACCAAAAAAAAGAATATTTACATGAAATTTGAGACCTTAAAATGTCCCATTTTTAAAATTATAATTCTGTAATACAGAGCTTCTGACACTCATGACGAATATCATTAAAAACCAAATCATTTTAACTTATGCATATTTATTTCAAGTATCATTTGCCAAACATTTAAGTATTAAAATCTGAAAGTGGAGGGGCTGAGGATTTAGATCAGACCACCACAGTGCCTGGCTGGCAAGCTTGAGGTCCTGAGTTCAATTCCTGGTCCCCCCCCCCAAGAAATCTGAAAATAGGCATTATTATTTGATATTAAAACACATTTGATAGGATTAAGCATATGTTCCTACAAACTGTTAAGCTTTTACTCCCCACCCAGCACTTAATAGAGTTTCTGCCTTGCTACCTGGGGGCATACAGCAACAAAAGAACTCACCACTACTCTCCAAAAATTCACAGAATGACAAAGGTAGCAGTCATCTGTGAATGACTGAGCTCCAAAGCAAACAGCACTTACAGTGGGGTACCACCCAGTTGGAGAATTAGGGAAAAGACTGATTCTAAGCAGCAGCTTGTGAGACACTGTGGAAGTAGCACTGAATTTGGGTTCTGAAAGATGGGTAGAAATTTGGTATGCAAAGTTGTGAGGAGAGAATTATGTGTAGCCCAGAAACTGTACTCCTTAGGTATACATCCAAAAAAAAAAGTATGAAAACATGTCCACATAAAACTTGTACACAGATGTTTGCAGTAATATTATTCATGATAGTCAAAAAGTAGAAAAAACTCAAATGTCTATTAATTGATGAATGGATACATTAAACATGTTACGGACATAAAATGGAATATTATTTGGCAGCAAGAAGTATATGACTGATGGATCTGTGCCAGCACATTGTTGAAACTTAAAAACATAATTCTGAAATTTTAAAAATCCCGTGTTGTCTGATTATATGAAACTCCAGAATTGGCAAATCTATAGACGCAAAGTATATTAATGGTCATCTAGATTTCGGAGAAGATGGTGAGTGACTTCTTGGGTGTTAGATTTCTTTTGAGGATAAGAAAACTGTTTGTTTTTTAAGGGGCTTTGGTGGGGGGCCTTTTTTTTTTTCTTTTTTGGTACCAGGAGCCAAACTCAGGGCCTCACACTTTGAGGCAGGCACTGCACCACTGAGCTATAACCCCAGCCTGGTAAGAAAAGTTAAAATTGAATATGGTGATGATTGTACAACACGGAATGTACTAAACATCATTGAACTGTAAATTTTAGATTATATCTCAATGAAACAAAAAAAAAAGTTGAAGGTAATTTTAGGTAGAAAGGACAGGGGGCAGCCTGAAGGCAAAAGCCCTTTCAGACAGCACTGAGCAGACCTGTGGGCCTGGGCTTCCATCAGGTGACTGAACACAGGCACTAACAGGACCTTAAAGGGAACCACAATTTCAGCCCCTTAGGAACTCATCGTAGACTTCTGATCTCCAGGAGTGAACACAATAAATATGCACGGTTGCTTTAAACCATGAGATTTGTGGTCATCACAAGGCAGGAAGATAAGATGGCTGCAGCTAGCATGACAAGATACTGAGACGCAAGCAGAGCATCCGCAGAACTCTGCGTGTGGCCTTCTCCCGAGAACTGAAACAGGGTTTTGACAGGATGTCATGGACATGATGCCAGTGTGAAAGATATAAAAAAGGGACAAGCTAGCATTCTTCTTCAGGAGAGCCCACACTATATTTTTATTTTTTCCTCTCTTTACTTGACCCAGAACTCACTTTGTAGAGCTCATGCTCTCCCTGCCTTACTCTTTTCCCTTCCTTTAATGGGAAACCGGCATGGTGGCGCACACCTGTAAGCCTGGCTCGTGGGAGGCTGGGGGGGGGGGCGAGTTTGAGGCCAGCCTGGGCTACACAGTGAGACCCTGTCTCAAAACAAAAAAAAAAAGGATAATAAATAAATAATGAAACTTTGCCATTGTTTTTGCTTGTTTCATTCAATTCTTTGTCCAGCAGGCAAAGGGTTTGGACTCACCTCTGAAAGGACACTTCAGGGCCCCAGAACCCAGTAACAATCTGTTAATGCAGCCATAAGAAGTGAAAACAGGTCTCAACCAAATTTACCCCCAACGACCACACATTTAGAAGACATTTTATTTGCCTCACTACTTATACTAGTTCCCCTATTATAGTTTTAGTTAGAATTTAAACCAGTAGTGGTGTCACTACATCTGTCAACCAGTCCTGTCATCTGTGACCATTTTAAAGAAATGTAGGATTAGGACAAGTCACAGTCACAGACTGAGAACTAACAGACCTCGAGGGCAGACTAAGCACTTCGACATACCTGGACAGTAAACATTGAAACGTAGCCCCTTTCTATCCTGCGTTTCCTACAACTGTAGGAACCCTCTGCACCTTTCTCTGAATATTCTGGCACATCAATAACTTGGGGTTCACATCATAATGGGTATACCGTCAAACAGTACTGGCTTACTAAATTACTGAACATGTAAGTTCAGAAAGTGTGAGGCAACTCCATCTCAGATATATGCGGCTCTTTTGGGGTTAATTGAGACCTGTGTTTAGTGGCCCCAGAATTCTGTTCCTCACGTTCCAACAAACTTGGAGGTAACCTTTGATGTTTTGTTTCTTTTCTTTTTCTTTCTTTTCCTTGTCTTTTTGAGGAAGGGACTCACTATGCAGTTCAGGCTGACTTGGAGCTCACGTTGTAGCTCAGGCTGGTCTCAAACTTGCAACCTTCCTCCTGCCTCAGCCTCCCAAGTGCTGGGATTTCATGAGTGCACCACCATGCCCAGCTTGACATTTGTGTTTTCCATAATTTCTGCATCTTTCCCTGCTGTTCAGGCCCTGTAAGTGTTTCACTCTTCTGACCTTACAAATATAATCTCTCCCTGCTCCAACCCATTCTACTCACACTTCTAAGTACTGATTGAGCCATGGCCCTGCTTAAAAAACTACTGTCGGGGCTGGGGATTTAGCACAGCGGCATAAGCGCCTGCCCTGCAAGCAGGCAGTCATGAGTTTGATCCCAGGGACCGATAAAAAAGAAAAAAACCAAACAAAACAAAAAAAACTACTTGTCACTCTAGGAGAGTTCTAGGAACTGACTCATTCTAAAAAATCAAATAGCTATCCCATCTTTCCCACTGTACTTTAGCAAAAGTTCTTTATAGAAGAATCACATATGACTGGGATATGTTTGACAGAATCAGAAAATCACTATTATGCAACCCTTTGAGTGAAGTAATGGATCAAGGCAACAGTCATCAATGGCCACTAGAACCATTAGATAAAATATTGATAAGGAAAGTTTATTGTGGATTATATCACTGGAACCCTACTGATCAATTGTAAAGTCACTGAAAGTAGGACAATCAGACAATGTTCCCCTTGAAGAAATATAAAAGAAAGAAAACAGCATCACCTGTAAAATACTTAGAAAAAAGAAGAATCAAAAGCTAGATCCAACTAGACATGGAGATACCATCAGCCAAATCTTGAACAGAGGAATTCTACAAGATATATGGTTCATTTTCTTCTTAAAATAGATGTTCATGGAAAGAAAATACGGTGCAAATGTTAGAGAATAAAAAGACATGTCAATCAAATATAGTGTTCAGTTTTCATTTAAACAAGCCACAAAGACTTTTGAGATAAGAAAACTGAACACAAAATAATTATTGTATACTAAAGAAATCTTGTTAGTTTTGTTGAGTGTGACAATGATTTTGTGGTTCTGTCAAGATAAAAAAAAATAACCGTATCTATCAGAGACACATTTTTAAGTGTAGGAGACAATCTGTGCAGCTCCCCTTGAATGCAGAACAATTGCTTCAGCATTAGTTAAAACTGAACTTTGTCTTCATGTACTGTTATATACAGAGCTGGCTATGCTATTTCCTTCTTTTAATTAGTTCTAAGCAATGAAAATAAGGCTAGCAAAGGTACTGATCTGTAATCCTTGAAGCCAGCCAACAACTTCCTGTTTCTTCACATTGTTCTCTGTAAAACAGTTGAGCAGAGCAGGATGGCAGAGCCACATAGCTGCAGGAACGTCAACTGGGTTTGGGCCACAAGAGGCCATGACTTTCCAAGACACCCGTTTATGTATCGGAAACTGAAGCAACAGTCTCCCAGAAACATTCAGATGCTACCCAATTGAGCTCTGCAGACTGGTCTTTCTGCATATCATTTTCCCTGCATATTGCAGAGGTACTTGTACTCCACCTGGCCAGCTCATCTCACATTGCTCATGTAATTTCTACCGTCCGCACTGTCACTCATCCTTGAGCCACCCCTTCAAGAGATAATAAATTCTGGGGGAGGCCTTTGTTCCATATATCTTCGCCTAGATTGGACTCAGGACCCCTTGGCTGCCCATAACTATAAATATGTCTCAGTGTCTCTTCTCACTGTGGATTGCACTGGAAGTGGCAGATTGGAATTAATTCACTGGGATTCCAATAACATATCAATGCAATTACAAATATAACTTTCTGAAATTCAAGGTAGTCAGGAAAAGGGGTTACAATATTAAAGTACTAAAATGCTATAATCCCTGAGATTTACTTTAAGACAATGTAGCTTGGGCTAGAGATGTAATTCAGTGGTAGAGCACTTACCACACCGGAGGCCCAGGATTTGATCTTGAGCACCGCAGGGAGGGGATAAGGAAAAGGCAGAGGGTAAATGTATGTAACAAAAAAGGAGAATATTAGTATGTACTAACCTTGATGAGTAGACAGAGTTTCATTCTATTTTTGTGTATGTTTGAACATAAATGTTATGAAAATAAAGATGAACAGTATTGAAATTATGTGACATTCCATAATGAAAAGTTAACATGACAAAGAACCTTAAGTCATAGTGAATACTTAATGGGAAATGGATGTTGTGTTTATGTCTATAGTAAATCTGACAGCAAGTAGAGACTTGAAGAAGGTTATATTCAGATTTGTAAACATTTTTTTCTCACGTAATACACATATTCAGTCACAGGACTGGCTTTGTGAACATGTGATCCATGCAGTTGCATATGACCATGCTCAGAAGTGTCCCACATTTAATTTCTTAGCAAGGGCCCTGTGTTTTCATTTTGCACTGGCCTCACAAATTACACTGCTGGCCATACACTTACACACATGCAACACATACAACTGTGTATGGATATGTACTAAATATACTTAACGTAACACTTAAGTGTTACGTGTCTTATATGTGTTTATGTTAAATATGTGTATATATAATAAGTATGTGTTTAATGGTAAAAATTTGTAGTGAAGCACCTAGATCAAAATGGCTCTTTTAAAACTGCATTTTAATAAGCAAATAAGGTCCCTGGATCTGGCCTCTCTCCTTCCCTAACTAAAAAAAAAGATTCCTTTCTTTGATATATGTCTGAAGTCTAGAAAATATATACTCACAATAAAAGCTACTAAGAGTTTCTATATTTATTTTTCTTGTCTTTTTAAGACAGGGTCTCACTGTGCAGGTCAGGCTGGCATTGGGCTCACTTTCATAGCCCAGGCTGGTCTCAAACTTGCAAGGATCCTCCTGCCTCAGCCTCCTGAGTGCTGGGATTACAGGACTGCACTACGATGCCCAGCAAGTTTCTACACATATGATGCAAGAATTAAAATGCGACAATAAAGCAAGGCTAAAAGTCTGTGTTCTCATTGGCCACATTTAAAGTATAGCTTCATTCATCAAGATTAGAAAATACTTGTCTGTCTTTTTTGTATTTTTGAGACAGGGTTTTACTATGCAGTTTTACTTTGCACTTCAGTGGGGGGCCTCAAACTCACTTTGTAGACCAGGCTTGCCTCAAACTCAGTGATCCTCCTGCCTCGGCTTCCCAAGTGCTCGGAGTATAGGTGAGCGCCACCACACACAGCCTCATTTTTTTACTGAAAATAAGGTTTCTTGGGTTGAAGGTAGAAAAGTTTCTTACCATGTGCAAGGTCCAGGTTGAATCCCACAATCCCCAGAACTTTTAAGTAACACAGCAAACACCTATATACCCTAACTGATATTTACCAATTATCCAATGGTTAACATTTCATCATATGTGAATTCATTGTATCTCCATATTCAATTGCATTTTCTTTTTACTTTTTTTTTTCTTTTTTTTTTTTTTTGAGACAGGGTCTTGCTAAGCACTGGAAAACAGAAACACTGAAATGATACCCAGGATTTGGAGGCAGGTTTATTATGCCAATGGGCACTGATTGGGATCATTCCTAGAATATCAGCCCCTGATCTTTAGTGGTATAAAGCAGGAAGTACAGAGGCAGAATGGGTTGTCATTGGGGATTGTTTTATACAATGTGCATTATAGTGACCAGTTATACGTCACCATGACCAGCCGTTTCTAAGAGACAGGCACAACCGGAACTGGACCAGGAGCTAACAAACTGAAGCATACTGGCTGGGGGTGCATTTTCTGCCACAGTTCTGCAGTTTGGATTGGCCTTAAACTCACAGTGTAGCCCAGCCTGGCTTTGAACTCGTGGCAATCCTCTTGTTTTTGCCTCCTGAGTGCTAGGATTACAGCCCTGTACCTTCAATACAGCTTGCTGTCTCTTAATTTTGAATAATTTTCCTAATCGTTCATGACACTGACTTTTTAAAGAATGACCCATAGAATGTCTAATAATTTCCTTGTTAACGAATTCCTGTTAGACATTTGATGAGGAAGAATTGTAGGTGATATCATCTAATTCTTACATCACATTAGGAGACACATAATTTTAGGTTGCTGTACCTTGAGTGATGGAGTGATGCTGGACTGAATCACTTGGTTATGGTTATGGGTTATTCTGGTGACCACAATCTTTCCATTGTAAAACTACATTTCCCCCTTTGTAACACATCATCTATGAGATGATATCTGAATTTTTGCAGTTCAGATGATATCTGAATTCTGTTCCCCAAAATGTTTCCACCCAATAGTTTTAGCACCCTTTGATGAACCTTGCTGTAATCAAATGCTGTCCTGGAAGTTAAAAGTAGATTAATTGAACACCTTTTAAAAATAGCTATTAGCCTTTATGAAAACATTTACTATTACTGGGAACTTTTTCATTTTCTGTTTAAATTTTATTCACTTTAAAACTTGTTTTAAAACCAGTTTTAGAATGAAAGTTGATGGCTCTAGTTTGAATTAGCTTTCAGGGTCTCTGAAGACACAATCCCAATTATGTTCTAGCTTCCATACAGCAATTCAGGATGACAAATGAACATACGCAGTACTCCCCAAATACATCTTTTCCATAACCTGCCAGGCCCCTTGCCAAGACTGTCCATTTGGTCTGCTCCAAATGTCTCACATGCTCCAAAGTGTTGCTGAAATGTCACTTCTCAGCTGTGTGCTCAGTAGAGTGATCTTGGCCCTGAAGATTAATTATTTTCCCTCCCATGAGCCAGCAACAGTAGTGGACTGGGAGGAGAACCAAGAAGACAACCTGCCTGCTCCTGTGAGCCAGCTGGGATGCAGGCGAGGACAGGAGATGCCCATCCCCCACCTCCGCCCTATAAGCAAAGGGCAGAGTCAGAGGAACACAGGCTGAGATGACAGTAATTAAAAGGAAAAAACCTTAGTGCTTGTAATGTTTGATTGACTTTTCAGGCCTGAAGCTGGTAATCTGAGCATCTATTAGAGGATAACAATATATGCAATATAGCAAAAATTGGGATTTCTTTGTCATTTTTTTAAACAAAACAAAAAAGGATAGAAATAATACAGAATTTTTTAAAAACAGTAGGAAATTCTGTTGTTTTTGAAATCCAATATTGTTCTCACTGTTTTGTTTTATTCCCTTTTTAAAAAGCGATTATTTTCTGTACTTAGTCACTGCCTTACTGCAGTTACATTTTCTTAAAAGTGTCACTTATAATGAACACAAAATAGTTTTTTAAAGAACTTTGCAGCATAAACTAGTGGACTCAGCATCCAGTTTAATAAAAAATATCACCCTTGCCGTTGAAGGCCACTTCCCTAATCCTTTTCCTCTAACATAAACACTGTCACAAATTTAGTATCTCTCATTCCCTTCTATCTCTTTATTATTTTATCGCATTTGTTGGAATTCCTAAACAATGATTTATTTTTGTGTGTTCTGGAACTTTATGTAAATAGAATTGCTCTGTAAGTATTTTCTGAAACTTACTTTGTTCACTTAATATTATGTTTCTAATATATATTGTATTATCTTACTGCATTAGCTCTTAATTTTAGTGTTATATAGAACTGCACTATGTGACTTCATCTTCTCTCCTCTTGATAGGCATTACAGTTGTTCCTGATTCTTTGGTTTTTCTGAATAGTTTTTTTTTCAAGTTATAAAGCTTTATTGAAAACCATCTTAACTATAGTTTTAATACTTAAATATATGTGAAGTCATTCCTAAGTGAAACACAAAGTTATTTTTGCATTAGTATTTAATACTTAAATATATGTGAAGTCATTCCTAAATGAAACACAAAACTATTTCAGCTATTTAATTTTGTCCTCAATAGCAAGTTTTTCCTTTAAATATTAAACTGTGAAAGAAAAACTTAAGCATTTCAAAACTCATAGTGCACAAACCACTTTGTGCACTTATCATTCTATTAACAAATATCTTACTAATTAAGTAGTACATTAAAGCCATAAATCAACATCTCACCTCACAGGACTATTATTATTCACTTATTTAGAAAGTCATTTTTATGTTCTATCTTATGAGGCTGAAGTTATCCTATAGACAAAGAGTAGGTACAATAACTATTTTCTCCCTCTAATCAGGTTTTAAATTTTTTATTAGGACAATCTGGGGGTAGGGTATTGGATTTGGGTATTTACATTCTATCAAATAGATTCTTAATAAATTGATGGCATAAAATTTTACAGCACACATCTTCATTAATCTGAAACATAAAAATAATCCTTTAACAACAGTTTTAACATACATCAAATGTAACGGAGTAGTCAAACTAACTATCCTTTTGTTAAACTTTGACGAACACATTAAGTCTTTACTGTTTGAGCAAATCAGTTTTAGTTTCTTCAAGGTCCTCCATGTGTTCTTTAACACTACACTCATGGGGTTGTTGAGTTTATAATGTAATATATTTTAATCCAGTTTCCCTCTTGGTATTGCCTCACACCAAATTCTGCCTTCTTCTGAAAGCCATGGTGGTTTCTTCCTAGATCTCTGTTTTTCTGAGTGATTCTTTGAAACAGGTCTTTCAGTGTCTCTTCTGTTTTCTTCCCCTCTGAAGAATTCCCACTCACTTTCTTATGATGGTCTTGCTGACAGCTTCCTTGTTTCAAGTTAGATAAAAAGAGATTCATGTGAGATTTTTTCCTTTATCCAAATTAGCTTCAGTTGTGGTTTCATTATCATTACTGTTACAGTTATCTTTGTGTTTTCTCATTTTCCACTACTTGTGCTGCTTCATCAGAAAAGGTGATTTTTCACTTAGCGCACAATCCACATAACTTCTAACTTTCTCCATCATAAGGTTGTAGCTGAAGTGTTGAAAACAGAAATGATATGGGCCTTTCTGTGAAATCATAAGCAATTTCCTTTCATGTGAGAATATGGGTCACCAAATATTCTTTCAAGGACTTCTTCTGTTTCCTTAAAACTACCATGTTCTGGGGCCTGGGGATTTAGCTCATCGGCATAAGCACCTGCCTTGCAAGCAGGCAAGTCGTGAGTTCAATCCCCGGTACCAATAAAAAGGAAAAAGACAAAAAAAAAAAAAAAAAAAAAAAACCTACCGTGTTCCATATAGCTATAGCCTGAATATTAATAAAATTCTGTATTTCTTCATGTGTAAAAATGTTCTTTGAAGTTAAAAAAAAATAATGAAAATCTGTCTTAAAGGCAATACAAAAAAAAGGAATAAAATGAAAATAAGAGGAAATATCTATCCATGACCCTTAGCAGACCTTATATAATGAAAGGAAAGCAAATATTAGAAGTAGCAGGCTTTTTAGAAGGACCCTAATAGGTATGCCTTTCCTTTTTATCTAAGACTTTCTTCCACTCAGCCAAGGTCTTCAGTATTTCAGATGTGTCAGGTCGTCTTTGAGGCTCCTTCGCTAGTAATTTCCGTAGAAGGCTTTTCTGTAAGCAGAAGTAACTGTCAATAGTAAGAACTAAACATTGGAATTAATAAAATTGTGATTATTTTTAAATACTTACTTCTTTGTTATCAAACACATTATCAAAGATGCCTTTCCTTAGATCTTTGAAAACCTGAAAATAAATCATATACATTCATTTATTAGGAAATTATTTGCTTGAGAGGAAGAACAAACTTAGAACACATTAAAGGTTAAGAATACCTTAAGGATACTCTGAATGTAGGCTGTTGCTAGACCTTTAGGAACATCTTTTTAGGCAAGCACAAGCGGATAATTCCCTCCACCACACTCAGTCTAAGAACTGTCTTAACTTCCTTTGTTTTGATATTCGTTCCCGTAATCCTTCCTGGAACCCTAAGAAATAGATACTTTAAGTACCCCTTTTATAGAGACAAAAGTTGTTGACTAAGCAGATCCTCTTCCTGAGCTTCAGACTAGCATATCCAGTTGCCATCTGCCTTTAGTAGTTATCCATTGCCTACATGAGAAAATCCATATTTTTTCCGCAGATTAGCACCAATCTGCCTTTCCAGCTCCATTAACCATCACTTCCTTGTAACATGTATTCTCCAATAAAACTATGCTGCCTGCTGTTTCCAAATATACTCGGTACAGGCCCATCTTCACACTGGCGTCTCCTGGTTTCTATTTTGGACTATTAGAAACAACCCTCCTGGGGGCTGGGGATTTAGCTCAGCAGCATAAGCACCTGCCTTGCAAGCAGGCGGTCCTGAGTTCGATCTCTGGTACCAATAAAAATGAAAAAGACAAAAAAATAAAAATAAAAATAAAAAAAGAAACAACCCTCCCTTCACAGGCCAACTGACTTGCTTTGGTGAAATCTGAAATCTCAGCTGAAAGATCTACATGTTTCCACGGACTTTATGTCTTTTCTTAAAATACTTATAACATTCTTTTATCTCCTTTCTTAGAAAAATCAACTGTTAATTAGGCACAGAGGTACATGTCTGTAATCCCAGTATTCTGGGAGCTGAAACAAGGCAGATCACAAGTTTGAGCCCTGCCTGGGCAATTTAGTGACTTAGACTCCCATCTCAAAATAAAAGAAATGAAAAACCAGAGATGTTGCTCAGTGAGAAAAGTTCAATCCCCAGTACCAGGAAAAAAAAACCTGCTTCACTGCTGTCTCTTGTAACACCTATCACAGTGTCTTTAGCAAAGTAGGCAATCAATGAAATTTTACCAATTGACTTAAAAGCCCTACAAAAAAAAAGTACGCATCTTCCAAAAAAATAAAGCTTTTTGTTCTATGAAAAATAGTTCTCAGAATTTGAAATAAGAAAATTCATGTTTCAGTTGCAGTTACTCACTACTGAAGCTCACCTTCACACATGGGCAATGACTTTGAAACAATACAGACATAGAAGAAGACATACAGTAAGATATGTAATTATTTTCTTAGATTATTTACCGCAACTGTTTCTTGGAAAGTCGCACGTACGTGAATAAGTTCAGAGAGAATTAGTCCCAGAGCAAAAATATCCACTTCCTTTCCATAATCTTGTGAATTCAGCTGAAGAGATCAAAGCATAGTTGCCTTTGTTACTTATCTGATGTAAATATCTGTGCTTTCTGAAGCCACAAAATCTTCTATCATGCAAAGAATATATCTGCATGATTTGTGGAGTCTGACAGCATAGATTCAAATATTTAGCACCAAATAGCAGCCTCTCTGCTGTAAATTAACCATTAATACGGGAATAGAATAGTATTAATTGTAAAATGGGTCTAATAATACCATTGACCTCAGAGTTTGATTGTGCAATTAAGTAAAATATAGCAGGTAAAGCAATTAAAATGTTGTCCACTGACTTCTGTGACAATATTCATAACATTTATTTATAATATTCCATAGCTAAAAATAACTCAACTGTTACCAACAGGAGAATTGAAAGACATACTGTGGTATAGTCATATCATGAATTACTACTCAATGACAAAAAGGAATTAGTTGCTGATACAAGGAAACAATTAAAGGTTTGCCAGTGTAATACTTTGAAGAAACTAAATGCAATTGAGTACATTTACCGTAATTCCATTCATATGAAATTTAAGAACAGGAAGAAGTGAAGTATGATGATAGAAATGAGAGAGCTATTTCCTTCCATGAAGTAGGGAGGGGGAAATAGCTAGAAAGTGGCTGTTCTACATGTTCACAAACCTGTAGGCTACAACAGAATATACATTGGTTAAAGCAAATACATTTAAGACATGTGCATTTTGTGGCACGTAAATTATTCCTGAATAAAATGTATTTACATTTAAAAATCACCTAAGATTTGGGGATGACAGTGCACAATGTGTGTATCACTGCTGCCCCGATTGACATGTTTTGAAATTTTGTTTTACTTTTTTGCTTTGTTTTTTTTCTCCTTAAAATAAAATGGATTTGGAAAAAAAGAAAAGAAATATGTGATGGTATGAACAGCTATTTTAAAGAAAACAAGACATTATAGCAGTCATTGCTGATTTAATACCATCTTGCTTTGAAGTCCTACCATGCTTTTGTTCTTCTGATTCCTTTGTTCTATCATGTTGTGTCTTACTGGATTTTAATGTGTGATAGTAGAAACAAATTTTCTATGGAAAATGAGATAATGTAGTAGCCATTGTTCATTTTCTGTTATTTGGTTCTAAATGCCCTGTAATACTTTCATTCTCTTGAATGGTTTTATACTATTTTGTTATGTTTGATGCTATTGTATGTGAAGGTATGCTCAACTATTTCAAAGGAAGAGTTATTATGGTAGCTACTGTTAATATCCAGTTGTCTTGCGGGGAAGTGCTATGTTGCTTACATTGTTCTGTTCTGCTCTGCTTTGTTCTGTTCTCTTTTGTCTTAATTTCTTTAACATAAAATTTAAAATTTTTTAAACAAAAAGAAAAGAAAAAAGAAGAGAAGAAGTGCAAATCACCTAAGATCTGGGCATGATGGTACACAGTGTGATCCCGTCACTCGAGTAAGCTGAGGCAAGAGGACTGTGAAGTTTGAGGCCAGCCTGGGCTATATAGTGAGTTCAAGATTTGCCTAACCTACATATTGAGGACACATCTCAGACTAACAAAATGCCTGAGAAAAATAAAAGCACAATCATAAATTATAATTTAAAACTATTCTGAGGGTGATAATATAGGCTGCAGGAGCTGTTTAGTCCAATTGGAAGTAAGAGAGACATTAGTTCTCTGTTGTGTTCTACCTCACACCTCACACACATGCCATCTACATTACATTTCTATGCCAAATGGTCTCCAAAGGGAAGAGGTGAGTTTGCTCTCACCTCTTGAGAACCGCTGAAGGTTCTCAAGACGTTAGATAGCTCAGTGCGTTTACTCTTGGGTGACAGACTAATGAAAGTATTTTGAAAAAAAATTATCAAGAAAATCAACTTAAAAAGAGTACTTAAAATCCAAAACAAAGAATAAGATGAACAATCCAAAAGATGAAAATAGACAACCAAAATATCACAGTGTAAAGACTTTGTTGTGAGTATGGAGATCTTTCAGTTGGTGACTGTTTTTTAGTAATATACTCTGAGAGTGGCTAACGATAAGCCTTAGCCTCTGTCCAAAGATCCAACCAGTTCCGTTCATCTGGAACAGGAGAGTGCAGTGTAATTGGCCTAGCACCCACTTCTCTGGGAACAAACCACAATACTGCTAATGACACAAAGACAACCTACATATTGACATGCAAAGAAAACCAGTTAATAGTAACAACAATGCCAACCCTGGCAGTAACAACCATAATACAATCAAAGACAAACTACATGCTGACATAACATAAAAATCAATAATGTACCAACCTTAACCACAGAAAACATCTATAATTATAGTATCAACACAAAGAAAAACCAAATATCAACACGCAGTATCTACTGAATGTGACAACTGTACCTCCACTAACAATTGAAAAGATTTCAACAGTAATAACACACAGTTAACTAAATATCTTAAGATTAATAAAACTCAAGATTATACTAGCAAAGACAGGGTGTGGGGAATGGGAGAATGAAGGAAGTAAAATTTGAAAAATAAAGAAAAGAAAGTTGAGGAGGCCAGAAAAGTTAGATAAAGCAAAGAAGGAAGTGCACTGTCCCACCCTCAGGAGATTCTCCCAGTACTCAACAGACTAAGACAGCAGGATTGTGTGGAATATAAAGCTGGCCTGGGCTATACTGTGAGTTCAAGACCAGTCTCCACTATGAAGCAAGACCCTGTCTCAAGAAACAAAAAACAAACAAAGTAAAAAATGAGATAAAAGTAATAGAAGAAAGTAAAACAAAAAGATCAAGATAAAAAAGAAGAAAAAGAAAAAAATTAATAGGCCCAAACCCCCCAAACATAGACAAACCAACAGAAAAAGATGACTGCAAAAAAATTCTTTTTTTTTTTTTTTTTTTTTTGTACTAGGAATCAAACTCAGGACCTCATGCTAAATACCGAGCCCTCTTTCCTGTTTTTAAATGAATGATTTATATCCAGGGTCTGCATCTTGGAACAGTGTTGTGTGTGAATGGTGAATCCCACCCTGCCTTTCCCCCTGGGTGTGGTTAGTCATTGGTATCTGTTCTATGGCTATAGTCTCCCCAGAAACTCCCACTTTCCATGTCCCTCTGAGATGTACTCCAAGTCAGTTTTCTCACCTAGCTATATGCCCATAGATTTGTGCTGCTCCAGAGGCTCTTCTGCCCGTGGATCTCAGGCTGAGGCAACTGTCCAAACTGAGCCATATCTTTGCTCCCACCATTAGGTGGAGAAAGCAAAAGCAGACAGACTACTGAGTCCTGTGCTGGATATAAGTACTGGGTTTCAAACAGACCGCTCAACTTGCTGTCAACACTTTCAGAGCCAGTTGCCTATGAAAGCCACACTCAACTGGTCTCCTAGCTCACCACAGATGGTGCAGCCCCACATCCTTTCCAGCCTAGGCTGAAGCTTCTCAAGGAGTATATGGCTAATCCACACCCGCCTCTCTGCAACTATCTCTTACGGCTCTCTTTCACTCAGTCATTGTTGTCTCTCCACAGTTTAAAAAATACTAGAGTCTCACAAAGATGGCAGATCGGTAAGCAGCAATATACAGAGGCTCCCTGAGAGAGAACTCAGATACCAGGATAAAATATCCAGACCTCTCTGGACAGAGGAAGATGGACCCTCTCAACCCAAGAAGAAATTAAAGGGAAAAGAACTGGTCAAACATGCAGTCCCAGGACTACCATTGGAGTAGCTAAGATTAGCAGCCATGGTGCTCTCACTGGATCCGCCCAAACTCGCACTGCTGTGACTTGCCAGAGTGGCACAAACTCGTGCCCCTGCGACTTGCCGGAGCCACGGTCACACTGAGATTGGAGGTCGGCAAGCCCAACAGAGAACAGAGCCAGTATGGAGACCTGCATTAACCCACAGTGAATGCAGGGAATAAGACCCTCTCAAGGGAAAGGGGCGACCAACTGGACACGTTGGAATCGGGCAGGACAGGCAGGAACAAGGAATGGCAGTGACTTCAGTTGGTTGCCTCCTTCCCAAAGCAGATTGGTGGGATCTGCTTGGCCTGGGTCACGGCCGTGGCTGGGATCCAGTAAGCTGTCCCAAACCAATTCCATATGCGCAGCACACACTAACAGGGTGAAGGCCCTTGCAGGTTGACTGGCCTGGAGGGGAGGGGCCAGCAATAGCTGCCCCTGCTTGCACCTCAATGACTAACAGCAAACTGGAGAGGGAAGAAATCCCTAGCCAGCACACTTCAGAAGAACCATAACCAACAAGGAAAAGGACTGAGACCTCCATTATACACCTATGGTATGGAAGAAACCAAAAACATGACAAGAGAAAGAAAGAAAAAAAGGTCCCCAGCACCCAGCCCTGAGGACATTGATCCAGGAGAGGTGAATACAAAAGAGATTGAGGGCAGCAAACATGCAGTATCAGACACAACATCAGTGGACATAAAGAGATATCTTTGGGATCTCATAGACAAGCTTAAAAGTGAAATATTCAAGTAAAGCAAGATATAAGTAGATTAATAAAAGAAATTCTAAGCACCCCTCAGAAAGACACAGATGGAAGAATGGAGGAACACACAAAAAAGAGAGAAACATTTGATGAAGAATATAAAGAAAACCCAAAATACAAGAAGCAGATTCAAAGAGATTACCAGGAAATTAAAAACTCCATTGAAAGCTGGCAAAACTGCTTGCCACTGAGCTAAATCCCCAGCCCCTGGGAAGATCTCTTAAAAATAACAAGGAAACAGGCAGTAACAATACAAAGGCTAGAAGATGCAAGAGGATCTATAACTTAAGAATGAAACATACGAATGAAGAAGCAGGAGGAAAAACAAAGGAAATACAAACGCTATTCACAGAAATAATTAAGGAAAACTTCCCAAGCATAGGAAAAGGAAATGCTATTCAGATGTCTGAGGCATACAGAATTCCAGCCACCTACAACCAAAACAGAGCTACACCCAGACATATAATAATCAAGATCCCAGAAATTCATCACAAGAACAGAATATTAAAAGCCATCAGAGAAAAGAAACAGATCACCTATAAAGGAAAGCCCATCAAAATCACGGAGACTTCCTGACACAGACCATCAAATCAAGAAGAGCTTGCAGCGAAGTATTCCAAGCCCTGAAAGAAAATAGACACCAGCCCAGATTGATGTATCCTGAAAAACTGTCTCTAGAAATTAATGAAGAAACAAAATGCTTCCATGACAAAGAGGAGCCAGGGAAATTTGCGACTACCAATCAAACCCTACAGAGAATAGTGAAGGAATTCTAGAGAGAGAAAAAAACCCAGCGTATCAGGAACAGTGGCAGAGGCCTCAGTGAATGGAGCAGACAGTAGAATGAAGGAGAAAAGTAGGCAACCAATGGCAGAAAAACAGCATACCAGAAATGAGGCAGAGAAGATTGGCTATAATCTCTAACATAAATGGCCTTGATACACTAAAGGAAAGAAAAGAAAAAAGAAATACAGGCAGAGTAGATCAGGAGGTAGGATCCATCGAAATGCTCTGTATAGGAAATATAACTAACCTGTATAGGAAATATAACTAACCTTTTGGTTTATGGACCTAAAATCAAATATGAGAAAAACAATGCTCTATGTGACAGGGAACCAGAGAGAAAAAGGGGCAACTCGACCAACACCTGCAGATAGGTTGGAAAGACAGGATACTTACATGCAATAGAGAACTACTCAGCTATAACAAAGGAAAACCTTGAGGCTTTTGTAGGTAAAGAAATCAAGTCCAGGAGTGAGAATGTGCAAAAGCACTCAGGTAAAGTAGCAGGTTGATCCCCCCAATCTAAAAACTGAGGGAGTTGGTGGGACCCAAAATGCACAGTGCACCCTGTGGGAGTGAAATGGGAGGAATAGTCTAAAAAAAGAAGGCAGGGGATTATTTTTAATAGTGTATCAGGATTTAAAACCCACATTACTCATACTGCTCTGTTTAGATGATTATATTCTGTTCCAGTTTGTCTGCTTGTACTAGATTTGAGGGCACAGACAGCTATCCCGAAAATAGCAGGATATAGTATGATAATCATCCTTAATTTCCTATTAACTTAATCTGAAGCCCTGTATAACTTACATTGTTTTATCATGACTGATCTTAGTTGAATCTGATTTGTTAGATTGCTGTTTTGTATTGACAGATTTTATTCAAATCTGTTATGACTGATAGTACCAAGTCTGAATGTATAGGCAACTACACTGAAGATGACACGAATCACTAGGATACCCGCTCGGGTTTGATTATTACCTGCTTTTGAAGTTTTACACTGTCTACAATGTTTTGCATTTATTAATACTGTTATGTACTGCTATATTCAATTATACTATGCCTGCTGATATAGGCAATTCTATTGAAGATAACAAGAGACAACACAGTAACCATTGTAGATCACCTTGTACTGTGGTTTTATATGACTTTTTCATTTCATGTTTTTATAGGAATGTTTTGTTTTTTCTTGCTTTGTTTTGTTTTTCCCTGTAATACAGAAAAGATAGAAATATATGTAGAGACTCATACATGTGTAGAACCTATTAACAATTTATGAGAACTAATCATATAACGCATAAGGAAATGAACTACTTTAAAGAAAAAGAGACACTACAGTACCCAGTGCTGATTCCATCACGTCATGATGTGAAATCCAGCAATACTATTGTTTTTTGTTCAGAGTGATTTTAGCCTGTTTTGTTTTTTAATTTCAACAAATATGAAGGTATGGACAGCTGTTTTGAAGAGAATGAGAGACATTATGACAGCCGTGGTTGACTTCCCTATTGTCTGATCTTGATGACCTAAAACGCTTTCCTCATCTTGTTCAGATCAGCTCTATACTATGTTGTTTCATGTGAAATTTCTGTATGTGAAGATATGGACAACTATTTGGAAGAAAACGAGATAATATAATAGATAGCGAACATCTCTGATTGTCTTGCTTTGAAATTTATGTCTTTTACATTGCTTTTTTTTTTTTTTAAATCGGTACCAGGGATCGAACTCACGACTGCCTGCTTGTAAGGCAGGCGCTTATGCTGCTGAGCTAAATCCCCAGCCCCACATTGCTTTCTTATGATCTGTTTTGTTGTGTTTAATTTTACCCTCTTTAAAATAAAATAATTCAAAAATAATAAAAAATACTGTATCATATACAACAATCCCAGACGCTCATGAATATGTAAGTCTCTGGACTATTTCACGGGCTTCTTAAAAAACATTTTACTATTTTAATAATTGAAGCATTAAAAGATACATTTTAATATTTGAACAGCAGAACCTCCTTTTTCATTATTATTTAGTTTAAAAACATCTCCAGAGGGAGCTGGGCATGTGACACATGCCTCTCACTCCAGCACTCTGGGGGAAGCTGAGACTAGAGAATCAAAACTTTGAACACACTCTAGGCAGCTTAGTGACTTAGAAAAATCCTGATGCAAAATTGAAAACTAAAAAAGAAGAGGGAGTATAGCTCAGTGTAAAGACCCTGAGTTCAATCTCTACTAGAAAAAAAAGATCTAAAATGTCCTCAGGGGTTCACATTTATGACTCCAAGTGACCCCTAGAATCAACTAGCCATGCTGCATAACTGGTCTTGGGGTTTTGATAACTTGCATTGAATGTAAGGATTTGGTTGAGGAGAACTGATACCCTCACTGTGGGGACAGTGCATAATTAAGAGCAAAACCTGGGCAAAAAACCCACTTACAATAGAAATATAAAAAGACAAGGCCACAAAACAACTCCCCAAACTCTCAGTTCCTCCAGAGTTGATCCATGGGGCATCAATTGGGGAGGAAATCAAAAGCCCCACAGCTGTATTATTCAAAATGATAAAAGTTTTTTAAAAACATCATAAGAAGACAGAGCCAAAGAGAAAATAGACTTAACTAGCTGAGCCGGGCATGGTGGCTCATGCCTGTAATCCTAGCACTTGGGAGGCTGAGGCGGGAGGATCCTTGCAAGTTCGAGACCAGCCTGGGCTACAAAGTGAGCTCAAGGCCAGCCTGAAATGCATAGCGAGACCCTGTGTCAAAAAAAAAAAAAAAAAAGCTAGCTGAAAGTGAAAGGATAGAAAACTAATTGAATCTGAAACAAGCAGGAAGAGCTACACCCCTTTCTAACAAGCAGATTTCAAGACAAACTACAAAAGACACAAACGCCAGCACAGATTGGTTAAGGGAATGATTCACCAAGAAGAACAATTGCAAATATAGACGCACTGAACACTGGTGCATTTAGTTTCATAAACACAACTGACATGGGCACACAAGCCCCAGTACAGTAATAGTTGCTGATTCCATTCTCACCAATAGTAAATCACTCAGACCAAAATAACAAAGAAATATTAGAATTAAACTATACCACAGAATAAACGAAATTGATAGATGCCTATATAACATGTCATGCAACAACCCCTCTGGTCAGCCTCCGCTGAGCATCAGCCCATGTTTCTATACTTCCATATAAAGTCTACATCCATTCATCGTGCTCTACCATCTTACATTTTATCTAGCCGTATTGTAACTACACAAAACATGCCGTTCCTTTTCTTTCTGCTGAACTATAAAAAGCAACCTGATATTTTTACTGGTTTCGTCCATCTGAGATGTTCAGACAGCATCATAAATTCAGCTTCCCATATCTCAGAGTCGGATATAACCTCATGTGGGTGGCAGTTTCCCCTGCAAACTGGCATATTTCTACACAGTAACTTGACTGTAGCACGGGAACATTTTCTCTCCTCATTCACCACCCAGACATCTGCAGCCTTGCATCTGTATTATTTGCATCAGGTTCCAATATGTCCATTAAGTTCTAATCATGAATGGTGTTGGCTAAACTGTACATCTGTATGTAGTATAAAAGACTGAAACTATATCCCTATCTTTCAATTCCAAATAGATCAAGAACTGAAACTTTGAATCTTCTAGAAGAAAACACAGGGGAAATACTGGAACCCATAAGCACAGGGAGACAATTCCTAAATATGACTCAAATTGCACAGGAAATAAGAGCAAATTCAACAAATGAGAGACTCTGTCAAGAGTTTCTGCACAACAACAGAAATAACTACCAAAGTAAAGAGACAGTCTACCAAATGGAAAAAAAATCTGCTGGCTAATCTCTGAGAAGGAATTACTGTAATATCTAGAATATGTCTTTAAAATCCTAAAAACTTAATGCCAAAATGTCAAATAGCTCAATTGGTAAATGTACAGATGAACTGAACAAATACTTCTGAAAAGAAGTATAAATCATTAGTGAGTACATGAAAAACATTCAGTATCACTAGCCATTAGATAAATAAAAACCAAAACTACATCAAGATTATATCTCACTCCATCAGAACAGCTATCATACAAAACCCACTAAATATTAGTAAGGGTGCAGGGTAAAACAAACACATTTACTCTTTTAGTGAGAATATAACTTGATACAGTTATATATAAATCCTATATAAATCAGTATGGGGGTTCCTCAAAAAACTAAAAGTAGAATGATATGACCCAGCTACTCCACTCCTTGGTATGCATCCAAAAGAATTACAATGGGCATAGTAGAGGGATACCTGAATAGCTGTGTTTATTGCAGCTTAATTCACAATAGCCAATGTATGAAATCAACTTAAATGCCCATCAACAAATGAATGCATAAAGAAATTGTGATATCTATCTATCTGTCATCTATCTAATGGAATGTTATTCAGCCACAAAAAGAAAAAATTATACCATTATGAGGAAACTGGATCATCGTGTTAAGTGAAATAAGCCAGACTCAGAAAAACATCTAAAAAAGATGACATAAAATTAGAGACTACTATTAGAAAAGAAGAAGAAATAAGGAGAAAACAAAGAGGATAATAGAAAGCTGGTTAAAAAGCTATGAATTATAACAGTAAAATTATTAATTATAACAGTAAGGATTATTATGGTGACATGAATTTACCGAGGTTAAAAGAAAAGATGTCCAATACCTTCTGTTAAATGAAATAGCATGTTACAAAACAGTACATATACTATCACCAATTTTTTATTTTCAAAAATGTATTAATGTATAGTGAGATCAAGAAATTGTCTCGAATAAAGTTCACTTCACTATCTCTGGGAGTGAGCTGCCAAGCACATTTTTCTTTTCGTTTCAGACTATTTTTTGACTTGTGCTAGTACAGAAGGTTTCTAAGCAGAAAAATTAAGAACAACTGTATGTACTGAGGTGATGAATGTGTTAATGTAGCTTGACTGCAGTAACTGTTTTGCAGTGTGTATGTATCTCAAAACAAGATGCTAAATACAAGGTAAGGTTGTTGATCACCTTGAACACATATGACTTTGTTTGTCAATTATGGACAATAAAAGAGTGAAAAAAATTAAAGAAGCAAAATACAGAGAGAAAGGAAAGGGAACTTACCTGTTCTGGGCTCATGTAACTCTTAGTTCCAGTACCCTCTGTTCGCTTTTCATCTGTTTTCAGGGATGTGGCAAGTCCAAAGTCGCCAATCTTTATTTGTTTTTCATCTACTAAGAATATGTTACCTGGCTGTGGGGGAAAACAATAATTTACGTGTATGAATCTGGCAGACTATTACCACATCATCTTAGCAAGGGTTTTTCTATTTAGTTGTACATTTACCCTGTTACAGGTAGCTCAAATCAGTTGAATAGTGCAGGTCTTTAAAATGCCCTGGGGGAAGGAAGGGCTTTAAAGTTGACAGCAGAGGTGTTTTCGGGCACAGCTGCCTCCAAGAATCTGAACAGCTGTTAGGTGAAAACAGGTTCACTCTGTAGGGTCCCTGGGGATAGATTCAGGTCTACACGGTGGATGTGACCAAAAGATTTGCTTTACTATAGATCCTAATATACCAGGCATGCAGTCCAAAGAATAAGACTTAGAAAGTTCTCCATCCTAGAAGAAGCTAGACATTGACTTGAGGAAATGATGTGAAATATAAATTCAGGGCTTCATGGAGACTGACTCTGCCACCCATCATATGCCTTCTAACTTTGAGATTCTCTGAATGGGTTCATTCCTCGCAATAGTGCAGAACGTCCTGTGCAGAAACAGTCCAGGAGCCTTCCTTTATGTCACTTTCTCTAGGCCTTTGGTAACTTCTTCATAAACATACCTCACCCACTTTGAAAGCACACTAAATTAAAGGGAAACTGATAACTTACACAAAATATTTTTTCATGCAAATGGTAAGAAGGAAAAGAAAAAAGTGAACAAATGGTGATCATTACTACTGTACAACTATGTAGATCTAAAAACCACGATAGGGTTGGGATTGTAGCTCAGCAGTGGAGCATTTGCCTATCATGCTCCATGCTCAGCACTGACCCCACCCACTCACAAAGGGAAAAAAGAAACATCAAAAGAAAAGAAACAAAACAGGAAAGTCATTGAGGAGGAAATTAGTATTTTGCCACTCTTGCAAAGGCTAGACTTCCAACATGGTCTCTACACACACAAACCCTGAGGGATAACACTTACAACACAGTTTGGTAAAGGAACAGAGGAGGAGGAAGCCCAAAGCCCAGAATAACCTGAAGGAAGCTTCTGAGAGTGCAGTCGAGAAGCCAGTGCAGAAACTAGGAATAAGATTAGAACTTAAGGAACATATTGGAACCTGATGTTAGTAACAGAGATGCAAGACTGCAGATGTGTGTGTGGAATGAGGAGAGAAAATGTTCCCGTGCTAGTCAAGTTACAGTGTAGAAATACGCCAGTTTGCAGGGGAAACTGCCACCCACACAAGGTTATACCTGACTCTGAGATACGGGAAGCTAAATTTATGATGCTGTCTGAGTATGTCAGATGGACGAAACCAGTAAAAAAGATTGCTTTTTACAGTTCATCAGAAAGAAAAGAATTGGCATGTTTTATTTAGTGACAATACGGCACGATGAAAGGATGTGGACTTTAGATAGGGCACAGAAACATGGGCTGATGCTCAGCTGAGGCTGACCAGAGGGGTTGGTCTAGTAGGAGACACCTTCTACCAATAAGTGGCATCAGATAGTGAACCCTCACTCCACAAGTCCCTATGACTCATTGGAGGCTTTGGTCCAGTTTTTAAGACCCTAATAGAAAGCAGTAAACACCTGGAGACTTTATAAATAGAGGCTGTAATGTGTAAAGACTATTCACTGGCAAAAGCACCTACAAGCTGCAGTTTTCAAAGCGTACCCCAAAAGGTGGACAGCCTCGTTAGCATCTTCTCTCAGATGAGAGGAAGCAGCGCTGTAATAGATAAAGCTTGAAAAAGTGGTAGATGAAAGACTCAGTATTAAAGTCTGACCTCAGAGTAACTGCAGCCAGAGCAAAATTTCAGACACAGGAAAACATCACAATGTTCTACCTTGCAAGAACATTTTCATATATTGTCAAAGAGAACTATTAGAACCAGAAGGACTCAAACATCAAGGCATTAAGACATCCATCCTCAAGGAAGCAGTATTCTTTAAGCACTACTTAGTTAAAGGGCAGATCCATAGTGGTCTGGAAAGACTAAATACAGGAAATAGGGACCAGAGTACAAAGGTAGAGAGTGTCTGTGAGAGGACATGTGCAAAGGTCCAAGGGCAGGAGTCAGCAGGGCTGGCTTGTGATGAGGAAGACAACTCACAGCAGAATACAGAGCAGACTGCGAATACCTATTCTGTGTCTCCTCTTTGGTTTTGCCCACAAGGCCAACTGTATATCTAGACTATGAAAATACTAAGTGTGATATATGTTCCAAATTTTCAATTATTGCAGTTTTCCAATTACAGGGCTAACAGCCTCAATCAAAAAAGTCCTAGACTCTGGACCCAGTAGCTGTGATCACCTCAGGATAATTAAATTAGGGAGCCATGTTCTCAAAGCCACAGAAGAACACGCCTAGGCATCAAGGAGGTGGAAGGACGGAGCAGCCAGTTGACTGTGCCAGCAACAATAATCACTTGCAAAGAAACGCTTCCTGTGTATAAGAGTGTTAGTTTTTACAAACAGGGTGTGGCTGCTGAACAGAAGTAGAAATGAAACGAGCCTTCTGGTAGGGCTCATCATCATAAAAAGTTTATTAACCCCAGAGGACTTCTGAGTAGTGGGATGGGAAAGAAGTTGGGCCAAGTCCTAGGCCTATTCTGATCTCAGAGGATCAAAGACACTATTTTGCCATGACGACAGATAAATCACAATTCTAAAACTAGAAAAGATCGACTTTTAAATTACTAAATTTAAAAATATTTTAAATTATTAGATTATATTTATCAACTAATAAAGAAAAATTTCCACTTACCTTAAGGTCTCTGTGAATTATGTTTTTTGAGTGTACATAACACACTCCTGTTGTTATTTGCTCAAACAATTCCAAACCCAAAGCTTTGTCTGAGTAGTTGCCCCTCCTCTGCTCAATCCATTGCTCCAGGGTCCCTTTATCGCAGAATTCCATTGAGATGAAAAGGTACTCCTGTCTGAATAAAAATTCCACAGTATGTTAAAAGTAACAATAAAAATGAATTTATTTTTTAAATATATAAATAAAGAGCAAAGTAGAGATAATTAGGAAATATGGAGCAGTTAAAACACTTCCCAAATTACATATTTCATTGTTTCAAAACTATTTTAATATATATGCTAATTAGTTTCATTCATACTACTAGTTTATCTTAGTTCACTGAAAAAAAGCTTTGTGTTATCCATTTGTTTCTTTTTTGTAAGAATCTTTAGGTTTATGTACTTGTACTCTGAGTAACTACATTGAAGAAAATGATACACAGTACATTAAATACTATTACCTTATTTTGTCATGAAATTTTTTCATAAAATAAAAAAGTAAAACAAAAATTTAAAAGTACACCTTGTCATCCTGTGAATCCAAAACGTATCTCAAAATAAACCCAAGTGTAATAAATTTGAATCAGCATATAATAAACCACTTTTTATTTAAATCAAATTCTTAAGAGTCCAAAGTTTTATGCATTTAACTAATTTATAAAGTATAGGCCTGTTCTTCATTATTTATTTATTCTTTTTGTGATACTGGACAGTTAACTCAGGGCCTGCTCACTGAGTTACCTACCCAAGCTTTCCCTCACTACCACTCTCCTTCCTTTCCTTTCTCTTCCATTCCCCTTCTCTCCCAAGTCACCCAGGCTGGGCTTGAAATTGCAATCCTCCTGCCTCAGCCTCCAGTCTGCAATCCCAGACTGGGATTACAATCATGTGCCACTTCATTTAGTTTCTGTCCATTCCTTAATGCTTAAGATCCTTGATCATAACAGGTGAGAGTAGAAATATTAATTACAGAAAACATAATTTCATTATCATATAAAGTAATTTTGAAAGATTAATTCACCAATCAATGAATGTCTGTTTTGTGAGAGGCACAGAACAGACACTTAGATATGAGAAAATGAGGTAGGCATTCTCCTTGACACTGGGATGATTATAGTTTAATACAAGTAGTAGAGGAAAAACAGATCTAAAATGATAGGGAGGACAGAAACTCTAAGAGAAGTGCCAACAAATTGCCTGCTATGAGAACAGTTTTTTTAATCTTAGAAAGAAAAAAGTCAGAAAAGAAAAAATGCAAAAGAGATAAACAACAAACCCAAAACAACAATAATAAAGGTTTTCAAAACAGAATAAAAGAAATTTAACAATGGTTGTTATATTGCATAGTTTTTTTTTCTCAAAGAAAGAAAAGAAAATTTAAAAAAATAGAAAAACAGAAAAAATGGTAGAATACCGAATTCAAAAAAATTAACATCATAAAATTGCTAGTTGATACATTACCCATTGTCGTCTTAAAAATAGTTGCCAAAGTCACAAAATCAAAGCATAAAAAGTGGCTAGGCACTCAAACATTTAGAGGGTAAATCCTTCTGTTCAATGAGCCAACAGAAATTCAGTTATATGGTCATCTATCTTACACATTACACAAACCGTTACATGCTTTAGAGCACTTTCCTTCCCTTTCACTGTTACAGTATCTATTATACTTTTTGGATCCCATTATTGTGTCAGTGTTTATTATTTTTTACACTAAAGAGACAATGTGATTTTACTAATGTGAGTCTTGTTTATTTCACTGACGAGGATATTCTCAAGTTGCCTCCATTTACCTATAAAGGCCTCAAGATCATCATTATAGCAGAACAGTATTTCCATTGTATAGAAGCACATTTTTTTCAATCCGCTCTGAGGTTGATGGGCATTTTGGTTGTCTCCAAGATTTAGCTATCACAAATTGTGCTGCTACAAACATGGGTGCACACATATCACTGTGACATGACCTTTTCAATTTTTCTGGGAAAATACTCAGGAGGGAACTACTTGGATTGAATGGAACCTCCAATCCTACTCTTTTGAGGAATCTCCACTCTGATTTCCCCAGTGGTTGCACCAGTCTGCACTCCCACCAACAGTGGAACAGTGTTCCTTTTTTCCCTGCATCCTCACCAACATATGTTATCAGTTGTTTTCTTGATGACAGCCATTCTTTCCAGAGTGAGATGAAGTATCATTGCTGTTTTAATTTGCATTTCTCAAATGACCAGTGATGGTGTATTTATTTGCCATTCATATATCTTCATCTGAGAACTGTATGTTCATCTTGGATGCTCATTTTTGGAAAGGGTCTTTGAATTTGGGGGTGCTTGGTGTTTTTCAACTCTTTTTATGTTCTGGATATAAGTCCTTTGTCTGAGGGATTGTTGGCTAAAATTCTTTCCCATTCTGTGGGTTTTCTTTTCACTCTGTTGGTGATTTCTTTTGAAGTGTAGAAACTTTTTAGTAACATGAGATCCCAGTTGTTGATTCTTTGAAGTATTTCCTGAGTGGTTTGCTTTTATTCATGAATTCTCTGCCTATTCCCATGACTCCAAGATGTCTACCTACCTTGGCCTCCAGTAGATTCAGTGTTTCTATTTTAATGTTTAGATTCTTGATCCATTTTGACGTTAGTTTAGTGTATGGTGATAGGCATGGGTCTATTTTCAGTCTTTGGCATGTGGAGAGCCAATTTTTCCAACACCATTTATTAAAGAAATAATATCTTTTTTTACCAGTGAACGTGTTTGGCCCCTTTGTCAAATGCAAGATGGCTGAGTGTCTTTGCAGTATTGTTTGTATCTACTAATCTGTTCCATTAATCCTCAGGTCTATTTCTTTGCCAGTACCATGCTGATTTTATTACTGTGGCTTTGTAGTATAGTTTCAAGCCAGGACCTGAGACACCTCCTGTCTTGCCTTTGTTGCCCAGAACCGCTTTTGCTATTCTAGGTTTCTTCTGTTTCCAAATGAATTTTAGGAATATTTTCTCTAGATCTGTAAGGTATATTAATGGTATTTTGATTGGGATTGCATTGCATCTGTATAACAGTTTTGGGAATATGGCCATTTTCACAGTGTTGGTTCTTCCTAACCAAGAGCAAGGAATATCCTTCTGTTTTCTAATATCCTCTTCAATCTCCTTTTTTAGAGTACTATAATTTTCAGCATACAGGTCTTTTACATTCTTGGTTAGATTGATTCCTAAGTATCTGATTTTTTTAGATGTTATTGTGAAAGGTGATATTTCCATAATTTCTCTCTCAGCGAGTTTTTTGTTTGTGTACAGGAATGCTATTGATTTTTGAGTGCTGATTTTGTATCCAGCTACACTGCTGAATTTGTTTATTACCTCTAGTAGTACTTTAATGGAGTTCTGGGGGTCTTCTATATAGAGTATCATGTCATCTGAAAATAATGATAATTTAACTTCTTCTTTTCCAATTTTTTTCCTTTATTTCTCCCTCTTGTCTGATTGCTTTGGCTAGTATTTCTAGAACTAAATTGAATAGGAGTGGTGTTAGTGGAGCTATGCACTATGCTAAAGGAAAGGTAATGCAAGCCATGTTTTATATTCTTACTAAGCTGGCCTCAATATTGTTTTTCCTCTGAACCTACAGGGTTAGAAGATAGAGAAAAGTAGCTAAGAATTTGCTTAAAAATGAAGAAGTCTTTTATGCTTGCAGTCAATAACTCTTGAACTGAATTATAAAGTTCTCAAGCACATGAGGTGGACGTGGGGCTGGACACCGGAGATGATGAGTAAAGAGATCTCCAAGGCTTTAAGATTTCAGTTAAAAAACTGTCCTCAAGAAACGATTGGTGACTTTCTAAGGCAGATGCCAGCTGTTTACAACTTCCTGTCCTGTGGCAGTGATTTAACTGAAAGAAAAAAATGAATACTACAAGCAGGGGCTGTCCCCATTGCTGTTCATGACCTTAAAATTAGTTTCATTATCTACCACTCCCCCACGAGGGGTGTAGTTGCACCTTAAAGCCACTCTTTGAGTGCATCACATCAATGAGGGGTTTCCGAGAAGGACATAAAGTGCTGGCAGTCAAGAAGGGAGGCTTTGGGTACCAAAGCTTGTAAGGAAGCCAGGACACCTGAGCAAAAATGTATGCCAAATAATGGAGTCAGAAAGCTAAACTGAGATTTGAAAACACCAAAAGACAAAAAAAAAGGCACTTAAAAGTTAAATTTGGGCCGGGTGTGGTCAGTGCATGCTTACAATCCCAGCACTTGGGAGGCTGAGGCAAGAGGATCGCAGTGAGTATGCAGCAAGCCTGCACTATGCAATTAAGTTTGAGGCCAGCCTGTATTATAAAGCGAAACTCTGTCTCAAAAAACAAACAAACTTAAGTTCAGAATAGGCAGAGGAATAAGGGAAAGATTTTTCAGCCTTCTTACCAGAATAAAAGAATGAAAGAAAACAGTGCCTCTCAGAGGTGGCTGGGATTATTAAATGTGATGATGTAGTAAATGACAGTTTCCTTACATCGTATTACAGCTACGCGAATCTCTTTTACCTACCCATCAAGAAGTTGTTCTTTCCAACAATAACGATACTGAACAATATTGGGATGATTAAGAGTCGCCAACGCTTGTGCTTCACGCAATACTTTACTGTTTAAAAGAAAGAGAAACAGGTATGTCAGTATATATCCCCAGAAACTACAAAACCCTTAAGTAACAGGAGACTGTCCATATCCCCTGTGCGGTACCCACACCAGGGCTTAGAATGGGAGCCAGAACTCAAGGAAAAAGTGTACACAGAGTTGTTTTCTTTCTCAAGATAAAAGAAAAATTTAATTCCAAACATCAGACAATTTAAAAACATTTGTAATAGTCTTTGAAATGCCACTGATGCAGTTTTTGTTTGTTTGTTTTTGTTTTTTGTTTTTTGAGACAGGGTCTTTCCATATCATTCAGACAGTCTTCAACTCATTATGTAGCTCAGGCTACCCTCAGACTCCCAATGATCCTCCAGCCTCAGCCTCCCTAGTGCTGGGAGTACAGGCATGCACCACCACGCCCAGCTACTGATGTGGTTTTTAATTAAGAGCAAAATTATTTTAGGCAATGTGTTAAAATCTATGTAATTTCATAAGGAAAGCCCATTTGGGCAGCAAGGATAAGTAAGCCAGGCACCATACAGAAACCAGATTCAGCGTTTTCAATGTAGGACAAAAAAATACAATAAAGAGTAATTTATGCAAAGAAACTGAGACCTAAGTGTACTACAGAGCTTTATAGGGATGTGTTATCAAGAGCAAAGACAATCTCAGACTAAACAGAGTAAATAAATTTGAGATTTCAAAGATAAAGAAGGATAAGCACACATTTTACAATTTATCTTTTACTGACCACTTGTATGACACATAATTCGTAAAACTAAAGGAAAAATTACTGATGCATCAATAACCCTTAACAATCAACCTTTTAGTATTAATTTTTATAATCTCTTTATATATATTCTCATGTTTCTAATAGAGTATACAATTTCTATCCTTTTACATACTATCTCTATAGTTTTTCTGTTGTAATACAATATGGATAAACATCATTTATAAAGTATTTCATGCAAGATTTCAAAGATACAAAAAAATATAGTAAACAATACAATGAACCCCAGCCCTGCCATCACTGAGATGAACATTCTTCAGTTCCTGGTGGATCTTGTTTCTCCTGCATGTACTCTTGTAAACTCCTTCCTCATCTTCCCCTGCACTGTTTTAAAGCAACTTCCAGCATCAAATCATGTGTAAATACTGCAGTCAATACTCCTCATTTACCATGGTTACAAAATAAGCCATTGATTAGGGGATTAAATCATTTACTTATTGCTGGGTATTGCCTTGCTTCTGATTTTTCACCATTATAAATGATACTGTGTTTGCTATTTTCTTATAGTACAACCAAAACTATAGCAAGTTCTAAACAGGAAAATCTTGGTTGGAAGCATATAAACATTTTTATGGCTCTTTATGTATATTTCCAAGTGTGTTTTTAATATCTTGGTAACAATGCAAAAGTCATCTGAAATGCTCAAGATGCTGCGTCCTTATCAAAATCATTACCATTTTTGAAAACTACAGAAGGAAAAATCGCCCTTCATTCTTGGTAAATTTAAGGTAAAAGCCTCGTTTTGAGACTGAGTAGGCAGGAGGTACATCCATAGGAAAGGAAGTATAATACTGTCCACAGGGGAGGAAGCAGGTAATAATTGCAAGCAACCGCAAGACTGGTGAGCAACTGATTCACAGTCTCCTTCCTGTGTTTTCTCTCCTGAAGGAGTTCTGCTATCCAGCCGGAAGGGGAAGCAGATTAGCACAAAACAAATACAAGTGAGGGGTGTTGGTAACACATTCCAGAGATGAGCTCTAAACTTCTACCTTCTTGCATAGAAGACACGTCCAAAGACTTCCCAGACACACACACTGCTGAACTGAAGAGCCTATCTGGCCTCCCCACAGATCTGAGCTGTTGTTAGTGACTTTTTTTTTTTGGTACTAGGAATCAAACTCACAACCAAGTGCTTGCAAGGCAGGCATTTATGCCGCTGAGCTAAATTCCCGGCCCTAGTGACTTTTATTTAACCAATATGATGTGGTAAAAGTAATATTCTGAAAGTCCTAAGTCATGTCAAAAGAAGCATTGCTACTTCCTCCTGGTCTCTTGAATAACTCCTTCTGAGGATAACCCTTTTTGAAACCAGCCTCAAAATTGGGAGAGGCTGAGTAGGTTAAAACGCCACGTGGAAGGTGTCTGGTTGACAGTTCCAGCTGGGCCCATAAACCAGCATCACCCTCTGGCCATTCTGGCTATCCAGCTGCATCAAACTTACAGATGGCTCCATACTGCAAGTGCCAGGGAACCCCATGAAAGAACTGTCCAAAGGAACACACTGGGCACCATAAGAGGAAACAGTAAATTATGTTTTTAAGCTACTGTACTTTGGAGCGGCGTATCAGGCAACAACATACCATCAGAACAATTACCAACTAGCCTATACCATCCATAAACTAGTTAACGTCTTTGGATCTCAGTTTCTTCATCTACAAAACCTCGAAGGTCATCTTAAAGCAGGTGATTCTATACCTTCATTTATCAAGACTGCTTCAGAAAGATGGTCAGTGTTGTGTCTGTGTTGTGTTTTATTTTTGTCCTACTGAAATGACCATGCTCAAGTGAAATCTTTTCAAAATAACCCAAGATCGTCTAGGTAGAGCAAATGTTTAAGGAGGACTGAAAGAAGTAAGTGATGTACTAACGAAGAAGAAAGAAATACAACGAGTAGTGCAAATTTAACACAACCTTTCACTTTAAAAAAAAAAACTTGAACTACTTACCTATCGGTGTATTCAACACGTTTAATAACAGAAATGGTTTTATCTAATTTGTGTTTTGCTTTGAAAACTACTCCATATCCACCTTCACCAATTGGTACTATGTCTTCATAGTCTTTGGCAATCCTGAAAGATAAATACCATTGTTATTCTGAGGTTCAGAATTCGTCCCCTTCCCCACCCAAACATCCTTATGTGAAATGCATTGCTAACACCATTTTCTCTAACATTAAAGGTTCACTTGATGCACAAAGAATGGGCCCTTCTCCTTTTCTTTTTTTTTGGGGGGTCTTTTTTGTTTTTATCGGCACCAGGGATCGAACTCACGACTGCCTGCTTGCAAGGCAGGCGCTTTTGCCGCTGAGCTAAACCTCCAGCCCCTCCCTTCTCCTTTTCTTCCCTCTGCCATGTAGAGTCCAATATAACAGATCACCCGAGGGATCACAGTTGACTCTTGGCTGTGGAAAAGCCAGGACAAGGAATACTTTCCTCAATATGAAACTTTAGAAAGAGTTGCTCTATCGTGTTCTATAGCTACTATCTCGCTGTCATAAGAACTTTTACGGAATGTATGTTCCAAGCCTGCTTTTGTCTTTCTCTTCCTCTTCCTCTACCCCCAGTTTCATCATTAAGCTTCACCAAATCTTCCAAAACACATCACTGGCACCTGCCCCCTGGTCTCCACCATCTTCACCCGGTCCATGGTCCCCGCAAGTTATTTCAGTAGCTTACCTGGACACCCCACTTCCTCCCGTGAACCCACTCCAAACCTGACCATGCAACCAGGGCGATCATGTCTCTCTCCTGCCTAATCCTCTCGTAGCCTACTTTGCATTCAGCAAAAACCAGAAAGGCCATGCAGGACACACAAGGGCCACACGACATCCCGCCACTTCCCTGCCCAGCGCCATCCTATGGCACTGTGGCCATGTTCACCGCAGTCTGAGCAAAGCACCTTGCTTCCTCAAGCACGTGTTACTCTCCCCCTCTCACCTGCTCTTCCTTTCACCCCCTTCTCTGTTCTAACACATCCTTACAGTATTAGACTACACATAGACTTAAATATGACCTCAGAGAAGCCTTGCCTCACCCCCACGCTAAATCCAGGGGTCGTTTCTATTATTCACCATTCTATTGCCTTTCCTCTAGAGAGATGGCCATGTTTTGTAATTACAGACTTTTAATGTTATGATTTATTTAACATCAGTCATCCCCTCAAAATCCCATGAAAGGAGAAACTAGTTCTCTTTGTTCTGATGCTCAGCACAGTGCCAGATATATATTAGACAATTAATAAATATTTATTAGTTTACTTTTTAAACTTATATTCAATGCTCTGCTATGTCAAACAAGTTTCTTCATTTTATATTTAATTTAAACACAAATGTATCATCTACCCCAGAGAGATTCTTTTTTCAAGTGAATTCTGGCATGGGAACTGGAAAAAAGAAAACAAACCCAAGTATACCTAGTCTGCTTCCTAAGAACTTTTTTGGTAGAAACAAAAAAATCACTATAAGAAATATGAAATTTTCTCAACATGAAAATTTCCATGGATGTCAGAGAAGCTCAGTCAGCATCAGGGAGGTCTGCATTTGCCACATACCGTCTGGACCCATCTAAACCTCACTGCTCCAAGAGGCAATGGCTGCTTGTGGGGCCAACTGGACTACAACTATTCACTGTTTGGGTGGAAATATAATTTAATTTTCACCTGGCCCTAAAGAAGCTGTTTTTGAATGAGCAAGCCTATCTTTAAGAAAAGTTGATCCCGCAGTTATCTCTTACCTTCCATTCACAGAATTCTCATTGTCTTCTATATCAGCATTGGCAAATTTTGCTGCCAAATTTCTAAAAGACAAGAATGTAAAACTCAAGTAAAACCAAAATCAAAAATAACTTGTTCTGAGAAGGTTCTATGCCTTGCGCTGGGCTTTTCATACTCTACATCAACTATGTGAATAACAGGGTTGCCGCTATATAAAGTTCTTCTCTATAAAGTTAATTTCCTTATGGCTTTCCTATATCTGCTAATAATTTTATACCCCTTTCCTGGTTCTTTTTCACCTTCATGCAACCACTGCTGGCGTGTCCCTAGCCTCTCCTGTGCTGTGGAATTGCACCTCCTGGCTCGGTTCCTCTGCCTGCCATTCCTCACAGGAGGTGAGTCACCTGTAACTGCAAATTCGAACAACACTTTAAACATATCTGTATTGCTGTCTTCCCTGTGAGTCCTTAATCTTCTACTTCCTTAATATCATCAATATTTTATTTTATTTATTTATTTTTGTATTTTTTGTATTTTTACCGGTACCAGAGATTGAACTCACGACTGCCTGCTTGCAAGGCAGGCACTCATGCCGATAAGCTAAATCCCCAGCCCTATCATCAATATTTTAATTCTTCTCTGTATCCCATCCAGTGTAAAGCAGTCTTCAGATCCTTGTTCTCCTTTCTCTCTCTGTCTGCCTACTGTACTCTATCCCCTGGGTCACTCTCCCTTTACAGTCTTTCTCACAAATTTTCCTCACTGCCCCGATAACCATGGCTGTGGGCCTGATCATCTCACACATCGACCTCTTTCTTCACCATCCAACATGTGCACCAGAAGTCCTCTGTCTTCAATACATGCACCTACTGTGCAGGATAAACTGGGGACTCACTCGGACTCCTGTGGTCATGTCACTCTCACTCCTGACTGTCTTTACATCCTTGCTTTTCCCTTCAGTTAAAGGAACCAACTCATCATAATTTACACAGTATTTGGTCTTTTTAAAAGTCATATTATTATACTCTCTTTACTTGTTCATAAAATAATGCACTTCTCTTGAAAACACCTCTTTGAGAGCAGTTATCATCAGCCTTATCCACAATAATGTCCTTCACTAATTGATCTAATAACATAATCAGAAGGCTTTGTGTTTCAGTATAGCATGTGCATATACTAAAATTAAATGTTCATGGATATCAAGCTTTCTACCTTTTCTGAAACTCGGCTCACATACACATATAAAGCACAAATACTGAAGATGTAAAGATAACAAAGTCTTACATAATATTTCAGTCCAAAACATTCGATCAATAGTGATACTCACATTTTCACTTTCCTTAGCTTGCTGGCAAAACCATTCTACAACAAAAGAAATTGAAAAAAGCTCTCAGATGATGAAATCAATGGTCTTGTTTCTTTAGCCAACTCTGGTCTTATCTGTTAGTCTGTAAGAGTAACCGCTTTATACTTGTTTCTAATCTCAATAAAGCCACGTACCAACACTTAGTACTGTGAAACTTCAAGGATTCCACTCCTGTGGGCTTGAAGCGGTATCTATGTGTTGTTTGCATTTGTGTTTTCCTGATTCTTAGTGAAATAAAGCATCTGTTCATGTTTGTTGCTCAGGTGGGTTTCTCATTTCCAAATTGCCTATTTGTCTATATTTTCTACGGAGTTGCTTATCTTTTTCTTATTAATTTGTAGCTCTTTATAAAGAGAATATTTTATAAGAAATTGCCTGGTTTTTAGGTTTAGTTTGGATTATGGTTTTATTTACTTATTTATTTATTTATTTTGGTACCGGAGATCAAACTCACGACCTTGCATTTGCCAAGCAGTCTAAACCCCCGACCCTTGTTTGGATTATGTTTACTTCTGATTTTAAAGAACAGAAGCAGAGGGCTAGGGATTTAGCTCAGTGGCATAAGCACCTGCCTGGCAAGCGTGTGGTCATGAGTTTGAAAGCCGGTAACAACAACAACAAAAAGAACAGAAGTAAAATAAATTTTTAAATATTGTTCAGTTGTGGAAAAGAGACCTAGAATAGCAAAGGCAATTCTGAGCAACAAATGCAAGGCAGGAGGCATCTCAATTCCTGACTTGAAACTATACTACAAAGCCACAGTGATAAAATCAGCATGGTACTGGCAAAGAAATAGACCTGAGGATCAATGAAGACACTCAACCACCTGATTTTTTTTTTCCTCTTTTTATCGGTACCAGGGATGGAAGTCACAACCGCCTGCTTACAAGGCAGGTGCTTATGCCGCTGAGCTAAAACCCCAGCCCCAACCACCTGATATTTGATAAACATGCTAAACATGCTCACTAGAAGAGGATAGCCTTTTTAATAAATAGTGTTGGAAAAACTGGCTTTTCACATGCCAAAGACTGAAACTAGACCCATGCCTATCACCATGCACAAAACTAAAGTCTAAATGGATCAAAGATCTAAATATTAAAATAGAAACACTAAATCGACTGGAAGACCAGGTAGGCAGAAGTCCTGGAGATGTAGGGATAGGCAGAGAATTCATGAACACAATGCAAACTGCACTGGAAACACTTCAACGAATCAACAACTGGGATCTCGTATTACTGAAAAGTTTCTGCACTTCAAAAGAAATCACCAACCTAGTGTAAAGAAAACCCACAGAACGGGAAAGAATTTTAGCCAGCAATCCCTTAGACAAAGAATTTATATCCAGAACATATTGAATTTAAAAATATCAAACCCCCCAAATTCGAAGACCCTCTCCAAGAATGGGCATTGGAGATGAACACAGTTCTCAGATGAATATATACAAATGGTAAATAAATACATGAAGAAATGTTCACCATCACTGGTCATTTGAGAAATGCAAATTAAAACAGCATTGAGATTTCATCTCACTCCGGAAAGAATGACTCCCATCAAGAAATCAATTGATAACAAACATTGGCGAGGATGTGGGGAAAAAGGAACACTGCTCCACTGTTGGTGGGAGTGTAGACTGGTGCAGCCACCATGGAAATCAGTATTGAGATTTCTCAGAAGACTAGGATTGGAAGTTCCATTCAATCCAGCTATTCCCTTCCTGGGTATTTTCCCAGAAAAACTGAAAAGATCATGTCACAGTGATATATGTGTACCTATGTTCATAGCAGCCAATTTCTAATAGCTAAATCTTGGAAACAACCAAAATGTCCATCAACCGCAGAGTGGATGAAAAAGATGTGGTATTTTTATACAATGGAATATCACCCAGCTATAAAAAAGGATGATCTTGAGGTCTTCACATTGAAATGGAGGCAACTTGAGATTATCCTCATAAGTGAGATAAAAGAGAATCATATTTATAAGTATCACATTGTGTGTCTAGTGTAAAAAGTAATAAGAACTGTAGGAGTAATGAAATTCAAAATGTGAAATTGATATTGGAAAGGAGAGGAAAGAAAATGCTCTAAAGGATACAACTGCATGTATGTTTAAGTGTGTAAGACTGATGACCCTATTACTAAGCTTTTTTTGGATCGTTGAGCAGAACTGTTTGCAGTCTCACTGTTTGAATGTACACGTTGTATCTTTTAATTTTGTAACTTGAACAACTATTTCTAAGATGACAGTATGTAATTTATCAACTAGTGATTTCTTAATTTTTTTTTAATTCTGTATTGTTGCTATCTTTTTTTCTCTTTAAATTTTAAAAACATAAACAAAAATATTGTTCAGTTGTGGAAGGGAAAAACAAGATCATAGGAATAATTAAAGACAGAAGGGAAGGGGAGGAAAGAAGTGTGGTAGGTAGAGGTTTGCATGTAAGAAAGGGAGCTTAATGAAGGAAAGGAGGTGCGTCTGAAGGTTGCTAAAACCATTATTGAGAAAGAGCACAAGAGGCAAAAGTATAAGAAATATAGTAGGACACTAGAGATCATTTCTAAATGAGGAAACACAGGAGCACAAGATCAATGAGAAGCTTAGAGACTGCTACTGTACCATGGCAGAACAACTGCTTCCCCTGTGCCAGCTGCACGCATTTGCTGAGCAGTCATTTTCAGATGGTTGTTCAGAGGCTCTGGAAGGAAGGGAAAATTGTGAATTATGAATTATGAATTCTTTTCATCAGTAATTTCCTTCTGTAAATTCTCCTTGAACATTAAATGCTCTGATAAAAATTGCTTTTTAGGACAGCAATTCCTCCTTCTCTTTTCTTCTTCTCCTCTCCCGCTTCCTTCCTCTTCCTTTTTTCCTCCTCCTCCTTCTCCTCCTCCTTCTCCTTATCTTTCTCCTCCTCATTTAGTTTTGGTGCTGGGATCAAACTCAGGACTCCAATAGGCAGGCACTCTACCACTGAGCTAAACCTCAGCCTTCAGGTGGTAATTTTTTTTTTAGGCAGGGTCTCACTATGTAGCCCAGCCTGGCCTTGAAGTCACAGTGATCTCCTGTGTCAGCCTCCTGAGTGCTGGGATTATAGGCATGCACCACCATGCCCGGCTCAGGGAATAATCTAAACATGTTATAATCACAGATCATTTTCCCCAAACTTACAATGCTTTGGAAGAGCTGTTTCCAGAGTCACTGGAGTCAGTAGAAGAATACTCATTAGACATCTGGGGAGTTTTCTGAAAGAAAAAGCTGCCCTCAGCACGTTTTTAAATGTAACTAATCCCTTCTTTATAGTGGGCCCATCTCTATTATATTTATTTTCCCCACACTTGACAAATTTGAAACACTTACAAAATTAGCACATTTTTAGATATTTGATCTGGATTTTACAAACAGCCCTGAGATGTCAAGAAAACTTCCATCCCTCTGGCTCATTGGTGGGACACAACATGGAGGAATCATTTTCTGTACAGCTGGCTATCTTGGCATTATATAAACACAGTTTAACCTCTAATCAACTTCAGAGGGAATTTTGAAATACAAAAAGTAAGCAGCACATACCATCGAGATTTCTTTCGAAATCTTATCAAATGCAAGTTTGGCAGCCAACTGTTTTGCATCCTTTTTAGTTGAAGCTACTCCAAAACCATATACTTTCTGCCCAATTTTGCATTTAAATTGAAATCTAAGAGAAAAGATTGAGTACAGATCAAAACATCAAAAATATAATAAAGCTGAGTTACGATTTGAAATTAATGTTAACATTATTAGCCAGACTTATAATTCACGTCTTCTATAACTTAAACCTGCAATAGAACGGTTGAGTTTATCTGAGTAAACAGGACTGGGCGATATCACAGCTTCCATTTCCCACACAAAGCACTGATTGACTGCTCTGAAACCCCCTAAAGGTCAAGAGATTTACAGATAGAGAATGAATTGAGAGACCAAGTAAATTTTTCAAAGATGCTCAAATGGCGTTTTCATAGGGGGAAGTTTGAAGTTATAGTACCACTGGGTGGAGGGATGAGGAAAAGATGGATTTTGCTTTAACTTTATGCCTAAATGTAGCTGATAGGCACAAAAATCTATGAAAATCCCCCACAGTGCACCCCATCACCCCATCATGAAATTCATACTGTCCGCACACTATATATTTGACATTTGAGGTTTAGGCAAGGGTCTTTGAACATTCATATAAAATTTTACTACTTTTCTTTTTTGAGACAGAGCCTCTCTTTGTAGTTCACTCCAGCCTCAAACTTGCAGCAATCCTACCTCAGCCTCCTGAGTGCTGGGGTTACAGGCATGCACCATCATCCCTGCAAAAACTACTCTTAAGAGATGAAGCAATGCACATCAATTTATGTCATGGAATTTACTACATATTACTACAAAATCATTCCAGAATTTGTACTTTTTTTTTTTACCTTATTTTTCAGTTGTAGGACACACAAAAAAAACATCTTTGCTAGGCTCTGAATTAAAGAGCTGGGTGAGTAACAGGATTGTTTCTATACATCCTCTCTGGTGCCAAATAAACTTCTCTTTTTTCGGTAACTAACACTGAAGTGTTTAATCCAAGGAAATTGAAAAGGTGAATTATGGGGAAATAAAATAGTCTCACTTATTGAGATTGGCCCATGGAGTCCACTTTTGACTATTTCATTCCAATAATACTATCACATTTTTCTCTTCCTGGCTCCATCCTAAAAACTGTTAAGTGTAAAAGGCAAATAGCTGAGTCCCTTTACAGGACAGTATCCTACAGTGATGGTTTAGCTATTGGTCACTTAGAGATTTTTCTTCTTTTCACTGAACTGCTTGGTTGTCGTTTGGATACAGTTTTCCTCAAACACATTTGCTTTCTGATTTCCCAGTTTCAATTCTTTCTTTATCCTACTTCCATAAGTCTTGTTTCACTAATGTTGTTCTTAGAGACTCCCAGGATTAGTGTTGTTCTTAGAAACGCTCCATCATAGCCCTGAAATCTGCTGTCTTCACAGTTCAGGGCTAACATCGTTTCTTCTGTTATTTGGTATTTGATCAAATGCCTGGACTCTCTAGTCAGAAAATGGTTAGGAGTCATTAATCCGCATTTCCGGACAGTTTCCACACAGCTACTGTCATTATGACCACAGGGACAGAAGGCTTGTGTCTCTCAGCAGGGGAACCCTGTGATCATTAGGTACTCAAAAGACTAACCATCCAAACACAGGTTTAGAAGTCTTGGTTGGAGATTTAGCTCAGCGGCATAAGCACCTGCCTTGCAAGCAGGTGGTCATGAGTTCCATCCCCAGTACCGATTTAAAAAAAAAAGAAATATAGCAGTCTCAGGCTGAGGATTTAGCTCAGTGTCTCAAATGCTTCCCTGGTAAGCGTGAGGTCGAGTTTGATCCCAGGTACAAAAAAGAAAGAAAGTACAGTAAGCTGTAATGAAAACTCTTGCTGTCCAATGAAGTGACTCAGCTATTTACTTTTTACCCTGATGTCTTTTAGGTCACAACTAGGAGAGAAAAATGTAACAGTATTATTGGAATGAAATGGTTAATCTCAATAATTAGGTCTATTTTATTTTTGTGGAGTTCATCTTTTTGGTTCCTCTCAGTTAAGCATGTCATCATTAGATACTTAAAAGAAAGTCATCTATGTGGGTTACCAGGATGAAACAAGAGCTATAGAAACATTTTTTCTTCTTGCTAATCATGGGTAACTGGAATTGTAGAAAACAAAACTCTGCATAAGGGAAGGCTATTGTAAAGAATTTACCTGAATTTGAGCAATCATGGCGTGGACTTCACGGCACTAGCAATTAAATATTTTTAATTAAAACATGTCCAGAGATGGACATGGTGACACATAAGTGCAGTTCCAGCTACTCAGGAAACTGAGGAGGGGAGATCTGTCGTGTCCATGAGTTAAAGATCAGCCTGAATAACATGGTAAGACTTAACTCTCAAAAATAACTTCTAAGTCACATAAAACTTTCCATGTAGATCACATAAAAAGAAAACTATCTCTGAAAACTAGATATGAAAATAAGTTCATTTTCTTGTTTAGATATAGTGAAACAGAAAGAAAATTACATCTTACCTTTGAGGTCCCTCTTCCCCCAAATCATATTCATAATTTATAAGTAATCTGTACTTCTGGGAAAACCTATTGAGAAGGCCTACATAATTTCCATTGGCTGATTCTTCTGAAGTATCCCTTGGCATCAAGGATGAAGAACTACTTTCCTACAATAACACAGAAAAACTGTTTAACATAAAGGACAAAAATTTAAACCCTTTTTTGAGCTGGGTGTGGTGGCACACACCTGTAATCCCAGCACTTGAGAGGCAGAGTCAGGAGGATTATAGTAAGCTCGAGGCCAGCCTGAGCTACACAGTGAGTTCAAGGCTAGCCTAAATTACATGGTGAGACTCTGTCTCAAAAGACGAAAAAATAAAGATAAAAAAGATGTAAGCCTCTTTCTAAAAGTAAGTTACTATATGAACAATTTGAAAAAGAATTGAGATTTTATGTATTTCCCAATTATATTACTTTAAAAAGGTAACATACACTTGGAGAAAATATAAATATACATTCTTTACCATAAAAAAGAAATCAATAAATTATTCTTTTAATTAAAAATATTAACCAACAAATAAAAATTATATATATTTAACATATATAATATGTTTTGAAAAATGTATACATCAAGGAATGCTAAATGGAGATAATTAACATGCATCATCTTACTTAATTATCTCTTTTTTGGTGGTAGAAACAAAATCTAGGCTCAGAAATTTTCAAGTATGCAATATATTAATTCACTCATATCCTTTCATAACTTCATTATGAAAAAATAAAGATAACCTATTTTCTTATTTTTTCATGCAAAGTACAGTAATACTTTGTAGCTTGCTATATGCTTTTTTGGTCTTTTGAGACAGAGTCTCACTATGCAGTTGAAATGGCCTTGAGCTCACTTTGTAGCCCAGGCTGGTTCTGAACTTGCAATGATCCTCCTGCATCAGTCCTTCGAGTGCTAGAATTATTATATGTTTTCTAAATCTCAAAAAACAGGATAACAAGTATTAAATTAAAGCTATGTCTCACATCACAACCTGGTGGAAAAGATGAATAAAACATAATCATTCCTACTTTTTGTACCTGTTTTTTGCAATCTCACAAGTTTTTCTACTTTATTAACCGCACCAAAGTACCAGCTATTGGTTTTATTATCTTCTTTATTACTTCTTTTGGTTTCTTCTGCATTAATTTCTGCCATCATTATTACGGTCTTCAGCTTCTTGGCAGGCATTCTATTGTTATTGTTTTTGTTTTTTTAACTTCTTGACTGCACTTTCCTAACAAAACTTGTAAGCGATTTTGATTATTGTTAAGTTTTACTGGAAAGGTAACATCTTCAATTAAGATTTTTCAGGAAAGTATCTTTTTTTTTTTGGTCTTTTTCCTTTTTATCGGTACCAGGGATCTAACTCACGACTGCCTGCTTACAAGGCAGGTGCTTATGCCGCTGAGCTAAATCCCCAGCCCCAGGAAAGTATCTTGATAGCCAAATTCTTTCAACTTCTTTGGTATCTGTCATGGTTTATGTCTGAGGCCCCCAGGCCTCATGAGTTTGCATTGTGCATTTGTTATTCGTTCATTGTCTAGTGCTTGGATTGATGGTGTCAGTGCTCCACCCACAAAGGGGTGGAGCCAGGATGTGATGTAATGGCAGGAAGAAGGTGTGTCTTTTTTGTTGTTTTTTTGCTTCTTACTCTGTAAAAAGGTATGTCTTTCGCTTTGCTGGTTCAGGCTTTCTGTTTGCGGCCACCATGAACTGCGGCCCAGCCCTGCCCGCCTGTCTTGGAGCCAACTAAGTGTGGACTGAAACCTCCAAAAACTGTAAGAAATAAACCTTTCCTTTCCCAACTTTGGGCGTCAGGTATTTTGTCTCAGCAACGAGTAAAAAGTAACTGAGACAGTATCTGAGAATGATCTGTAGTCTCAAATGTAAGTGATATTCTAGCTCATTTTATAACCATTGCTTTATGGTCTCCTGTGTTTTAATGTTGCAACAGACAGCATGACTTCTTTTCACTTTGTGTTTATGTTTTTTTCTACTCAGATCTTTGCAGAATTTCTCCTTTCTCCCTGGAGCTATTTTCACAAGGATCAATGTTGTTCTTGGGGTTTGGCATTTTCCTATATCTAGAGTTATTTTAATCTGCAGTTGGGTGTTTAATTCATTCGCATTCTCAACTGAAATTTATTTAGTTTTATTTGTATGCTTAGCACTGGGGATCAAACCCAACGTTTCCTTCATGCTAAGCACACCCTCTACTACTGAGCTACACTATGTTCACATCTTCAGGGAAACACACTGTGTAATAGTTCTTCATTAGTCACCCTGTACATCACTTTCCCTACAAGCACATGCATCTGTTTGTCTGTTTCCATTGAACTTTTTCAATCAGCTGGAGAGGACTCTTCCCAGGACTTGTAAGTTCACTTTTTTTTTGGTACCAGGGACCAAACTCACGACCTTGTGCTTGCCAGGTAAGCACTTATGCCACTGAGCTAAATCCCTGGCCCTGTAAGTTCACTTCTTACCGAACATTTCTCCCTTACCACATTTGTTCAGCTTTACAAGACTGAACTGCTGCTGGCACTCTACCTAGGTGCGACTCAGCTTTGCCCTTGTTTCCTAGGGTTTCACTGAAATGGAGACAGGGAAAGAGACTGAACTACAACTCTTAGATGTTAAAGAATTTCAAAATTCATTCTATATGTGAATATTCTTTCACAGAAAAATGCAAGCTATTCGTGAGTAATCTTTTAATAAGAAAAAAAAGCCAAGGCCTACCTTTTTTTCTTGATTAAGTATAGTAAAAGCTATTTTGGCGGCAGAATTTTTTGCATCCTGCTTTGTTCTACCTTCACCTTGTGGAAATGTTCTGTCTTCTATAATAACTCGAAATGTAAACCTGATTACAAAGAGAAGATTTATAATCATTACACATTCGTGAATTATGTAAGCACACATCTTCAATCACCACTGCCTCTCCTGATCACCTTTAAAACTTCAATCTACGTCCAGCATAAAATTTACACAGCCACCCCAAGTAGAAAAATGCCCCATCTTCTTGAAAATAGAGAGGCTTATCTTCCCTCCCCTTTTTTTCTTTTTGCTGGAATCAGCTGAAGATACCACTCTCTCTCAAGAGGACTTGCACAGAACTCTGACAACTTTGCAATAAGGCTAAAGTATTGCCCTCAAAATTATATTTATATATTATTTATATTATATATAAATTTATATCTATAGAATATAGCTTATATATTTATATTTATAGAATATAGCTTTTTTTTTCCTTTTGGTGATTGAATCCAAGGCCTCACATATGCCAAAACATACTCTATCATTGAGCTATACCCCCAGCCCTTGACATATCTTTTGGATAGCAATTTACACTGAGTTGTGTGGCGGTCCTGTCACAGACAGTTTCTCATATGAAACTTTTACTCCATGCTTCTGCTGGTATTTATTAAGTTCTTCTATGTAGAAACCTGCTGAAAGACCAGTCGCCATTTTTCCTGATAACCTATAAAAGAAAAGATGCTTTAATGAGTGACACTCAGAGAACATTGTATCAACCTCTGTAACAGGGCAGCAGAGGGTTGGGATTCTCCTTTCCATGACTCATTTTAGTTTCATGTAAATTCAGAAAAAGCATTATTTCAAAACCTCTCTTCCTCCCTTATGGACTTCACATTCACTTTAATTTCTCCAAAACATTGTACTCCCAGAAATCAAGTGGCCAAAGAAAACAGAAACGCCTTCTCGTTACCCTGCTGTCGGTTTTCCCGGAGTGTCAAGCAAATCCGCCCACCCACTCGGGAAAGGAAAAAAGGTGCAGAGTAGAATTAACAATTTACGTTCAGAACAAAATTTACTATATATGTAAGTTAAGTTTATGAAATCATGAAGGATTTTATCTGCTTGGAAGTAGATTCCCTCTGTGAAAGCCCAAAAATCTCCTCCTTTGGAATGTACAGAAATTAGTTTTAGGACAATTTCTCCAGTTTTAAGGTTTGGGTCTGAGATATTCCACCAAAGGCTCATTGTTGATAATTTGGTTGCTGATGGGCTTTTGGGAAATGTTTGAATTGTGAGGTCTCTGATATCATCAGTGGATCACTTCTGAGACCATAATTTGAAGGCATCACTGGGGAGTGATACAAGAGATAGAGCCTACTTGAAGAGAGTGCAGGATAGGAGGGGCTTGGGGACTTTGTCTGGCCTCTCCCTTGGGACCATATTTGACCTCTTCCTCTCCAGATGGCAAACCTTTTTAGAGACCAAGTGCCCAAACTGCAACCCTAAACCTACTCATTTATTGCAAAGTATCAACACTACAACTAAATCTTTGTTTTTTGTTTTTTTGTACCCCGGGATCAAACTCATGACCTCACACTTGCCAGGCAGGGGCTTGTGCCACTGAGCTAAATCCCTGGCCCAATACAAAGCAGCTTTTTACTGAACGGTCAAAGTTTGCATTTGGTGTGCTGTGGCACAATTAATGTGATTTTTGCTGTCGTACACATGATAATTTGTCAAATCTTGGCTGCGGCAACTTGGCTCGTGTGATAACAGGGAGGGTTCTACACACCCACTGCATGGCACGCATTCCACAGGTTTGCCAACCCTGCTCTAGCCCCTTTATCTCTGTCTCCCTCCACTCTGGCCTCTCTCACTCCCTGACTGCCAGGGAGTAGCAGCTTTCCTTCAACATGCTCACTCTTCCACCACCATACTTTTTCCCTGCCATGAGCCTAAAAGCAATGGAAACCCTGATCACTGAGTGAAACGTCTCAAATGATGAGCCAGAATAAATCTTCCCTACTTTACGCTGTTTTCTTCAAGAATTTTATCACACAGGAACCCAGACAAAGCAGAGGTAGCTATTCTATTTGCAGACAAAGCGGATTTCAAACCAAGACTGATCAGAAGAGACAAAAAAAGTTACTACATATTTGTTAAGTGAACATCCAAGAGAAGGGAATAACAATCATAAATATATATGCACTAAATACACACTCAACTATATAAAAGAAATGCTAATCAATATGAAAAATCAAGGCAACTGTAATACCTCAATACCTCACTGTCACATATAGATCAACTAGACAAAAAAAATCAACAAGAAGCTAGTAGAGCTGAATCAAACCTTTGAACAAATGGATTTAGTACATATCTATAGAGTGTTCCATCCCACAGCAACAGAAGATACATTCTTCTCAGCAGCACACTTTCTCCAAAATAGAACACATATTAGCTAATAGAACATGCTTAAGCAAATGCAAAAGAAATGAAATTATCCGATATGTATTATCAGATCATAGTGTAGTGAAATTGAAATCAATGGCAAAAGAAAACACAAAAACATATGGAAATTAAATAATATTCTTCTGGGGCCACAGATGAAATTAAAGAAGAAATGCGACAGCTTCTATAATCATATGATAATGCCAATATGACGTAACAAAACTTATGGGATGCAGTAAAAGCAGTCTATCCAGGGAAATTTATAGTAGTGAATTCCCACATCAGAAAAACAGAGCAAGCTCAAATAAATAACCTAAGGTTCAACCTCAAATTCTAGAAAAATAAAAGAAAGTCAAGCCCAAAGTTCATACAAAGGAGGACATTATAAAGATCAGAGCAGAAATTCATGCAATTGAGACTAAGAAAACAACACAAAGAATCAATGAATCCAAGAGTTGGTTCTTTGAAAGATTAAATAAAATCAACAAAACATTAGCCAACTTCATCCAAAGAAAAACAGAAAGACTCAAATTCATGCAGTTACCCATGAAAAAGGCAAAATTGCAATAGATCCTGTGAAATCAAGATGACTGACAATACCTATTTTGAGAACCTGTACTCTAACAAGATTTTAAACTCAAAAGAAACTGCACAAACTATGTGGCTCCCAGAGAGACAGAAGCCAGATCTCTCTCTCTGAGTCAGCGGAAATCATGCTGGGTCTGGGAGGACCACATCAAGGAGTCAGTTCAGCCTTCCGGTAAGCCACGGAAACCAGGAAGACAGAAGCCAGATTTCCCTCCTGGTGAGGCAACAGGCATGCGGGCTGAGAATCAAGAACCTCCCCACCACTACCAGAAGCAACTGGCTGGCTTGGAGGACAGGCTGAGGCACAAAAACAATTAAAGGCTTGTATTGTTTGATTGACTTTGCAGGCCTAAGGCCAGCAGTCTGAGTATCTGATAGGAGGATAAGAGTATGCAACATAGAAAATATAGGAGATTTCTTTCTGTCTTGTTTTTGATCTCACTGTATTGTTTGTTCCAATGTATTGTTTTGTTTTATTCAATGTTCTGTTTTGATTGGTTTTATTCTGCTTTGTTTTATTTGATTTTACTATGTCTAATTGAATGGGAAACCATTGTGATGATAACAAGATATATTATAGCAGCCATTGTTCATTTCCTATTATCCTGCTTTGAAGTTCTATCGTGCTTTCACTGCCTTGTTTTGACTAGCTTTACTCTGTTTTGTTTTGTTGGGCTTTATTCTCTTTAAAATAAAATAAAATAAAATAAAAAACTCAAAAGAAATAAATTCTTGAATATATATGAATTCCCAAAGGTGAATCATGAAGACATAAAAATTCAAAATAAACCTGTTTCAGTCAACGAAATTAAAGGCATAATTTAAAACTTATCTGCTTTCACCTCGCCCCAGAAAGAATGGTTAACATCAAGAAATCAACATATAACAAATGCTGGAGGGGCTGTGGGGAAAAACGAACCTTTCTCCAATGTTGGTGGGAATGTAGACTGGTGCAACTACTGTAGAAACCAGTGTGGAGATTCCTCAAAAACTAGGATGGGAGATCCCATTCAACTCAGCTATTCCCCTTTTAGGTATCTTCCCAAAAGAATTAAGAACATCATACCACAGCAATATATGTGCATGCATGTTTATAGCAGTTTAGTTTATAACAGCCAGATCTTGGAAACAGCCTAAATGCCCATTGATTGAGGAATGGATAAAAAAGATTTGGTATTTGTAAATAATGGAATACTATTCAGCCATAAAGAATGATAGACTGGACACTTTTATAGATAAATAGACGTGCCCTGAGTACCATACTTATTAGTGAAATGTCATGCATGCATAGTCATTACATTGTTTCATTAGTATGATAAGAAAAAAATGTATTTTGTCCTGGAGAGAATGACTTCAGCCAAGCAACCACTTGGGCCACACCTGCCTTTGCTTTTGCTGAGACCTACTATGAGCCATTTTGAGTTGACTTTTTAATGTCTTAGGAAATTTTTGATGTGTTATAAGGTTTGGGGTTTTTGCATGTGTATATCCAGTTGTTCCAGTGTGTTTATTGAGGGTACAATCCTTTTTCCACTTAATTGCTTTTGCTTCTTTGCCAGAAATTAAATGTCTGTTATGCAGGTATCTATTTTGGGACTTTATTATATTGGTACTTTGGTGGTTTGTCTCCCTTGATATCAATGCCATTTTGTCATGATTCGTGTAACTTTGTGATAAGTCGTGGGACTTTCCCTTTAACACAACTGTTTAGCCTACTCTGAGTCTTTTATTTTTAGAGAAATGTAAGGATCAAAATGTCCATCTCTATGAGGGATGATTCTGGCAGTCTGGGGAGGGGATTATGTTTTCTGATCTTCATTGTTTCTTCTGTTCATTGGTTTCAGTCTCTTTTATTTTTAATTTTTCAGGGAAAGATGTGGGAGTGTTCTGTCACTTTCTTCTTTCTGATAGATAGATGTACTTGGTGTTTAAAAAAATTTAATTTTAAACAAAAAAAAAATACTAATTTAAAAATAATAAAATCTACCAGCAAAGAAAAGCCCAGGTTCTGACAGATTCATTCCTGAATTCTGCAAGAAATTTAGAGATGATCTAATGCCACTACTCCTCCAACTCCTTAATGAAATTGAAAGGGGTGCAATACTCCCAAACTGATTACTGGAAGAAAGGATTACCCTGACACCAAAACCAGAGAGAAGCCCAACCAAAAAAGAGAATTACAGGTCAAGCTCTCCATAAACATAGCTGCAGAAATCCTCAAAATGATATTGGTAAACAAAATGCAGCAAGCCATCAAGAAGATTATATACCATGACCAAGTAGGATTCATTCCAGGAATGCAGGGATGGTTCAACAGATGCAAATCAGTAAATAAAGTATACCATGTTAACAGAGTCAAGCTTGGGTAAAAATCACATGATCATCTCAATAGATGCAGAAAAAGCATTTGACAAAGTCCAACACCCATTCATGATTTACAAAAAAAAAAAAAAAAACCCACAGAAAATTGGAATAGCAAGTCTTTATCTCAATCTGATAAAAGTCATAGTGCCACAGATTTAGCTCAGTGGTATAAGCACCTGCCCAGCAAGTATGGGGTCATGAGTTCAACCCTGGTAAAAAAAAAAAGAAAAAAATAGAACAAAACAAAACCCCATCTGTAACAAGCCAACAGCCAATATCATACTAAATGGTCAAAAACAAAACGCTTTCACTCTAAAA